AAAGAGTATAACGGAGTGCTTAAGAAATCAGTATCGTAAGTTGTTTGTTTCATGATAAAAAACATCCAAAAGTACCTAAATTAAAAGAAAGATGTAAGTAACATTCTGTCAAAGGGAATATGGCACAAAATAGAAAAAATCTGCAAAATATGAAGCAAAATTGGACACCTGACCTTGAAGGTCAAAGTCATTTATGAATGAAGGTCAAGTTTAGTCTGGTCTACCCAAAGGGTTGTTGTGAACAAGAACTTAAAACGTTATGATCAAGGTTAGAATTTGCAGATGGCAAAAATTAGTAAATAATCACACATGGTTACTAAATTAATCAACAATTATAGAAGGGTTTTTTTTCTGTTTATTCCTGATAATTTTTGTTAAAACCCTCTGTGCAATATGAAACAACATAAACAAGAAATTATTTTTATAGTATATTTTACAGGTTATAGTTCTTACAGAATGTTCTAGTCTAATCTAAATATCCCACATCGTAAGACAATTGATTAAGATAGCTTTTACAGGAAAATCAAAACAAGGTCATATATTTCTAGAGAAATCTTAGAAAGATATTGTCACCTAAGTGTTACAGTAACAAGTTATCTCCTATTGAATTATATACAGAGTTAACTCATTACTCAACTAAAGGGGACAAATATAAGATATTTTATTTATATAATAACCCACACAATATCTGATAAAACAAGTTATGTATTTTATAAATCTATAGTAGAATCTTATCAGTTTAGTATTTTCCCTAGAGATTGTATTGAGGCAATGGTTATCCATGTCAATTTAACGTCTCCTCAATTGATTGATTACAGAGGAGATGTAAAGAGACTGGGTCATCAAGAACTGGCGAAATATATACCACTGTAAATTTAAGAGGAAATATCTCTATTGCATGTCATTTAATATTGTCATTTTTTATTTATCTAATACTTTTTTTAATATCCTGTAATACTGAGCTTCTCTGAGTCTCTAAATATAAATTTATTAACAATAATTAACTATAATTACAAAAATATTTTATGACTATCTTGAGGGCTATTTAATGACAGTAGCATTCAGTTTACTTCCCTTGAAAACAGCCTCTCTTTTTGAGGACTGACTGCAAAACTGAATTCACTTATATAAGATTAAGAAAAAATTAAAGCAGTCTTGCAGTTAACCCTCGATATATAATTTAAACAAATGCTTTTTGATAAAATTCAACAAATAAAGAACAGAGATAATACTTTAATCTTTTCACTCTATTATGACCATATTATCTGTACTAATTAAGTCAACCTTTCTGTTTTTGACATAATCAAATATTAACCCAAGGTTACATTATTCTTCTCTCTATAAACAAAATTCTTAAAATAGAAATTTTCAATTGCTCTGAAAACAATTCAATTATTACAAAATTTCCCTTATATACACAGCAATTGTTACACTGTGTCTGTGACATTTGATTCTAGAGGAATCTTATACAAATCTGGCTCTTACAATCACCAAACTGGAGCAAGGTGGTTTGGCACGGTTACAATATGACAGGACTGATTGTACACAAATTAATCACACACTATTTCACCAGCAGACTATTTATAAACACTGTTAATTCTAACTGAAATATTTCATTCCCGATCTTAGGCAGATACATTCTTCTACTTGGAAAAAAAAAACACTCTCTTCCACTTGGAAAGAAACAAAGTTTTATTGAAAGTAGAGATTAAAATGTTTTTAGTCTAATTATTTATTCTATCAATAGTTTCAATAAATTCAACAAGTTTTCTCATTTTCGGTATCAAATTACTATATTGAAATCACTTGCTTATTTGCAATGTCAAATGTAACTATTTGGAAATCACTTTCTTCTCCCAATTGTCAAATATAATATTTGGGAAATTGTAATTTCAAATTATTATTTGGAAATCACTTTCTCTTTTGCAATGCCAAATTCTAAACCACTTTCTTATTTACAATGTCAAATATAACTTTTTGGAAATCTGACTTTTTTATTTGCAATGTCAAATAAAACATTTTGGAAAGCACTTTCTCATTCACCTGTATCAACATGTGGTCAGATTTTTTTCTGTGCAAGAATTTTTGCTCATGCATGTAACCAATCAATCAAGCAAAAGAAAAAAGGTTCTAACAAAATATGCAAGAAATTAATCACAAGAATTAAGTGAATGTCATCTTGGAGCCCATTTAGAAGACTGGTGGAAATAGAAAATGCTATTTTAGACAATATCATCAGAACTTTGACAAATCATTGCAACTTTACTCCTCTGCAAAGGATGTAAAACACATGAAAACAATTCTGCTGTATAATTTAATACTTCATTTGAAAGAATATCTGAGAATATCAATATCAAGAATGATACTTGAAAAGAAACATGCTAATTTGCTTAAAGTAATAAAATTTCAATCTTTAAATCTTTCAATCTGGACTAGATAAATCATCTTTTTTAGGGAAAATTTCTACTGACTGAATAGCAAACTGGTACCCTAACCCTAGGGCACATGTATAGAGTGTGTGTTAGTGTTTGGTTTTATGGTGCAACAACACAGTTAAGGTAATATGGTGCCGAAACAGTAAAGATGACTTTTGCTAACTTTGGTTGTTATATATAAACATTTAGCATTTTTCAGGTTCCTCACTAATATACAGTATTTTTTAATACTGCAGAGATGGGAATAAATGTTTGAATGCTAAAATACTTGAAAAATCAACTAGGATAAAAGGAGGAAATTCCATAAATCCAATATTTGAATATACTGGATTTTGGTATAACAAAGTGTTCTAAATTGAATTCAGTATTTGTTCCCAATACTGGTATACATTTCTATAAATAAAGTTATCTATAATTCAGTAAGTGACATCATAAAAGCCCCAAATAGCACAATAGTCTCTAGACTTTAAATAAAAACTATCTTAGATGCCATTATGAACCAAGCTTTAATGCTAAAATTATTTTTCCTCCAAAATCTTTTCAAAACATCACTTTGTATAAACATTACAAATTTTCATCCTTCTTAATTCAACCAATAAATGTAATTTCCAGAGACTGTAAATGTCACTTTAGTAATGCAAATTTTCCGCTGAAACTTTCTGACAGAAAAAAAAGAAACACGAAGTAATCTTGATATAAAACAAATTTGAACACAAAATTACAATCTAGAAGCCTCATACCAGGCAAAGAACTGAATTGCTTTGCATTATTTATCAGCACTGGTTCCCAATTAGGAAGTAATGATTATAACGTTAGAAACTCTCCCAGCTTTTGTGATTGTAGGGACAAGGGCAACCTCCAGGGACAGTTTAAAATAGTGTTGACTTTTATGTAATTGTGAGATGTTTATTTTCTATAAAGTGTTTGACAACATTAAATGATTCTAAATGTCTAGTCTACAGGCCTGTGATATTAAACTGAAGAAATAAATAATAAATTAATACGGAAGAAATAAGTGTTCAATTAATACTGGTATAATAATGTTAAATTGCAGTTTTATGGTTTTTGCTTTGATAGAGAATATTTCTGAGGTGATTTTTTATTTTGAAAACATTAACAACTAGAAATATGTGACACATCCAATGTTTGGCCCATCTACGGACAGACAGCGTGACAGTTGGACAGCAGACGGTCAGACAAAAGTAGATCTATATGCCCTCGCCTCTTCCCTTTTAGTGGGGGCATAATAAGCTCTAAACTGTTTACAGTTAATTTTTATAATATTATAAACTGTAATCCCTCAAACAATATTTCAAAGCAGGACATCATGCTCTACAAATACAACCAGGTAAAGAGACAGAGCTGTAACACTTAAATAGAATTAAAAAAATCAGGAACTCCATTAAAACCTAAATATTAGTCTAAATACCAAACAGCTTAAATCCTCATTAAAATAAAGTGTTTATATTACTATAGTCTAGCCTCATTTCTCATCTATGTTGTTATTTTTCAACACAATGTTTCATATCAATATCACTGTTTTCCAGACAATATTATATAAGCATTTAAGGGGAAGAAATAGACAAGAAATCTAATAACTATACTAGATCATTGTATGTCAGGTTAGCAGTGATTAAATGAAACAGTTTATTCTCTCAGTTTACAAAAGTGCTTTATGCTTTAAGTAAAAATACCTAACACTATAGCTGGTGTTATCAAACTAGCAAATATTATTTCAATAAAATTAATTATGATACTATAGTTTGGTTGTTTTTTTTAAAGTGAAGTACATGTATATCTGTGATAAAGTATTGATCTGAGATAGGTGTTTGACCTGTAAAGTGTTTTAGAATTCTATTATTAAGTCCAATCATTACACTGCAATTTCAATTTTTTAATTTTTTTAAAGCAACCAGAGCACCACATGCAGTGTTAATGCTTGACTGTTGAATAATCACTTTTGACAAAAAATCTAAGTAAAAAGGAACCAAAACTATTCTTTTCAGAACTATGCCCCTTGTCTTACAACTGCCTTTTGTCATGATAAGCAAGTATTCCATTTTGAAGTTTCATATCAATACCTGTAAAAAAATTTGAAAGATGGGCTACATCAAAGATTTTGCACAAGACAATCGATGATGACCCAGCAATCATAAAAACTTGACTTTTTCCTCAAAAACAGGCAAACTAAAAAATACACCATTTAACCTAGGATGCTGTAAATAGTCAAGAAGTTCTAGTATATATTTCAGTAAAGCAATGATTGTCACAAAATATTTGAGAGCAACAAAAACTATTATTGATGACTGGTGTACAAACATTTTGAGATTTTTTACCTATATGGCATGGTCAGAGATGAGTAAAAGATGACCAGTCTCATAGCAGACAGACTGAAATTAACCAATCAAATGTTGTCGTTCACCATGTCATCATTTATTCTATTTCTTTCAGGAGCCTTACTTCTTTACAATCATTTGGGAGACATTTGATTCAGCTCTGTCTTTCGATAATAAATAGTTTGTCATGCATAATTTTATGTCTAAACTGAGTTTATTTCCATTGCAGATAGTTTTATGACAGCAGATCAAAATTCTTATGAATATCCAGAAGCGCAAATTCTCAACTGCCATGTGATCAATACCCTTAAACTTGGACACGATATTCTCTAAGCTACAATTCTGTTGTCTCTTAAGCCAAAAGAATTTTCTTTAATTAGAGGCCTTGACTAATTTCTGTAAAAAAATAGTGTATGGATAAAAAAGGAAACATAAGAAAACAATAAGAAACAATAAAAAAAGTATATATAAATATATGGAAATATAATAACTAAAACAACACTCAGAGGATTTCTTTAACTTACTGAATAAATTCTACAGAGACTTCAATTTGAAAACTGATGCAAAGATGGATGGAGCATTTCGGGCTGCTAAACAGCGGGACAAAATGCTTATATTGCTCCCGCCTAGAGAATGTATTACCCCACATCAACTGTGCTACAGTTTTCATGAAAACACAACAAATACAATGGAACATTGGATGGAAGTATCAAATTACGTCTGCTATGTTGCCCTTCCAATTATTTTGGTTTTCTGCCTGTTAGGCAATATTGTGAATATAGCGGTGCTTTCTAAACAATTCAGAACTTCTATGGATACGTATTTACTAGGACTTTCAATAGCAAGTGTACTTTTTGTTGTTTCAACGATCGTTTACAATGTGCAACATTATGTTGGGTATACAGATTATTTTGTTTGGGTGCAGAAATACGCTGTTATTAGTCGGGACTGGTTCTGGTTTGCAACGATATGGCTGCTCATATTAATGAGCTTAGAACGCTCAATAACGGTAACTTCTAGAAAAGCTCAATCACTCTGTTCTCCGACTCAGGCTGCTATCGTTGTTATACTTGTTTATATAATCGGTTTCATAAGTGCACTTCCTCGGTACTGGGAATATGAAGTAGTTCAGCAGGGAAGTCTGTATCACGAACAGACATTCATCACATTGAAAAAATCAACAGACGAGAAAATTCGGGAATATAGAGCCATTTATTACTGGTACATAACATCAATAACAATCTTTCTCCCAACACCACTTTTGTTTTTCATGCTGTTCCCATTATGTTATGGAACAAGGCAAACTGTGATTTCACGGAACTATTTATTCATAAAACATAGTGCCAGTACTGCCCTTATACTGAACAGACGTTTAAAAGAAGAAATAGCGTTAACAAAACTTGCAATTGTGATGGTTGTGCTATATCTTATGTTAGTGGCGCCATTTCTGTTTTTCGACCTTTTGTCACACTTTGCTACAGGTTTAATGCAGACTGGGACACCATACTTTGTAGCACTGTACAATATTTTCACAGTCTGTTTTCATTCATACTATATGTGGCATCAACAGATATTCTTCTGCTGCAACAAGCAATACCGTCTGCAGTTTCTCGCTTCCTGTTGTTGTTGTTGTTAGCAGAAACAAATTTGTTAATATGTTTGTTTACATTGCCATTCTGTACTAACTGATGTATCCATGACTTCATATGGCAGTTTCCCAAAGTTTTAAATCTAAAACCCTTTTATTTAAAAGTTTTATCTATTTTTATATATTTATCTTTCAGTTAGTAAAACTTAGTTAAAGAAGTGAACATTTCTGTACTTTTTTTAACCAATGACCACAACATATGTTATGTTTTCCTACCAGATAATTATGTGAACCAAACTTTCACTATTTTTGTAAGTTAATTGAAGTTAATGTATAAATCACTTTTAACTTTCAATATATATAAGAAAGAAAAATAACCTTTGTATTATCCCAGCATAGAAATAAGTTGTTCAAGTTATGGGGCCATTGCAAATACGTTATCAAATGAAATGAGTTTGAAGATTACTATACCACCTCTGCAGACTCAACACACTATTGGAGACAAATATTTTGGTTGTTGCAGAGAGGTGTTGCTCTGGAGAGGTTATGTTTTTTGTCAAGTCTTACTTTGGGAATTGCAAAAATGTTTTCTTAAATAATTATACTGGCCACGTGGCCGAGTGATAAATGCATCATATGGAAAACCTAAACATTGCTGACTACGTGGGTTCAAACCCTGGCAGGGGCAAACTGTTGTTTCCATGAGCAAGAAACTGTACACTTATTGCTTAGTACTGGTTTGTTCCAGGAACTGATTCAAGGGTGTTTCAATAAGCATATACTCATTGCTTCAAACACAATCAAACTAAAATACATTTGTATAAACTTATTATGATCTAAATGATCTTGAAATAATAGAGTAACATTTTACTAAGATCATTTCTATATAAATGAACCAGCTGTATGTTTATAAAACAATGAAGAATATGCTTCACAAACACTCTCATATTTATTGCATCCCTATCGCCAAGACTTACGAGACATTTTTTTTCAAATATATTTTTTACATGTTGTATTGTATTATCGGTATTTGTTTTGATATGTCTGTAATAAAAAATAACTTGATCTATTATTTTGTTTGTATTGATATGAATATGAAGCAGTATTTAAAGGCCTATTATGTCCCAGAAATGCTTTAATTTTAATTTCTCAAAAGCTTTTAAATTTTGATGTACTTTTATAGTATTCAAAAAGTTCATCATTTACCAGTTACCTGAATAATCTGTTGCTTTTTGGCAATACATACAGTTATAGTGCATTAGTATTTTGTATGGAAGTCAAAATACTTCTTTGTTATCCCCCGCCGTTGGAATCGGGAGGGGGATATAGTTTTGGCGTTGTCCGTCCGTCCTGCCGTCCGTCCGTCCATCCGTCCGTCCGAATTTTGTTTCCGGAGTAGTTCTCTGCAACTAATGGCTGGAATTCAACGAAACTTTATGGGAATGTTGATCAGCATGTGAAGTTGTGCACCTGGGTATTTTCGTCTGAATATTTTTAGTATTTTTAGAGTTATTGCCCTTGACTTAGTAAAACGTCCGAATTTTGTTTCCGGAGTAGTTCTCTGCAACTAATGGCTGGAATTCAACGAAACTTTATGGGAATGTTGATCAGCATGTGAAGTTGTGCACCTGGGTATTTTCGTCTGAATATTTTTAGTATTTTTAGAGTTATTGCCCTTGACTTAGTAAAACGTCCGAATTTCGTTTCCGGAGTAGTTCTCTGCAACTAATGGCTGGAATTCAACGAAACTTTATGGGAATGTTCATCAGCATGTGAAGTTGTGCACCTGGGTATTTTCATCTGGATATTTTTAGTATTTTTAGAGTTATTGCCCTTGACTTAGTAAAATTTTGTAATTTTCAACTTGTGTCGCATGTAACTCAAAAAGTATTTGACCTAGAGTCATGAAACTTTACAGGAATGTTGATCAGTATGTGTAGTTGTGCACCTGGGTATTTTCGTCCGGATATTTTTACTATTTTTAGAGTTATTGCCCTTGACTTAGTAAAATTTTGCAATTTTCAACTTATTTGAAAATTGTGAGATCCCTTCTTGATGCCTTGAAAATGGCAATGAAGTCTGGAGATTAAGATGTTTTTACATCTAGGTGAGCTATTGTGATCCCCCACCGTCCGTTGTCGTGCGTAGTCAGCAATTTCTTTAAACAACATCTCCTCAGAAACAAATGACTGCACAGCAACCAAACTTTACAGGAATGATCCTAGGGTGGTCCCCTGCCAAAGTTGATCAAATGGATCCGGTCTGTTGCATAAGTAGGTCACAGGGCCAGAAAAGGAGTTTCAAAAATGCAAAATTAAAAAATCTTGTCTGAAAGTACAAGGCCTAGAGCTTTGATATTTGGTATATGATATAACCTATAGGTCCTCTACCAAAATTGTTCAAATTTTAGCCCTGGGGTCAAAATTGGCCCCACTCCAGGGGGTCATAGATTTTCCTTATATGTATATAGTGAAAACTTCTTCTTGTTTGAAGGTACAAGGCTTCAAGTTCAAAGAATATTACAGTTTATGCCATGATTAATATATAAATAAAGCCTTATGTCTTCAGTTGTTGTGTTAATAATAACCAGTACTCGGCGGGGGATATAAATTCAACGAATTTGCTTGTTTCCATTTTGCTACTTTTATGACAAGTTATTTTATCCCTACTTTCTTCAGGTAACAAGCATCTAACATTCTCTAAAAGCATTATTTAAATATTATAAAATTCATGTTTACACTTTCTAAAGAAGTAAAAATTTATTTTTTCTATGAGGCATAATGTGTCTTTAAGTTAAATCAGAACTTTGAGCCTGCTGGAGAACTGATAGTGATTAGTCATTATCATCAGTATAGAGCCAGACCAGCCTTCACATCCCTGCAGTCTGACCAGGCCATATACTGGTGACTGACTAAACTTCAAATCTTTTAAACTTGATATCCCTAGAATTGATAATGGACAGTTCCAAAAATGGAAGTTAGACAAGTCTATGTAAGAAATTTAGCAGGTTATTAGATAAATCATAATATCTATCATCTTATCATATAACAACTATTTACACATGGCAGTTCTTATATACAACAAATTCTGTCAGTTAATATTTTGATAAAATTTAACAGAACTTAATTTCAAGAGCCAAGCAAGCTCCCCTATTTTGAACTTTCATCTTAATAATTATCAGTAAATGACAGCAACTAATGTCAGATTAAAGTACTAATATACATAAGATTCAAATATTGTGTTATTGGGATATTTCTACTGCATATACAGACCTACAGACCTACAGTCCGACTTATCCGACAAACATAAACAAACCTGATGTCAGTATCTTAATAGGATCCATAAATTTTAACACATTATATAATATGACAAGATTGAGCTGACAATTAGAATAATGTTCTTGATGTTCTAGACAACATTATAACAAAAGTTCGCTCATAAGTACCGATTAGGTCCAAGAAAGCTTTAATAAGCTTCGAGCTTTAAAATTCACAATCCAGCTAAAATACATAGTATAATTTTTCATTCAACCAACTGTATGATTCATTTATGGCTGTAGTTATGAAACAACTTGTAGAGACTTTATATGGTAATCATACAGTGCTTTACTACTAAAAGTTTGGTGACTAATCTGTGCTTTATTACTAAAGAATGGTGGCATGGCCAAGTGGTTAATGTGTCAGACAAGTAAGCTTATGATTGCTAGTCGCATGGGTTCAAACCCCATCAGGGGCCAGTCGTTGTTTCCTTGAGCAAGAAACTTTACACTGATTGCTTAGTACTGGTTGGTTCCCGGAATGAATTCCAAAGTGTGGCCATAAGCTTATAGCTTCCTACACAATCAAACTAAAATAAATACTACATAAACAAAAGAATAGGTAATGTATTAACTAGAGAATCTAGTGTACACTAGCTATCAATGTCACACTTTTAAATTTAATACTTTAAATCAATTCGATTTCTCTTCACAAATCTGTGAAAAAAAACAGTGAAATGAATTCACAATTTCTGAATTTTCTATGAAACACCACACCAATATCAACAAGATTAATCCACAATTCCTACATTACTAAACAAAAACAGATTAAGATAAATGAATGTTCTTAATTTAAAAACCATTATGAAAACTGAGAGGATTTTAGGAAATAATACGATTGAAACTAACCCTTCTCCTGTTGAATTTTTGTAATGGATTTGCCTTGCAGTAAATTTGGAGCTCGAGCAGTATGTTGAAAGTTTAAGAGTTTCCAAAGAGTCAACAGTTTTCTCAGTCTAGGGATGGATGAAACAGGTGACACATGACAGATGGACAAGGCAAATCTATCCCCCCCACACAAAAACAAATATAAATCATCAAATTTCATAGCAGGATGAAACTCTTACATATGCACAACAGTATCTTATGACAAGTACTTGTTAATAACACAAAACAATGCAAACTATGAAATATCATAAAAATTGAGATTTTTATATTCTCATGAAGCATTAACTAATTATTGTTAAGGACATGATGTTTTATACTATTGAAATAGGTAAACACACATACTAGCAGTTATTGATGTTTTCAAGCTGGAACAATATGCTGCAATCAAACTGTCATTAAAGCTGCATGCCTCCAGATGAACCAAAATATTTCAAGAAAATAAACTTGAGAAAAAAAATACAGTATTTTTCACAATGATTATTTCTACTGTTTTACTAAAGCAGTAAGGGCTATTTTTTGCATATTTTGACTTCTTTTTGGTGATTTACATGGGTCGTAAGTGCTGTTTGCAATCTGAAAAATATTTTCTTTGTTCACATCACAATTTTTTACTATTTTGTACATTTTCAAATTTTTTATGGAAACTAGTACAAATCTGGAGGCATGCTGCTTTAAGGACCACCCTTACACTGGCTGCATTGTATAACTACAACACACACATATACATAACTTACCTTGAAATGGATTTATGAACTGTTTATTGAAGAAGTATGTGCGAGAGCAGGTTACAGGACCTCTGGGAGATACAGCCTTACATACCTGATAATTAATGATAATATGATAATTGTAATATCAGAAAACTGCAAGCACATAATGACATTGCATAGAGCAAACTGCCAACTTCATCATGACAATGCTAAATAATTGATGAGTAATGGATCTGCAAACTGTATCAGGTGATTATAGGCTATTCTACAGTGTTTCTGTGCACACACGGATCATTTTATCACATATTTTTATTTTGATATTGCACAATTCCAAGTTCAGATGCACTGTCCTATAACCATTAAAAGTGATAAATCATGGTACACTTGCATTTCTGAACATTCAATTATGATGAATCAAACAGTACTCTGATAAAACATCTTTCTCACTCATCTTGTTTATAGATACAGAATAAAATGGAATTAATCTTAACAATTATCGGCAGAACATAAACTACATGTAATTAGCATTTTGTTGTTAAATGATGTAAAATTATGTATTATTTAATTTTACCCATGAAATATGGTGCTATATCAGTCAAATATATTTCATATTTGTAAAAAATAAATATGAAATATAAATATGAAAGTGGGCGGAGTCAAAACTCATATTTATTGAACAGGACTTCTTTTGCCATTTTGTTTAAAAAATCTGATAAATAATAAACAACTTTTGTTGAATTTTGTTTTGAAAACTATCTAGAATGATAGAAAATGGTCAATAGGGAAAAATGCGGGTTGTGTTAGAATAGTTGTTTACGTGACGTCACAATGTAGCGCCAAACAGCGCGTGCAAATACAGGCAAAACAAGAGGCATCAATATATTATTGAGCACTGTACAATTGCAGTTGCGTAGCAAGCAAGAGGATTTGTAACCATTTTTCTTTGATAATGAAATTAAATAAAAAGGTTATTTTTTCGTTTTTCGTGAAATATGGAATGTCCAGTTAACCTTATTCCTAATAACTCAACATTATGTTATCTTCTGTCTAATTTTTCAGAACTCAATATTTTGTTGGACATGTATAAAGATGTCATATGTAATGTTATTATATCAAGCTAACTCTTATTTTTCATACATTATAAAGTTAAATGATGTCTCTTCTGATGTTATGATGTCCTATAAAACTCCCCATAACTTGACATTATATGATTAAATTGAATCAGTATGCATCATTTTATGAACAAAACAATTTCTTAAACAGAACAATAAAATTTCTATGACATATTGCTTAATAAAAGCATTATGCAATACAGTGTCGATAAATCAAACCCAAATCATTGAAATATGTCATATGGTGTCAACGTTGTGCTCAAAATATAGTGAATATACTGTTAAATTGCAATTTGCTTCCTGAAATTTAACCTTTGACGGCAACCTGCAATCTACAAGTGTAGACCAAGGACAGTAGACACATCTGTGCCATCCAATCATGGTCTGCACTATTTGCTATTAAGTCAGTACTTAGCATGTTAATTTTCCCTAAAATGATTAATGGTTTTGTCCAGAAAGAAAAGATGGACAAGTCCACTCAAGATATTTAGCGTAGTAAGGGTTAACATCATACCATAAAGTTAGCTTCATGAGTACCAATCATAGTTGATTTTAAATCTCCATTAGGTGTGCTTAGTGTCCTCTTTACTCCATCTAACATCTGTTTTGTTGAATTTCTACCAAATAAAACATATGGCAAACTGTCAACTTGTGTAGGACCATCACCATGTCCTACAGTACTAGCTCGACCATGAACAAAGAAACTCTTCAGGGGCTGAAATAAATAAACAGGTCTGATTGGATAAAATTATTGTATATTAAAAATGATAGTAAAAGTTATTCAGAGGTTTTCTTCATTTTCCTCAATGTATAACTGTGTTTAATTAGACAGTAAGCATTTATGTAAGAAAAGTGAAAATTATTGATAAAAGTATAGCTTGAAAATAATAATTCATGTCAAGTTAAAACAGCTGAGCCCAATATTTCCTCCTACACTGTCATCTTTATATAAAACCAAGAAAAGAAATAGAAATCTTAGTACTGTGTAAACTAAATAAAGAGAATTTATAAATTATGCAACATTAAAATTAACAATTTTCAAACTGTATAGATCAGAAAAAGACCTCATTGACTTCTCCTTTTTTTCTCTTTCTTTCTTTTTTTATGTGTTTTGTGGGATTTTTTGTTGTTGTTTTTTGTAGGGAAGGGAGAGTTTGGGCACAAGCAAGCACCCGAGCAGAACCACAGACCTTCCATTAGACTGCGGGATAGCTTTCTCATATGAAAGAATCTTATGTCAGTTTCAGGATTCAAACCCACATGCAGGTTAAGCGACTCAAATTCAAGGACCTTAACCACTCAGCCATAGTAGTCTTTGTGTATTATACAGATAAAATCATTACCTCAAAGACTTTTTCCTCTGTCAGTGTGCCATGGTGTAAGCCAGACCTTAAAGTATATAAAAATTGTGCATGTTATGTTTATCTCTATGTAAATGTAATACAATTTAAACAAACAAGTACCAGTAAGAACAAAATTTATCATCACATCTTACCAATATGGATTATACAGTTAATGTAGCAGTTAGAATCACCTTATACACAGTGTTATTTTTAAAAATATATTTTTTATTCAAATTACTTTATCAGAAAGTAACTGGTGTCATTTCCTTCCTAAACATAACATTATTGTTACACTGCTTGGTCTAGTTTTCGCTTGATGCAGAAAAAATAAAAATCAACATGAAAAATTTAAATTGATTTGTCAGCAAAAGATAATTGTACAATAGAAATGAATCAATTTTAATTGGGCACAGTGCTTGAGTTTTTGAATAAAACAATAATATACAGGCTTAAAGGGTTTAATAATTACAACTTGTCAAATATGTCAAATATGACAGAACTTCCTCAGTTTTTTCTTGGAAAGAGTTTAGCACTCACAATGTTTATGTTTCAGAAGAAATTTAGGCAGTGGGGTAGAGTTATGGGGTTTGGGATGGGTGTCAAACTCATGACCTTTGAATTTGAAGTCAAAGTGTAACCAATTACCACTGCTCATGCAGTAAGCATTCACTGCTACATCTTCATGGAATCCTTCTTTGTTTTAGGTTTAAAACTTGATTTACTTTAAAAATGTTCACAAAATATATATTTGGGAAAAAGGGACATAATTTTCAAAATGTACAAGCCAGAGTTATGTTACTTGAATTGGGATGTCCCTGATATATCAAAAAGTGTATATAAACAGACATGTTGTAAATTATATTGGAAAAGGTAACTTAAAATAAACATCAAAACATCTGTCACTTAATTACAAAATTGAGAAACATCCATAGTTTGAAAAAGTACACATCTTCCTTGAAAAATCATGATAAACCAGATGTGACCTTAGATTTATTGACATAATATTCTTAACAGGAAATAAAACATATAAGGAATTTACAAAGCTGTTTTGAAAATAAATAAAAGAATTTCAAAAGCAGTAATAAGAGATTGCCTCCTTTTCTTGAGCTTGTTGAACACAAATACATGTATATCTTATCTTATACTTGGATTTGGTTATATACCTCTTATCGTCTAACTTTAATGGAAGGAAGCTTATCTTAATTCTTTTTAATCTACTGATTTTGCCTATGCCACCAGAGCAGGCCAAGATTAGCCAGCAAATTCATGCCATCTGATCATGGTCTGAACTCCTCACTATTCACTGATCAGTTAGTTCATATTCTGAAATTTTCCCCTAAAATATGAGGAGACACTTATATCCAATGTGGAATATGATTTGTCAAAATATTACACAAAATCTCCTTATAAAAAAAGTTGTTATTCTGCATGGTAAAGTTATTCAAATGAAGGGATGAAAAGCTTGAACCCATATAAAATATTTTTAGAAGTGTATGAGTATTTGTAGTATTTGTATTTAAACTCTGTTGCCCTAGACTTATTGGGCTAGCCCTTGTATTAAGTTGATGCTTGGCTGATTTTTTTAAATAATACTGTATACTTACAATGAAACCTGTACAGTGGACATCATTGTTTGCCATTGTCTCTCTAATTTTGACACTTGCTGTAAAACAATCACATTATTTTTAAGGAAATACAATTTACATTTCCCAATTAGTTAAGAATTCCAATAAAAAGAGCTTGCCAATTAAAACAAGGGTGCCATAGTCACAAAATACGCCCGTTTACGAAAGCTTTAGATGGAGATGGGGGCATTATGAATAAGTGTTATCTAGCAAGCAAGTTTTTATTCTTGGCACTGTGTTGTTTAATGAACCTTAAAACAAATCAGTAGGGAAGATATGCACAGGATGTGTGACCTTGACCTTGGTCGCAGGGACCTGAATTTTATGCACGGCACTCAGCCTCACAATGATGAACATTTGTGCCAAATTATATTGAAATCCCTCTATGCATGTAGAAGTTTTGCTCCAGACAAGCGTTTTTCTATGAGCTCTAACTGTGACCTTCACCTTTGACCTAGAGACTTGGTTCATGTGCAGGGCACTACGTCTCATGGTGGTGAACAATTCTATAAAGTAACATTAAAATTCCTCCATGCATGTAGAAAATATGTTCCGGACAACATCTGGATATTTAATCATCTCCAGTGACCTTGACCTTGCAAATATTAACCTAAATTAAATGTGTCACACCTGTAGTCATGATAGTTACCATTTGTGCTACAATCCATCAATAAATGATGACTAAATGGTCCCTATACACATCTTCAAATTTTTATCTGAACTTTGACCTGTATGTGTAACCTTGACTTTGGTCGCAGGGATCTGAATTTTGCGTGCGACACTCAGCCTCACAATGGTGAACATTTGTGCCAAGTTATATTGAAATCCCCCGCAAATGAATGTAGAAGGTTTGCTCTGGACAAGCGTTTTTCAATGAGCTCTAAGTGTGACCTTGACCTTTGACCTGGAGACCTGGATCATGCATGGAGCAATACATATCATGGTGGTGAACATTTCCATAAAGTATTTGAAAATTCTTCCATACATGTAGGAGATATGCTCCAGACAAAATCTGGATATTTCACCATCTTTAGTGACCTTGACCTTGCATATATTGACCTAAAGTACATGTGTCACAGCCGTAGTCATGATAATGACCATTTGTGTTACAATCCCTCAATAAATGATGATTAAATCGTCCCTATATACACATCTTCATATTTTTATCTTAACTTTGACCTCTATGTGTGACCTTGACTTTGGCTGCAGGGACCTGAATTTTGTGCGCGACACTCCGCCTCACAATGGTGAACATTTGTGCCAAGTTACATTGAAATCCCTCTATGCATGTGGAAGTTTTGCTCCGGACAAGCGTTTTTCAATGAGCTCTAAGTGTGACCTTGACCTTTGACCTAGAGACCTAGTTCATGTGCGTGACATGGCTTCTCATAATGGTGAACATTTCTATGAAATTTCATTAAAATCCCTCCATGCGTGTAGGAGATATGCTCCGGACAAAATCTGGATATTTCATCATCTTTAGTGACCTTGACCTTGTATATATTGACCTAAATTATATGTATCACAGCCATAGTCTTGATAATGACCATTTGTGTTACAATCCCTCAATAAATGATGACTAAATGGTCCATATACACATCTTCATATTTTTATCTGAACTTTGACCTCTATGTGTGACCTTGACCTTGGCCGCAAGGACCTGAATCTTGCGCGCGACACAAATGGTGAACATTTGTGCCAAGTAATATTGAAATCCCTCTATACATGTGGAAGTTTTGCTCCGGACAAGCATTTTTCAATGAGCTCTAAGTGTGACCTTGACCTAGAGACCTGAGAATCCAGAAATTTTTTACAAAGGAAATAATTAAGTGAAAAACGATGTTACACTTATAGTTTTGAGCTGAGTGTTGATATAGCATACTAACATGCCAAATATAAACGCAATCATTGTAATCTTTTATAAGTTTCAGACGAGTAAAGGGGCATTTCTTCTGTTATTTTCTTTTGTTTAATAGAGAGCCATTGGCCCCTTATTCTACTGTTACGGAATAGTACCATATATGACAGAGTGAGATACCTCAACCACCATATTCTCTAGTGCTACAGGATCCATGTAGTTATAAAGTTTGTGTACTTCTTCACTAACATCACACACTTCATGCAGCATAGTGAAAAATCCACCACTGAAAAAAATACATCAACATTGTTCATTTTATAAAAACAAATCCTTGAATGAGACCTAGGATATTTACTTATATTCCATATAAGTTGTGATAAAAAAGAAGAATTCAGACAAATGCCTCCAAAGCTAGGCCCTGTAAAGGAACCATGACCTTTGGCCTACAACAAGGACATGATTACTATAAAAAAAAATTGTTAAAAGTAGTGAAACAGTAACAAACACTTTTTCATATTCTCAGAATGCCAAATTATTTCAGAATTGTGTGCTACATGTTTTCTTAATAAGCCTCATATTTATGGTTTATTCCATGAATAACAAAGTTACACACAAAACATGATTATCTATTAAAAACCATGACTTTTGATGTACAAGTGTGACCTTTTAGCTGGAGACATAATCATGAAGTGGTACATTTTAACATGCAACACATCTCTACCCTGCTATTTTCAAATCCATTTAAGAATGATATAATTGCTGACCAGACAGGACCATCAATGCACTTTTATAAAAAAATTATTTACCGTCTGTACTTAAAAATCTAGATCTCTCATGCAAAATTGCAAAAGGTCATTCAGTTCAGAGTTATAGTGTTCTTATGCATTGCATTTCTTGTTAATCAGTTCTATTTATTTATGAAGTTTCATGTTGATTTTTTCCTTTCTTCTTGAGGTATACCCCCATATAAAAGTAAGTATGAAAAATTTCTAAGAGCAATTTCTCCAATATTTTTCAAAAGAGAGTTATGATTTTTAAGCAATGCACTTCTTCCAAATAAGATGTAACTACATATGAAGTTTTAAATTTATAAATGAAATAGTTTAAGTTTTATGTTCCAGCCAAATTGTGACAGCCAAATGCCATACAGACAAGCATCCATGCAGTCAATGCTGCATTTTTATCCCTCCATCTCCACAGGGGATAATAAATAACTAGAATAGTTTGAAACTTCAGATGTCTAGTATAATAAAACTGAAATAAGATTGAACCAATCATATTTAACCATTTAAGAGGCGACACAATTTTCTGGACATATAACCTTCAGAAGTCAGAGGCCGTGAATAAATACTTACCTTCCAACTCCCTCAACACCATACACTTGAATAATCGGCCATTTTTCTATCAACATGATATCAAACTTGTGTAGATTTGCTGCAAAATTTAAAGAAAATAAATAAAATATTCAGGGAAATCTTTTGAGAACTGCAAAAAGTTTTGGTTCTTTCAGTATTTCAAAAATACATGGTCTTGACAAACAATACCTCTTTTTTATTAAGAAAGCCACATTCTGGTTACAAAATGTTACAAACATTTTAAAAAATTTTTTTAAAAAAAAACAGGTTTGACAAAGATAAGCGAGGACAATTTATAAAAAAACAAACATTAAATTGAAAAAGAAATTAATCTCAAGTTTTTTTCTTCCATTTTAATTTTTTTCTTCCATTTTAAGAAGTGGTCTTGTCAAGAGGTTAATGGACCTTTCCAGTTTTTCGTAGCGGAACATTTAGCCACACCTTTTCCATTCATTGCTAGATCAACTGCTCACAAACAGTATCACAAACATAAGCACGTGTTCTTTTGTGCAAACCAGATCAACCAATGACTATGTATTATCTCAGTGTAGCGATTGGATAACACGTAAGCCAATTTACATAAAACTGTAAACACCAGAAAGGTCCATAAAAGGCTTAAGCTAAGTCTATGCCTTTACAAACCAGATCATTTGTTTACATTATCTAAAAAGCGGTCAACCATTGTTATCAACTGACTACACTCACCACTAAAGCTTGCAGTGCACAACTCTTATTTAATAAAAATTACATTTCTAATACGTCTGCACAATTTTTACTGCCAGAATTAAATACGGACTACTTTTTTCTCAACAAATTTTTGCGTAAGGTTAAAAAAAAACACAAGATTTTAATTTTTGTTGAACTTGGCAATCCACAACAACAAACATTGGTAAAAAGTTAAAATTGTATTTTTTTAAGTCATACCAGGTTCTATACTGTTGGTATTTTTGTACTTTGACATTGATATCCCTGTAGCTTCAAAAAGACTGTTACAAAAATTCAAATTGAGTTTTCATCTGGTTAAAGGTTAAAACACATGGATTCTGATGATGCAAATAGAACATTACAAACCTGAATTGCTGTATGGTATGCCTATCTTCTTACAATCTTTTACCATGGAAACAAAGCTTTTCACTTTAAAATCTTCTGCAACTTCTTCATCTTCATACTGTAAGAAACACATTGTAATCATCATTAACTAGGCTACATATAATTTTACCTTTTTGTTTGCTTCAGTTAAGAACCAGTTTATATGGAGAAGTTCAAATTTTCCACTGTCACAGATTAAACTTCTAAAATCCATACATGTTCAGTTAATAGTAAATTATAAGAATGAGAGAATCTTTAAAAAGAGATGAACTAAACATGGCTGTGAAAATGTAGATACACAGTGAAAAAATACATAATAGACCAGTGAAATAATAACAATGTTGTTAAAAAAAATACATCTGTAACAAACTCTCTGAATATCTTCTACAAAAGAAATTAAAAGCTATAACCTCAGTGGAGTCCCTTCAAATCTTTTCATACAGTGCAATAAAACTTTTTTTATTTAAACTTAAATCACATAACATATACTTCAGACATGAACAAAAATACATACATGCATTATAATTAGTTAAGGTAGAAAAAAAACAAAATAGATTACCTCTGTATCAGTCAAACAATGAAAGAAGACATTTCTCCAATGACTCACATATGGTAGTAGATAATGATAGTTGATAGGGTTACAATATATATCAACTTTGTCTTTTTGTATTAGAAACAACACATCTGCAAAATAAACAAAAACATACATTAACCCCTTACATGTACACCACTGAACATAGATAATTGGTTTGCCCCTCTTTCAATTTGGTGCTGGGTTTGCCTTTCATTAAATCTGTTAAATGCAAAGACATTTCCAAAGAGATGTCAGTAGGACAGGGTGCTTAACTAATTTCAGTGCTTCATTATAAATCATGAGCCTGGAAAATTGGAAAATATAGAATTTTCTAAGATCAAAAAGGGCCATTGTTCTGTTACAACCCATGTTAAAGTTATGGCACTTAGATAGTGACCTCCAATTATGCTCTTAAATAAGTGTGTAAAGTTTCAACTCATTCCCCTCAGTAATTTGAGGATACCAACATGCATAAAAACTTAACCAAAGTATGACTAACTCTGATGCCTTGGTGAGTACAACAGCCAACCTTATTCCAACAGCAGAGCAAAAAATGTTAAAATTTTGCAGCTGTAGAGTTCAGTCAGATTACAAAGAAGTGCAGAGTGGACAATGCCTTACACTGAGTTTTCAGTTCTAGAACAGTATAGGTTTCACTACATAATGCTTGAAATTGTGATAAATAGATAATTTTATATCAAACTTTCATTAAATTGTATTTTGAAAATTGTCTGCAAAACAACCAAAGAAAACATGTCATTTGTACAAAAAAACATCATACACATCAATGTACTTAAGCCTTCAGAAAATATATTTAACATAATACATGTAACATTTAAAAGTTTTAAGAATAAAATGTATATGTATCACCCATCTATATCACTTAATGTAAATGTTTAATGCTATCAAATGATTGTTATATTTGGAAAAATTGACAAATTATAAATATTACAAGATACATCCAAGAAGTATATTCATCTAATAATTAACTCAAAACATAAATTGTAGTATTTGGTTAACAATAACTCTATCCTAAGGGTATTTACAATTGTTTCAAACTGTAACAAAAAGGATTTTTTAAAACGCTTACCATCAATAACCTCCTCATCAAACCCTGACCTGTAAAACATAATGAAACAATTTGTTCAAATATTATAATACAGTACTAGCAGTTGGATAGTCATTTAATCAAAATTTCTTCATTTGAACAGAGATATTATTGGCTAGAGTGTAGCCCTTCTTGCACAGTATCCTAGTAATGCATAATAGTGAAAATGAACTAATCATCAACGTGTACAGTATATATGGTATTTTCCAAAAAACAATTTAAAATTTAACCTAAAGAAACTTGGCACACTTCCATAATTTTCCTGGCAATTTTTAGAAAACTTTATTAATTTTGTTACTATTTTTATATATCATGTGACTTACCATCTTACACAATTTTTATACTTTAGCTAGATTTATACTTTGTAAAATTTATCCTGATGAAGAACCAGATAGGTTCGAAACCGGTAGATCTTTTATTAAAATTTTGTTAACATTTATCCGGTGTTGACGTGTGGTTTCTTTGAATTCTTCCTTTTTATCCAGTATCCTAGTAAGTAAACTTATCATAAATGGTAAATTTATTGACTTGACTTCACACTCACTACACTTATTTTGTTAAATTTTTTGGATGTTAAATTCAGATTTTAATAAAATAACTTCAAAAAGTTTATCATAATCATATTTATGCATTAAACATAATTTAAATAAATAATTATCTGAAATACTTAGATAGAATATTGCTGATCAGCATAATAATAAAATCAGTTCTGTTTTGTGGTAAGTCACCACCAACCATCTGCTTTCATTGAAAGATATGCTTGAATGAGCAGTTTTGAAAAATTTTAATTTAAATTTTAATATTATCCAACAAAATGACAATAAACAGGGAAATTCATTGATGATGATTTACATTCCTTCAATATATTGAATTTGATAATAACTACAGTTTCCAAATGAAGTGTGAAATTGTATCAAAATACACTAACCCTTCCAACTCAGCCATACGAATTTCAAAGAATCCAAACAGCAAATAATTGATAAGTTCAAGCATACCATCATTGTACCTGCTGTCAATACCTAGAAAATGTAAATAAAATTATAAATTCAGGAGTGTTGGCAATGCATTATTCAACAACAAGTAAATTTGAAACCTCTATTTTAATATTTTAATATAATTTAGGAAAGTAAAAAAAAAAAATTAATATAACAAAATACTGACATTATGATTTTACTTCTTTATCTACATTGTATTTTCTGTTTTGTATAATACTTCATTATTCAGGGTGTTCATTAGCCATGTAATCCTGAGGGTCATTTTGACCAGATACAAGGCAAATCCCCATAATTTAACAAAATTTGACCCTCCAGTTAAAATCCTGTGGGTCAAATCAGGTCTTTTTGAAATTTGAAGGGTCAAAGTGTCATTTCAAGGGTCAAACGGACACCCTGATTATTTCAGTATGATTTCAAGTTACATATGAACATTTTAGCAATCTGCATCGGTAGAAGAAGAAACTTTTATTTGTTCATTATGATTTCAAGTTATATTTTAACACTATAAAAGTCTCTACTGGTGGAAGAAGACCTCATGTGCCGGTCCATATATAAGTCATAATTGGACACCTGAGAACAACTATTCTCCTTACATATTCTTACTAGATAGCTAAGTCACAATAACAAATTCAAATTCCTTGTTGTAAGCCAACCTAAAGCCATTAGGGACAAGTAATTCAAAATTGGCAGCCATAACCCCTTGGCAATGGAGACCCCTTTATCTTGTTTAATAAAATACCATAAGACTTAAATAATAATATCAAGATACAGAAGAATGAACAAAAGTTACCTGCAATGCACAGGATTGCATCAGGATAATCTTTGGTGGCTTTTGTGCCATCATTCAGTAAGCTTTGCACATGACGTAGTCTTGTTGCACTGAAAGTAAAGGTGTCAAGCATATATTAATGACCTTTCATTAATCTATGTTTGTTTTGTTGGGGTCAGCCCCATTTATAACAGAATTCTAGTCATAATCCAACTGACGATCTTTAACTCCATCATAATGATAAAAAGATAAATTGAAACAACAACAAGAAAGTTTTCCCTTATGAGAAACTTTATGGGATACATGTAAAAATGAAGTCTGACTGGAACCAGAGACCCTCAGAGCACCATACTGAGGCGCTACAGACTAAACTGTCTAGTTGCTCACACATGTTCTCACTTACTACCCAAATAAATAGACAATTTGTCCTGAAATCTGTTATGGTAAAGGAACACTTTTGGGTGCAGTCTAACTTGAATTTGATTTGAAACACATGAAACACCACACCATTGTTCTACTGACTGAGCTATTCCCATCATCAGCTTTCACCAGTGTCATTATAAATGTTAATTGTACTTGACTGTCACAATGAACAAGCATTACAGAGGATACAGTATATTATAAATAAAAATATGCATGAACCAAAATAAATAATGGCTGAAAAATATGAGTTTCTTTGGGTGTAAAGACTTATGAGCATTATACTGAGGTTAGTGTTATAACAGGGCACTATATAACAGATGGCAATAAAGGTGACCAGTCAGGGTCCCGGGACAAGATGGTTAAGGGATTAGTTGACTCAAAATCCTACTATATCTCTCAAGACATGTCCTGTTGTCAGAAAGCTCTAAGATCACTCACTGTAAATTTACTAAAGCTAGTATTACTTTTAAGGAAATGTCTAGTCCTGCAGGTAGCTACTTCCTATCATAGAAAAATGCTTTTTGTTGGGTGCGATAAATTCATTCCTCTCTCCTAATAAATGTATGCATCCCTACAAGTGGTTTGTCAAAATTTCTTATCCTAGGATAATAATCTATCATCTGGGACCCTTTCACTGAGGCAAATTACTGGAAACTGGAGATGGTGCTGCGCCGAGCGGCAAGATTGGTCTTCTCAGACTACAGAAGAACCAGCAGTGTGACACCGCTGCTGCAACACTTACAGTGGCCTACCCTCCGAGAACAAAGAGCCCATGCCAAGGTGACCATGATGTACCGCATAGTAAATGGCCTAGTTGAAGTCCCTACATCCAACCTCACCCCAATCATCTCTGCTAGAGGACATGGACTTCACTACCTGGTACCATTTGCAAGGACCCGGTGCTACCAGCGATCCTTCTTCCCAGACACCATTCCGCCTCTGGAACAGTCTTCCCAAGCAGTTGTAAGCTGTACAACCAGAGACAGCTTCAAGAGGGAAGTACTACCACTCACTCTCCGATAGACAGTCAGGTGTTTTTACCTTTTTACCAGCACTATACATAGTACTTTTTAAATCACTTTTGTACATACAGACACTTCTCACACCGCGCTGCACTAGTTAGTGATGTTCTGATTGTCGCAAGTCGCCGATAATCAGTTACTGTTATATAAAGCGACAATAATCGATTCACAAAAATATGTTCCGCGACGTCGTCGAAAATGTTTGAAGTATCAAAGGGAATTACTTCTGAGGGTAATTTTCTTTTAGGAACACCTCACCGATCGCAAAAAATCATCTCAGAGACAATTTTGAGTTGAACAGGATCTATACGTGATGTAAACAATAGTAATACAGGCTTCGCAAAAGTTGCCGGACCGTCGGACATGTCCGGCAAAAAATCAGGCCGGTCCGATATTTTTTTTTGAGTTCCGGACCTTATGTCCGGTACGAATACCGGGATATATCCAAGACCGATCATGACCGAGTTTTCTCCAATGAATAAAAAAATGTAAACCGAGTTTTGATTCGCCGTTTCATTATAAGTGTCCAATCAAATTCTAGATACATACGACTGTCAATAACCAAAATGTCGGTGTTACTACATTATTACGCTGGCGCTACGCCCGGCAAAAATCGTAAACTAACCAATGAAGAAAAAAAAGCGAAACAAAAGGAATACGAGTCCAGGCGCCCGCCGAGAATTTGTGGGTAAATGGAAAAATGGCCACTTTGATCATGAATGTTTTGATTTCCAGACAGAGTCCATCAATCTGGATAAACTAATGTTTTATTTAAGGGAATAAAATTGTGTTGCAAATCTTTAAAAGTTGTTATGTCTTTAAAAAAAACACAAAGGTAATACCATATACATATATTTGGAAAAAAAATCGGTCAGACAAAATTTCTTTCGGTCAGACAAGAATTGAAAGTTTGTCTGACCGAATGTCTGGCAAATTTTTCAGCAGTTTCGCGAAGCCTGGTAATATAATGTGATGTGAATGTCATTATTTGAAATACATTGAAAAATAAAATCTATTTCGTAAAATTATGAGGTTAAAACTATGATGAAAAGTGCTAAATGGAGTTCATGTTACTGAATATAATCAAGTGTCTTGGGAAGAAATGTTACTTCCCTATTTCTTTTTAATGCGACTTTATTCGAAAAGTTATCGATTATGTACTATCCAATTGAACCGATGATCGATTGGGACAAATTTCATCCGATTTCCATCACTAGCGCTAGTACGATTATACGCCGAAAGGTGTCTGTAGTATACTATATTGGAAGAAGGAGAGAGACAAGATGTCACTCTATTGACCTATGTCTTTTACGTGGAAGAAAAATAAATCTCATAACATCTAAAAATTATATTACTTACTGTATCTAAATGATAAAATAAGTACTAAATCAACCGGACAAAGAAGAATATTCAAATGTTTTACCCCACCCACTTTATTCTACAAACTAGGACATCAGCGTTGTTAGCAACCAGCGAAATTTTGACAAAATACGGACATCTTAAGAAATGTGTTGAACTAGTTTATTAATATTACCTAACAAAGCAACTAAATGTTTCTTGTTTGATGTTCCTTCTCGCTGAAGAAGGACGCTTTGGCTTGTTAAAACTCATATTTTTAGAAGAATGTCACAATTTCAGCCATTGCAGGCCGTTTAAACATTTACAAAAATATAAAGTTTAATATTAAATGCAAAATAACATGGGTATGCTAAAATGACCAACTATATATTTAAAATAAATTTATGATAGTGTGTATAATTCTTCTTTATTCAATTTGTAAAAACTACTTATATTCCCTGTATTGTTTTATCTTTTTCGTTTTAGATATAAGCGGTTAAAAACATGGCAGATGCCGGCAGACAGGAAGATAGTTTAGCAGAGGGTTTGCGAAAAAGGACTGTTAAATCTGAATCGCTTTATGATAAGGCCACTGTTAAAACTTCAGAAGATGATTCATCTTTGCGACAAACAAAGTCTCCATCCGTGACACAATCTTCGAAGATCGAGAGCGGCACGTATTGGTTAACCAGAATTCTTCTTTTGAGATACCTTGGATTTATTTATTGTAAGCATCAATGGAAGTAGATGGATTTTACTTCTACTGCTTTGTGCTATGTAGACCATCACTCAGCGTCTTAACATTTTGTAATATTTTTTGTGTTGATGTTAGATGGTGATATAAGGCAGTTTTGAATTAAAAATTGTACTCTGTTTTATGTTGCAAAAATCAATATAAATTTCAGAGTGTGACAGTGTAAATCAATATATGTCTGTTTTATCTCGCTCATTAAATCATTGCAGAAGTCAGGTTGCCATAGCGATTAAAATTTATCTGAAAACTGTAACATATTGTAAATTTTAATGTAAAGGCGACTGAAATTGTTGATAGAGTACATGTACCTTGAATCTAATTACAGTGTAACTTCTGAAAACCGAACACCCATGGGACTTGTCAAAAAGTTCGGATTTCAGAGGTTTCCGGAATTCAGAGGTTTATGATAATGTGGACAAGACTAAGCCACTAATTGTCACTAAATGTCAAGAAAAATCAAGCCATTACTGTAATATCATATATAATAGTCTTTTAATCAAGATAAAGATGTGAATTAAAAAATACATTTATATGTAACACTTTAGTAATACTTTATAATGATGATACTTATATAAAACATACATATACAACGAATTTTTATTGTAAATAAACAATGTTTATGCATGTTAGTTACATATTTGCATCTATTTCTATGTTGCTTAATCTGAATAGGTAGCACATACATTTATAATCAATGTTTTACTGTGTTATACTTTGCTCATTTTTATCTTACCTGCAAATGCCTTTGAATTTCTATCAGTTTGTAGAAATTTTGTAAATTGCATAAACTTACATATTGTCTGATGCTAGTTAATTAATTATTACATCAAATGCAATAAAATCTCTAAAGACGTTTGATGCATGCATTGTCCCAATTAGTTGTCATTTAATCCGCTAATAAACACTTCAAAATAACTGACCGCCGTAAATTACTTTAATTAACCGCATCACTTCAAACATACCATTTCACAGTTTGTGATTTTAACACGTGTCAAATTAAATGATCACCGCTAATTAGTAAACAATCGATAGGGAGATTAAATTTTTCCTGCAGGGTAGACATTTTCGATTTACAATGTATTTCACACCTTTGGATATTTCTGGTTTTTGGAGGTAAAATTGCATTTATTTGACTCTAATTTTACGAAAATATTGTCCGGAATTCAGAATTTAGAAGTTCCGGAACTCAGAAGTATTATATCAATAGAAAATAGAAGGGGAAAATCAGGACCGAAAAAATTGTTCGGTTTTTAGAAGTTTCCGGATTTCAGAAGTTCCGGAATTCGGAAGTTACACTGTATGCATCTATGGGCTTACTTGTATATTGGATGAGGAGATTAAAAAATGCTACAGTTTACAGGTGCACAAGTGCACAAATTAAAGTATGAGTATTGATTAGTTTAAGCAGTGTAAGTGGTTTATCTAACAACAAAACTGGTTTGATTGTGCATAGTATATTACACTGCACCTATCTTCACTTGTATTCAGTACTGCAATTATTCAAACAGTTAATATATTAATGTTTTCAAACAAACCATTTCATTTATTTAGAGTGTTTCATTTCAGTTGAAAAGAATGTATATAAAGGTTGTAATTATATACATTTTTGCAGTTGTTGCTTTCTTGGTGGCTCAACATCAGAACAAACAGTTGATTGGTTCATATGGAATTCTGCCAGCTTCATCTTTCTTAGATGATGTAAGAAGACGAACTGGTGGCCGAGAAGGGACAATAAAATGGTCAACATTCTTACAGGTGCCTTCATTGCTATGGTTATTTGATTATGGTGAAGTACTAGATGAACTGCTAGACTATATAGCTTATGCTGGACTTGGCTTGTCTACCTTCCTCATCATAAATGGAGGAGCTAACTGGTTTATCATGTTTGCCTTGTGGGCACTGTACCATTCTCTTGTTAATGTAGGACAGAGATGGTATGGATTTGGTAGGTTGTTATTTGTTTCCACTGTTCCATTAGGTACATGTATTATTCTATTTGATTACAGTTATTCTAAATTTTTGCCTACTTTTACTTGTTTTTATCATAGATATATCTATTTTGCTAATAGATCTAAATAAAATAAATGTATTATGTAAAAACAAACATAAACAGTGACAGTTATATTATCATGTCTATATTTAGAACAAAAAAAGTTTTTATATCAGAATAATTATGCCAGTAGTTATTGATAAAAGAAGAATTTTAGAATTTAATGACACATTTATGTTTGAGAAAAGGAAAACAAACTTATATATAGCATTCAAGGGTTGTGCTTTTAACGAAAAAAAAAAACTTTTGAAAATTAAACATTTTGCTCCTTATTTTTTTCCAATCATTGTGTTATTTTATGAACTGATCACTATTCCAGGTTGGGAGTCGCAGTTACTAGAGACTGGGTTTTTAGCAATATTTTTGTGTCCATTATTTGACACATCATCTCTTCCAAGATTTACACCAACTTCAAAATTTGTGATATGGGGATACAGGTGGCTTATATTCAGGATAATGCTTGGTGCTGTAAGTAGACAAGGTTTATTGAGATATAATTTACTTCAACAACTTACAAGTGTACAAATTGTAGCTTTATATAAAGTTTAAATCATTGTTAAAACAATTCTTATTCTTTTTTTCATTTTCTAATATATTCATGCCTTTTGGCCATTTCTTGTCTGTGTCAAAAACATTTATATCATTTTTGTCTAAAAAAGATGTGGCAGTCAGTTTTTTTCAAAACCGTTTTGTTAATTTGTTTTTATGGTGTAAGGGAGGCAACTTATTTTCAATTACATTTCAATGAAATACATATTTACCTCCCTTTTATTCATGGATCATTTGGGCTAATTTACCATGAATTTTATTTTTACTGTCAGGCTTTCTGGCATTTTCAAAAACTAGTGCCTTTAAAAAGGTAAAGAAGTATAAGACTTTTTGTATGTCTGTTTAAAACTTATGTATTACAGGGACTTATAAAGATCAGAGGAGACAAATGTTGGAGAGATCTCACTTGCATGAATTACCATTACGAGGTATGAAAATGTTTAATAACTTTCTTTCACTTTGTTAAGCTTTAACCTTGCTGATTTTGTGTAACAGACTTAGGAAATAAATGAACAAAACGTCTAGCACTAAGTTTAGCTGAAACATAGAAATAAACCTGAGTCACAAGTGCCAGTGTCAATCATGTTAACCACTGGCACTAAAACAGCTCAATCTACCAATATAAAAGTCATGAATTCTTTTATTCAATTTATTATTAATTCAAGAAAGGTGGTATAATTCCAGAGTTAAAGACTCACAAGAGATCAATAGAGAGATTGTAGTTTTATAACAAGGGTAAAATGCTGCAAGTCAGTGAATGTGCTATATGCTTGAAATTGAGACTATAAATGATATAAATTTACTTTTTACTTCTGGAGTTTAAAGTTTAACAAAACCAAAATACAGTGTAGACTGTGTTCAATGACCTTCCATTGAAGAGAGCAAATAAGGCCACTAGACACAGGGGGTCACTAGATACAATCCCTTCAGTTTTTTTTTAATTTAATCCATGTGATTGTGTTATAAAAATGAAAAATTTTACTTTGCTGTTTTAGACACAGCCTGTACCTAATCCGATGGCTTACTACATGCACCAGTCACCAGAGTGGTTCCATATGTTCGAGACCTTATCTAACCATTTTGTGGAGCTTATTGCACCGCTACTGCTGTTGATGCCTGCACCTAGAATCTGTAAAATGATTGGTGGATCCATACAAATTCTTTTCCAGGTTGGTTTTTTTATGATAACATGTTTACAATGGAAAAACACATATTTTTTCATTAAGTTTGAACTCTAACTTGTGCTTAAAACAATATGTTAAAATATTAAACTTCAGCTTGATATTGCAAGTGCTCCATTCCCTTTGATAATCATGGTGTTAAAACAACATGCCCACAGATTCATGCTAATTTTCATGAAAATTTTGAAAATGTGTTTGAAAGTAAAATATTGTGAATTGAACAAAGAAAGTATTTTACCAATTGCAAACGGCATTTACAATCCATGTAAATTACCAAAAAGAGGTCAATATATGCAAAAACATAGCCCTTGTTGCATTAGTCATGCAGTAGAAATATGTTGATATATACTTCACAGTCATTTAATGCACATAACATGAAAATTATTACCTGAATCTTGTATTAAAATCATAATACATGTATACAATTTTTCTCAAGTTTGATGCAGTTTTAAAGTTGTCCTCATAGATAATATGACACATTGTAAGCTGTTTGATAATCTATCAGCGTTTTTTTTCACTTAATTTGGGAAGAAGCCTTAGCCACTTGATTTTGGGGGAAATTTTCACTATTTTGGAAGTAAAACAAGCTGGTGTAAGTTCAGATTTTTTGGAAAACTGCATGATTTAACAAAAGTTTTGGTTGGGAAGTTGAAAAATCACTGTCTATAAATTGAACAATTAGAATTTGCCTTGCATTGAATTTGAAACAGACCTAATTTTAAAGGATTTCAATAACGTGATACTAATCATTCTGTCTGTTCATGGTCTACACTGTTTGTTATATTCAGCAGGGTTAAAATTTCACACCTTTTTCCACTTGCAATTTTTTGTGTTTTACATTCAGTTGCACTCTCAAAATGAGAAATTTACTTGCAAAATTGATTTTACAGGGTTCTAATTCCAGCTTGCATTTTCCATGAATGGGGCATCCGTGGCTCAGTGGTTCAGACCACTTGCCTCTCCCAGCGTTTTCAGATATTCAAGTGAGGAAGCTATCCAGTTAGCTTATGGAACGTCTGTGGTTCTACTCAGTTGCTTGTTTTTGCTTGAAATAATGTAAAGATTGGCACTGGAAGTCTTCTGCAACAAGTAAAGCTGTAAAGTTCCCAAATGACCTATACTGTGTAGGTTTGACCTAAAACCCAACCAAATAAATACATGTAATGGTTTTAGAGTATGTTAGATGCTTGTTACCTGAAGAAAATAGCGCTTAAATGTAAAACAATAGCCAATAGGTCACAAAAGTAGCAAAACGTAAACCAAGTAGTATTCAGACTTCCATTTAAAATACCGAATCACTATAAAATTAAGGTACTAATTACCAAAAAGAAACAGAAAAAGAAGATAATTCAGGTAATTGGCCAATGAGTAACTTGTTGGAAATTATAAAAGAATACCAAAAATAAAAAGATTTTGAGAAATGAAATAATGAAATCAAGGATAAACATAGCCAACTTTTATTGAAATACTTTTCAGACTTTAATTATTATACCCCCACCACAAAATGTGGGGGGGGGGCTATAATGGATTCGCTTTGTCGCGTCAGTTGGTCGGTCCGTCCGTCCTTCTCCATTTTCGTGTCCGCTCTATAACTCCTATACCAATTGAAGGATTTTCTTCAAACTTGGCTCATATGTTCACCTCAACAAGGGGATGTGCAGAACCCATGTTGCCTATGTGTCAGCTCAAGGTCAAGGTCACAATTGAAGGTCAAATATCAAACACAATCAAATATTAGACAGTATGTCGTGTCCGCTCTGTAAGTCCTACACCAATTGAAGGATTTTCTTCAAACTTGGCTCATATGTTCACCTCAACAAGGGGATGTGCAGAACCCATGTTGCCTATGTGTCAGCTCAAGGTCAAGGTCACAATTGAAGGTCAAATATCAAACACAATCAAATATTAGACAGTATGTCGTGTCCGCTCTGTAAGTCCTACACTAATTGAAAGATTTTCTTCAAACTTGGCTCAAATGTTCACCTCAACAAGGGGATGTGCAGAACCCATGTTGCCCATGTGTCAGCTTAAGGTCAAGGTCACAATTGAAGGTCAAATATCAAACAATCAAATATTAGACAGTATGTAGTGTCTGCTCTGTAAGTCCTACACTAATTGAAAGATTTTCTTCAAACTTGGGTCAAATGTTCACTTCAACAAGGGGATGTGCAGAACCCATGTTGCCCATGTGTCAGCTCAAGGTCAAGGTCACAATTGAAGGTCAAATATCAAACAATCAAATATTACACAATATGTCATGTCCGCTCTGTAAGTCCTACACTTATTGAAGGATTTTCTTCAAACTTGGCTCAAATATTCACCTCAACAAGGGGATGTGCGGAACCCATGTCACCCTTTTGCCGCCTTAATGTCAAGGTCACACTTGAAGGTAAAAAATTGACTTAGAAAATATTCTTAAATTTTAACATTTATTTGAATATTTCTGAATCTAGAAAAGGTATTTGCTTGAAAGCTTGTCACAATTAAGATATGCAGGTCAAGTTTCATAACTCTGTATTGCATTTTGACAAAGTTATGCCCCTTTTTAAGTCTTCAAATTTACATACAATCAATACTAGACAATTTGTTGTGTCCGCTCTATAAATTCTATACTAACGGAAGGATTTTCTTCAAACTTTACTCAAATGTTCTCCCCAACTGGGCGATGTGCAAAACCCATCTTACCCTTGTGCCAGCTTAAGGTCAAGGCCACACTTGAAGGTCAAAAATTGACTTATAAAATGTTTAGTACATTGGGAAAATGAAAGGTTATTTGTAACTGTTTCGAACATGATTTGATAATATATATTTATACTATTACCTGTACAATTAGTCTTTTTTTCACCAGAGATAATTTCTTTTTATGTATTTGTGCCACTTAAGTTATTCCCTTAACCACCTTTCCAAGTCGTCTTCTGTCAAGGATATTGGTGGGGGTATGAATCGCATTCAGCGATAGTTCTAGTTAAGCTATTTTATCTAGTTTTTTATTTATCTAGTATGACAAAATAACATTTTATTAAATTTTGACAGTGTTTGAATAATTTATACGTAAATTAAAATAAATGTGTTTTGAGCTGAAGGATTTGTTGAAAAGTTCATCTACTCAATATGCGTGTTAACAAGTAAAGAAGTGCAGGCAATAAAAGTAGTGATGCATAACAGATGTAATCTGTTTTACAAGCATTAAATCTGTAATAATGTTGCTATGGATCATAATTTACCTTCACTCAACCTTCATTACCTTTAATATTCATTGTATCATACTTTTGAGACTTTACTATTGAAAATTTCTCAAGGTTAAATCATATACCAATAAATATGCAAAGTGAGTTAACTGGAGTGCAGGTATTAGTTACCCGCACTCGCTGCCTGTCTAGAGCATGCTCGTTGATTGGCTTATTTTTACTGGGGTAAACTTATTGTGACGAAAGGGGAAGATAACGATAGAAAAGTCATATTCATATGCTCGTACATTGATTACTTTTTTCTAGGGTTTAATATTGTGACGACCGGGAACGTGTTGTTATTTTTGCCTATTGTGTGATACATAAGAGAAAGAACATCAAAACACATGACAAAATCTGATTTATACTCTGTTTCAGTGCTCTTTCTATTACTTATCGACCACTTTTAACAGTTTAATAAATGTACTTTTGATGTGTTGGGTATATTGTTAACTACCCGTCCATCTGTCTCTTAGCATTATCATGTCCACTCTGTATGTTTTGAACCAATGTTAGGAAAAAGGAATTTAAAACTACTTTGACATACTAACCATATTGAGATGATGTGCAGAGCACAGGTTTAACTTTCTTTATGTCAAGGTCAAATTTGGTCATTATGTATGAATTTTAAGATTTAATGTCCCCTCTGTAACTTTTGAACTGATGGGAGGAATTTAAATTTTTTTAGCAGAAATGTTATAAATGGTGTTCAAAACACAGGTTTAGGTTTCCTCACATCAAAAGAACAACTAAATTTATAAAGACTATATAGGAAAACACATTTAAGACTTATTATGTGAAACTACTATGTCCAGAGCATAGACATTTGGCTTGTAGCATTGCCTTGTGGACCTCTAAAGGTGATGTTATTTATGCCCTTTGGGTCAATATTTGCCATGTCTCGGGGGTTATTTATATCCACACTTAAATGATGAATAATGATATTTTGTTTTTGAACAAATTATTGTCTGCTATATAAATATATGTAATATTGAATCATGTATCTCACACTTGCCAACTACTTCCATGTATAATTATTTCATGGTTTGTTGTTATGTCTAATTTAAGAAATAATATATCCCAAACAGTGATTTTATCGCTCAATAACATCACTGTTTGGAGTTCGGATGCGAGGAATTATATCACGAGGGCGTAGCCCGAGTGATATAATGATGCTCATCCGAACGACAAACCGTGATGTTATCAAGCAATAAAATCACTGATTTGGATATATTATTTCGATTCTAACACGACATCAACAAATAAATGTTGCCTTACTTGATAGTTAAGCAAAATTGCGCCTGATTTGTTTCCGTACTTATTTTTAGCGCGTCGGCTTTTTAGTGTTTACGTCGAGTGTATAATGATTACGTCACATGTCTAATTATAGAACGTCAAACTGTGCATCTGTTGCATAATAACACACACTTTCTGTTCTTCTATGTTCAATAGGGAAAAATGCAGGTCGTGTTAGAATAAGAAATAATATATCCCAAACAGTGATTTTATCGCTCAATAACATCACTGTTTGGAGTTTGGATGCGCCGAATCATATCACGAGGGCGTAGCCCAAGTGATATAATGATGCGCATCTGAACGATAAACAGTGATGTTATCAAGTGATAAAATCACCGATTTGGATATATTATTCCGATTCTAACACAACATCAAATAAATGCTGCCGTACCTGAGGGATGTCATTCGGAGTCCGGATATCCGAACGTTCCGATCACAATTCGGTGTCCGGACCCGATTTTCGGATCCGGATGTTCGTAAAAAATGTTTCAGAATAATGAGAAAATGTGATAAAAAAACATGCGTTGAGATAATGGACGTAGACATGGTGTTGACACCATATTGTATATTGTACCTTAGTTTGACAATACACGTCATAATCACTGCAGACCAAAAAAATCAATAATTACTATAATAATTACGAGTCAGATATGACACATGTTTTTAATCTATATTAAACACCAAACAAATTTAAGTTTTGTAGGATTTTAAGTCCCGTGCGATTGTCATCGGCAACATTTTTTTATGTCCAAATTTAAATAATTAATTAGGCTATTTATACATGTATATTCGGCTTAACGACCCGTCGACTTCTTATTTTGAGAAAATGAAAAATCTGCAGAAATAGAATAATCAAATCAAGAAATGTACTTACGAATAATAATATGTTCATTATCAAAGCTTTTATTGAAATTGATACGGTAATTATCCGAAAAAATAACTTTCTCCTTTAGTATAAATCAAACATGTGCATTTTTTAAAAACATTTTTCTTCACAGTTTTTTCACTTATGAACACTTAAAATGTGTGAAATTCATGCAAGTTTCGGCAACTTCTTTGATGATTCGAATCAAACAGTCAAGGCTACATGTTGGTAAACATCAAAGATTGGCAGATTCAGCTACACACCATGTCAAAGGTCATCGTGTGTAAATTGTATGCGTGTTATTGAACAATGGAAACATTATATTTATTTTTTTACATGTGTTTTTTGTTTTCACAAATGTGAGCGAGTGTTATTGTGTATTATAGCACTAATTGAGGAATTGAGACAATCGGCGATGAATTTCATTTTCATTTCATTTGAAATCGTAAGTACCATATGCACTAAATTTATCGATAACAGTCATATTCTATATAGAAATTATAAAATCAATAACGATAATTTTTTGATACGTAACATTCAATTAAAAAGGAAGTAAAACGAAATACTACGCATTGAAAAAGGTCTTGAAAAAATGGTTACGTCATATCAGCCAACTAAGAATATAACAACGATCCGAACATCCGGATGTATCCGGATGTCTGATTCGGATATCCGGATGGCCGTTTCGGCTCCAGATGACATCCCTAACCTACCTGATATTAAAGGAAAATTGCGCCTGATTTGTTTCCGTACTTATTTTTAGCACGTCGGATTCTTTTAGAGTTACATCACATGTATAATGATTATGTCACATATCTAAATATAGAACGTCAACTGTGACTTTATTGCAGAATAGCACACACTTTCTGTTCTTCTATATTCAATAGTGAAAAATGCGGGTTGTGTTAGAATACTAAATACTATCAACATAATTATTCATTGTATTACAGACCTTCCATTATAGTTAAAAGAAATAGATAATGTTTAAAATTGTTTGTCCAGTAGCAACAAAGTTACACAACAACTCTTCTGTTTTGGCCACCCATTGTGATATATTGATATATGTTTCTATTAAATACCAAGATTGGATCATGTTTGAAAAAACAACTTCAATTCACAGTATTTACTTTAATAGGTTTATAGACTTTCTATTATTAATTCAAAATGAGAATCACTGCTGAAATAAATAAATAAAGTGTTGCTTTTACCAGGGGTGTATTAAGGTCTTAGGAATTACAAACCATGAAATTTAACAGGTGCTACCTTTGAAAGAATTTGGTTTAACCTTTATTTTATTAGCATTTCAATAGGTACAAATTTTTTATCAATAAGACTCATGGTGTAGTTTAAAGCATTAAAATTTTATTCAATTTGTTTTTGCCCATCATAATATTCATAAACTCAGACATAAAGAAATTAAGATATAAATTATTGGCATTCATGGCCAAATGGCTGACTTCAAAATGTTTGTCTATTATATCCAGCATCATTTAATTCTTCTGTGTGAGGAAGCTAACTTGTTGGCATAAAGAACGACAATGGATGTACTTATTCCAAAAATAATATGCCAAAAATGATTACAGTTTGCTGTTTATCACCAAAGCGGCAACTTGCCATGTGAGCATAATAATGTTGGTGTGTCCTGAAACCTGTGACCCCTCAACCCCATTAACTAAAAAGAACATTATTAGGGGATATACAGTGGAGACCCCCAGGTTTATGAAACAGCAGGCCTTTAATTATTCTGAATCAAGATGAATTAGTTTGTCATATTTATTTTCAGGTAGTTTTAATAATAAGTGGAAATCTCAGTTTCCTGAATTGGTTGACTATATTACCGAGTCTGGCCTGTTTTGATGATGCTAGTATAACATGGATGTTCTCAAAGTCAGTAAAGAAGGATGTTTCCGAAATTCAGAAGGAAGAAAAGTTAGGACAGGGGCGGAAGCTTGCTGTAGGTATGGAAACATTTATTTAATTGATGTTTTGCCTCAAACTTAATAACATACGGAAATCGGGTCATTATGGTCGAATTGTTAAGCTTATTTACTTCAAATCATTTGTTTCTGCTGGTGACATACAGTTAGATTTTTGTAGTTTTACACGGTCATTGCTTAGAATTATGTACTTGTGTACTTTGCCTTTTATCCTCTTGTGAAGGTAAAATATTGCTAAGCAATGTTTGTGAAACTTAAAACTTAAATAATGGAAAGAGAATCTGTTATATCAGAGGTAATATTAAGAATATGATATTGATATACAGTTTGTTTGTTATGTTACAATTTTGTAAAATCATATGAGGAAGTTACCCTGTTTAAAAGTTGTGTAACAACTTCATAAAATCATATGAAGAAGTTACCCCGTTTAAAGTTTGTGTAAAAACTTCATAAAATCATATGAGGAAGTGTAACCCTGTTTAAAGTTTGTGTAACAACTTCATAAAATCATATGAGGAAGTTACCCCGTTTTAAGTTTGTGTAACGACTAAATAAAATCATAAGAGGAAGTTACCCCGTTTAAAGTTTGTGTAACAACTTCATAAAATCATAAGAGGAAGTTACCCCGTTTAAAGTTTGTGTAACAACTTCATAAAATCATATGAGGAAGTTACCCCGTTTAAAGTTTGTGTAACAACTTCATAAAATCATAAGAGGAAGTTACCCCGTTTAAAGTTTGTGTAACAACTTCATAAAATCATATGAGGTAGTTACCCCGTTTAAAGTTTGTGTAACAACTTCATAAAATCATAAGAGGAAGTTACCCCGTTTAAAGTTTGTGTAACAACTTCATAAAATCATAAGAGGAAGTTACCCCGTTTAAAGTTTGTGTAACAACTTCATAAAATCATATGAGGAAGTTATCCCGTTTAAAGTTTGTGTAACAACTTCATAAAATGATATGAGGAAGTTACCCCGTTTAAAGTTTGTGTAACAACTTCATAAAATCATATGAGGAAGTTATCCCGTTTAAAGTTTGTGTAACAACTTCATAAAATCATAAGAGGAAGTTACCCCGTTTAAAGTTTGTGTAACAACTTCATAAAATCATATGAGGAAGTTACCCCGTTTAAAGTTTGTGTAACAACTTCATAAAATCATAAGAGGAAGTTACCCCGTTTAAAGTTTGTGTAACAACTTCATAAAATCATAAGAGGAAGTTACCCCGTTTAAAGTTTGTGTAACAACTTCATAAAATGATATGAGGAAGTTACCCCGTTTAAAGTTTGTGTAACAACTTCATAAAATCATATGAGGAAGTTATCCCGTTTAAAGTTTGTGTAACAACTTCATAAAATCATAAGAGGAAGTTACCCCGTTTAAAGTTTGTGTAACAACTTCATAAAATCATATGAGGAAGTTACCCCGTTTAAAGTTTGTGTAACAACTTCATAAAATCATAAGAGGAAGTTACCCCGTTTAAAGTTTGTGTAACAACTTCATAAAATCATAAGAGGAAGTTACCCCGTTTAAAGTTTGTGTAACAACTTCATAAAATCATATGAGGAAGTTATCCCGTTTAAAGTTTGTGTAACAACTTCATAAAATGATATGAGGAAGTTACCCCGTTTAAAGTTTGTGTAACAACTTCATAAAATCATATGAGGAAATTACCCTGTTTAAAGTTTGTGTTACAACTTGTAAATCATATGAGAAAATTAGCCTGTATAAGTATTGTATTACATGTTCATAAAATCATAAGAGGAAGTTACCCTGTTTAAGTGTTCTGTTACAACTTCATAAAACCATATGAGGAAGTTACCCTGCTTAAGTGTTTTGTTATATCTTCATAAAATCATATAAGGAAGTTACCCTGCTTAAGTGTTTAAGCCATGCCATAGCATCTTGAGAGAAGAAAGAGTTATTCCTCAATAAAATAAGCAAAGTAAGAGCAGGCATGGTTCTCCTGTTTATTAACTTCATAGTAACAAAAGTGTTGCTAGGATCCCTCCAATTTCTTATTTTAATATAGATGAATATTAATTAGTTAACTTTTAGTTTTTGCAATGAAATAAATGATTTGTCATTATGAGACTTTTATGTCATTTTCATGAAATGGGTGTATTATTGATGAAAAGAAAATGATAACAACCAAAAATAAGACGTCAATGTCGGAATATTTCAGTGAAAATCACACTACTCATTACAGTATAGAGTTTGATTCTCATCGTTATGTAAATTTCATGATGCGAGAAAAATGAAAAATATTATTAAGTGATCATTAAGTGATCCATAGCAGTCAGGAAGTATATTAGGATTGAATGTTTGTCGAACTTCTAAGTAATGCCTTTCACATAGTTTTGATGTGAGAAGATTAACATTAAATTTGCTATGATGTTGTTTTATTATTTTATAGTGGGGTTGTTCTACTTACCTAATATTACTTTTGCTTGATTTATGTTATCAAATTATCCTGCTTTAAATTTGAAACTGTCTATGATTAAATGTAAGTAAAGAAATCTCTTAATCACTGCACTTATATGTTATTGTAATGAGAAGGCTATAGGAGGATATAGCTGATGCTGTTAAGATAGGCATCTCATGATGTTGGCCTTGCCCTATGCTGATAGCAAAGGTGATCCATGATGTCTACTTTGCTCTATGGTGATGCCATAGGGGTCCCATGGTGTCAGTCTTGCTGTAAATGGATTGCAAAGGTGACCCATGATGTCTGCTCTATGCTGATAGCATAGGGATCTCATGGTGTCAGCCTTGCCCTATGCTGATAGCAAAGGTGACCCATGATGTCTACTTTGCTCTATGGTGAAAGCATAGGGATCTCATGATGTCAGCCTTGCCCTATGCTGATAGCAAAGGTGACCCATGATGTCTACTTTGCTCTATGGTGATAGCATAGGGATCTCATGATGTCAGCCTTGCCCTATGCTGATAGCAAAGGTGATCCATGATGTCTACTTTGCTCTATGGTGATAGCATAGGGATCTCATGGTGTCAGCCTTGCCCTATGCTGATAGCAAAAGGTGACCCATGATGTCTACTTTGCTCTATGGTGAAAGCATAGGGATCTCATGATGTCAGCCTTGCCCTATGCTGATAGCAAAGGTGACCCATGATGTCTACTTTGCTCTATGGTGATAGCATAGGGATCTCATGATGTCAGCCTTGCCCTATGCTGATAGCAAAGGTGACCCATGATGTCTACTTTGCTCTATGGTGATAGCATAGGGATCTCATGATGTCAGCCTTGCCCTATGCTGATAGCAAAGGTGACCCATGATGTCTACTTTGCTCTATGGTGAAAGCATAGGGATCTCATGATGTCAGCCTTGCCCTATGCTGATAGCAAAGGTGACCCATGATGTCTACTTTGCTCTATGGTGATAGCATAGGGATCTCATGATGTCAGCCTTGCCCTATGCTGATAGCAAAGGTGATCCATGATGTCTACTTTGCTCTATGGTGATAGCATAGGGATCTCATGGTGTCAGCCTTGCCCTATGCTGAAAGCAAAGGTGATCCATGATGTCTACTTTGCTCTATGGTGATAGCATAGGGATCTCATGATGTCAGCCTTGCCCTATGCTGATAGCAAAGGTGACCCATGATGTCTACTTTGCTCTATGGTGATAGCATAGGGATCTCATGATGTCAGCCTTGCCCTATGCTGATAACAAAGGTGATCCATGATGTCTACTTTGCTCTATGGTGATAGCATAGGGATCTCATGGTGTCAGCCTTGCCCTATGCTGATAGCAAAGGTGACCCATGATGTCTACTTTGCTCTATGGTGATATCATAGGGATCTCATGATGTCAGCCTTGCCCTATGCTGATAGCAAAGGTGATCCATGATGTCTACTTTGCTCTATGGTGATAGCATAGGGATCTCATGATGTCAGCCTTGCCCTATGCTGATAGCAAAGGTGATCCATGATGTCTACTTTGCTCTATGGTGATAGCATAGGGATCTCATGATGTCAGCCTTGCCCTATGCTGATAGCAAAGGTGATCCATGATGTCTACTTTGCTCTATGGTGATAGCATAGGGATCTCATGGTGTCAGCCTTGCCCTAAGCTGATAGCAAAGGTGACCCATGATGTCTACTTTGCTCTATGGTGATAGCATAGGGATCTCATGATGTCAGCCTTGCCCTATGCTGATTAGTTTGAACAAAAAAGTTCATCTATTATGATCGCTACAGTGTTGTTGTCATGTAAAAACTTTATTGTAACCCATTATTCAAACCTTTTGAAAGTTATAAGCATGAAACATGGAATACTTGCTTATCATGATAAGGTGCAGTAATTAGACAAGGGGCATAATCCTGAAAGCAATATTTTTGGAGTTATGCCCCTTTCTAGACAGACATGCTCTTCTATTTAAGCTTTATGGTTGGATAAACATTTAGATGTTTATGTATTTGTAGGAAACTACATCAGACGAATATTCAACGTCTCCTTGGCAGTATTACTGGCCTATCTTAGTATGCCTGTAGTGCAGAATCTTATGTCATCCAAACAACATATGAATTCTTCTTTTGATCCGTTTAGATTAGTTAATACCTATGGTGCCTTTGGAAGGTAAGTAAATAGAATTATGACAGTATATATTTTAATTAGGTTGTTGTATGAAACTTTGTTTGCAATCCAGTTTCATTATGAAGACCCACTCCTTCTTTCTTCTATTTTTTGTCAAAAAAATAATTTCTCCATTGGACAAACTTAGACCCAGTCTTAAAAGGCTGAGAAGAAAGATTCTGTTTATACGTGTTTCATTGTTTTCTACTATTTCATTATTTGATGCACCATCTCATTGTTTCATTTATATTTTATAGGTTTATGTACTTACATTGGTTCATATACTATTACATTGATTATGGACCATTACATTGTTTCATATATTATAACATTGTTTCATGTACTATTACATTGTTTCATGAATTATTACATTATTTCAATTATTATTATTATATTATATCCTGTACTTTTACTTTGTTTCATGATTTATTTCATTTTTTCATATTTTTCATATTTATTTTAGTTTTCACCTTATATTTCAGCGTAACTAAGGAGAGGACTGAGGTAATATTTCAAGGAACTCATGGTAACCCTGACGATTCTAAAGCTAAATGGTTAGAATATGAATTCAAATGTAAACCTGGTAAAATTACACGGCGACCATGTTTGATCTCTCCCTATCATTATAGGCTTGACTGGTTGCTATGGTTTGCAGCATTTCAGGTAAAATGACAGTTTTTTTCTTTTATATAATTTTAAATGAAGTAAGAAATTGAAGTAAGCTTTGAATTTTTTATGTGTGTATCAGAGGGGTATCCATTGCCAAGTGGTTAAGGTCATTGACTTCAAACCACTGTGGGTTCAAATCCAGATAGGGACTTTCGATTCTCTCCTGTGAGGAAGCTAACCAGTTCGGTTTCTACGCAGGCGCCCATTTATACCTGAAATAATGCCCAGAAAGGACCTGAGGTCTTCTTCCACCAATAAAGCTGGAAAGTCACCATATGAAATATACTGTTTTGGTGCAACATAAAACCAAACCAGAAAAATAAAAATATGTCCCCTCACAACTTTGGGTTTAAATCCAACCAAGGACAGTGGATTCTTTCATATGAGGCAACCATTCAGCTAGTTTATAGAATGTCAGTGGTTCTACTCAAGAAGACACTTTTCTCCACCATTATAAACTGAAAAGCCACCATATGGCCTTTACTATGTCAATGTGACTGAAATTCCAACGAAAGAAAAACAGAAAGGCATAGAGATAAACCTATACACAATTTGCAATTTCATGCAGCTTAACAGAAATTTAAGAAACTATTGCAAAAAAAAGTTTCCTTCTACATGTATACCTTTTAACCATTTATGGATGAGAGCATTCTTCAATATAAAAGCCAAAGTAAAATTTTAGTCTGCTTTGATTGATGTTTAGATTGTGTACTTAAATTATCAGTAAAATCCTTGGATAATAATACTTTAATGACAAAAATTATCAATAGAATCCATGGATATCGGCAGATTTATTTCAAAATTATCAGTATATTCCATGGTTATAAATCAGAAATATCTATAACCCATGGATAATGACATTTTTATTACAGAATTATCAGTTTATCCATGGATAATGAGGATTTTTATTTCAGAATTATCAATGCATGGATTATGACATTTTTATTTCAGAATTATCATAACAATCCATGGATTATGACATTTTTATTTCAGAATTATTATAATCCATGGATTATGACATTTATATTTCAGAATTATCATTATAATCCATGGATTATGACATTTATATTTCAGAATTATCATTATAATCCATGGATTATGACATTTATATTTCAGAATTATCATTATAATCCATGGATTATGACATTTATATTTCAGAATTATCATAACAATCCATGGATTATGACATTTATATTTCAGAATTATTATAATCCATGGATTATGACATTTATATTTCAGAATTATCATTATAATCCATGGATAGCGACGCTCACAGCAAAATTACTTCAGAATGATAATGATACCATGACCCTCATAGATTATAATCCATTTCAACATACAAAACCTCCTAAGTAAGTAAAAGCATTTGAAAAATACATTTTAGCTTGACTATTTGAATAACAGTCCTCAAGCACTATTACCATAATAGGGCAGTCTTGAGGCAATAGTTCAGTACTTGGATATAGCCTTGAAGCACTAGTTCTGTGCTTGGGCAACAACTTGAAGCATTAGTTCAGTGCTTGGGCATAGTCTTGAAGCACTAGTTCAGTGCTTGGGCAAAGCCTTGAAGCAATAATACAGTACTTGGGCATAGCCTTGAAACACTAGTTCATTACTTGGGCATTGTCTTGAAGCTCTAGTTCAGTACTTGGACATAGTCTTGAACCACTAGTTCAGTACTTGGGCAGTAGTACAGTATTTGGGCATAGCCTTGAAGCAGTAGTTCAGTACTTTGGTATAGTCTTGAGGCACTAGTTCAGTACTTTGGTATAGTCTTAAGGCACTAGTTCAGTACTTTGGTATAGTCTTGAGGCACTAGTTCAGTACTTTGGTATAGTCTTGAGGCACTAGTTCAGTACTTTGGTATAGTCTTGAGGCACTAGTTCAGTACTTTGGTATAGTCTTGAACCACTAGTTCAGTACTTTGGTATAGTCTTGAACCACTAGTTCAGTACTTTGGTATAGTCTTGAGGCACTAGTTCAGTACTTTGGTATAGTCTTAAGGCACTAGTTCAGTACTTGGGCAGTAGTACAGTATTTGGGCATAGCCTTGAAGCAGTAGTTCAGTACTTTGGTATAGTCTTAAGGCACTAGTTCAGTACTTTGGTATAGTCTTAAGGCACTAGTTCAGTACTTTGGTATAGCCTTGAACCACTAGTTCAGTACTTTGGTATAGTCTTAAGGCACTAGTTCAGTACTTTTGTATAGTCTTAAGGCACTAGTTCAGTACTTTGGTATAGCCTTGAACCACTAGTTCAGTACTTTGGCATAGCCTTGAACCACTAGTTCAGTACTTTGGTATAGCCTTGAACCACTAGTTCAGTACTTTGGTATAGTCTTAAGGCACTAGTTCAGTACATTGGTATAGTCTTAAGGCACTAGTTCAGTACTTTGGCATAGCCTTGAACCACTAGTTCAGTACTTTGGCATAGCCTTGAACCACTAGTTCAGTACTTTGGTATAGTCTTAAGGCACTAGTTCAGTACTTTGGCATAGCCTTGAACCACTAGTTCAGTACTTGGACAATAGTACAGTATTTGGGCATAGCCTTGAAGCACTAGTTCAGTACTTGGACATAGCCTTTAAGCACAAGTTAATTTCTATGCAATCTTGAAGCGCTAAGTAATGTATTTTGAAGCATGAGTTCAGTACTGACACTGGGCAGAGTCTTGAAAACACTATCTGACAGAGGCATAGTTATGAAGCACTTTTTCAACATCTGGCAGATTCTTCTAGTACTACATGTAGTTCTATACTGAGCAGAATCTTGAAGAACTATCTCAATACTAGGCAGAAACTTGAAACACTTGATAAGATGTGAGGCAAAATCTTGACAGCATTGTTATTGTTGTCACCAATGACATCATGTCTTGTATTTACTTTATATGTGTTTATGTTATGAAAGAAGTGTAATTTATAAACACTAAAACTGGTTTTCATTTTAAAATTTTTGGTGAAATTTAATTGAAAGGTTTTACCCTTCCAAAAATTTGGCATGACATTGTGTTTTATTTTTTACCCAGGTTTATACGTTTACAACACTATAGTTATAAGTATACGAAAATTGGCAGCAAGGATGCACAGCAAGGTCGCTGGTGGAAAAGACGTCTTATAGGAAACTACATGCCAGCTGTTTCTAGTCATACAATAAAAGGCATTTTGAGCAGTTTAAGACTGGATGTGCCGAAGAAAAAGAAGACAAAGAAAATAAAAAAATGAAATCTTGATACTCAACATTTAAAGAATGTCTTTTAAGGAGGGTGTACTATACATTTTGTTTGTAGTTTTTTGTCCTCTGTTTTAAACATTCCTATAATTATCCGATTTTTGTTGTTTGTTATAGATTCCTATTTTTATAGCTTTTTTTCTATATCTTATTTGTGAAAATCAGTCATTTGATTGTGTATAGTTTTTATTTGTTTTTGGCTTATAAGGTGTATATTGAGGCATTAGCTTTAGCTAAATAATTAATCAATAAGATACCTGTCAAGAAACTAGAAAGTTAATCATTCCAGTTTTTAATTTTTCATTGTTTCATGTTTGAAATTTCTCCGTATTTCAAATGTTTGGCAGATTATTTAGCTTGACTATTCGAAGAATATTAAGAGGATATTTTTTTGTTTGAGTGAAATATGGAATATATTTTCACGTAACATGATAAAATGGCACATATTTTCACGAGCCGGGACGGCGAGTGAAAATATGTGGCATTTTATCATGTTGAGTGAAAATATATACCATATTTCACGAAAAACGAAAAAATAACCTTTTTATTTAATTTCATTATCAAAGAAAAATGGTTACGAAACCCCTTGCTTGCCATGCAACTGCAATTGTACAGCGCGCAGTAATATAATTGTTGTCTTGTTTTGCACGCGATATTTAGCGTTAGTTGTGACGTCACGTAAACAACTCTTTAAACGTCTGTACAGCGTTAATGACTGAATTAAAGATATTGGTGTTTGGATTTATTTTCTTAGTTAGACCATTTTCTATCATTCTAGATAGTTTTCAAAACAAAATTCAACAAAAAATTGTTTTGTATTTATCAGATTTTTCAAACAAAATGGCGAAAGAAGTCCCTTGAAATAAATATGAGTTTTGACTCCGCCCACTTTCATATTTATATTTCATATTTATTTTTAAAAAATATGAAATATATTTGACTGATATAGTACCGTATTTCATGGGTAAAATTAAATAAAGAGAGCTATTGTAGTTAGGTTGGCATCACACTTTTGTTAAGTTTTTGTGTTTAATTTTGTATCTCCAAACTAATTAAGGGAATGGATTGAACTTTCACACACTTATTTTAGCTCATAATACATGTAGGTGGTTTCTGTCCAAGGCCCATAACTTAAAACATGGATTTTGACAGAATTACTACCTTTTTTGAACTTAAAAAAATTCTACATTATCCAGGCCTTTGTTTTGCTATCAAGCACTGAGAATAGGCAAGCTACTGTGTTATTGTGTCGCCTTGAAAAAGGCGACATATAGGGGTTACTTTTGTCGGCAGCGTCGTGGTCGGCGTCCCCTTCAGCTTGTCCGGAGCATAAATTAGTCATTATAAGTCGGATTGACTTCAAACTTGGTATGCATGCTTCTCATAATGACCGGAAGTGCAGTGCATAAGAACCAATACTCTACACTTCTTATTTTTTCAGTTATTGCCCTTTGTTAATTTTCATACTTTATTTTTGTCCGGGCCATTTCTCCTAAAGTATAAAAGCTATGGACTTGAAACTTCATAGGATGATAGATCTTATTAGAAAGAAGTGCAGTGCACAAGAACTGGTACTCTGCATTTCTTATTTTTTGAGTTATTGTCCTTTGGTAATTTTCATACTTTATTTTTGTCCAGGCCATTTCTCCTAAAGTATAAAAGCTATGGACATGAAACTTCATAGGATGATAGATCTCATTAAGAAGAAGTGCAGTGCCCAAGAACTGGTACTCTGCATTTCTTTTTCTTTTTTTGAGTTATTGCCCTTTGTTAATTTTCATACTTTATTTTTGTCCAGGCCATTTCTCATAAATTATAAAAGCTATAGACTTGACACTTAATAGGATGATAGATCTTATTGATAAGAAGTGCAGTGCACAGAAACTGCTGCTCTGCATTTCTTATTTTTTGAGTTATTGCCCTTTGTTGATTTTCATATTTAACTTTTGTCCTTGCCAATTCTCCTAAACTATATTTTTCACAAGGCGACACATCCGACTCGCGGAGTTCTAGTTGACATCTGTTGTTATTTTATCCTATATTTTGTCACAGAGAGTACTTTCATTTAAATATTTTGCATCAAAACTAACGAAAACTTGTACTATGACAGGGCTATATAAGATGATCGCATGGTTACAAGGTGGATATGTATTATATCGTACATAGATAAACAATATGTATTTGCCTGTATGCAGACCGAATAAATTCAGTTTATTATTTATTTGTATAAAAAAATATCAGTCTCAAGATTTCTTTTCACAAATGAAATTAGACATTTTGTGTAAACATACTTAGTGGGTGTTAAATAAAATAACCGGTGAATTGGATTACTTGTCTGCATATTGGGCGTTTCTGATTATTTAAATGGTTTTACCAAATTGTTTGCTATTTAAATCTGATATCTCATATTTAAAGAGTTTTGGATGTACAAATATATTTTCTACTTGACAAATTTTCATTTTTAATGATCATTATTATGAATTAGCAAACTTAAGTAGGTGTATTAGAAAAGCTTGTTTGTATGTTCAGTTTAATTAATATTGTCACATGTCTTGTAAAACATATATCATGTATTTGTTCTTGATTTTATTATTCAAAATTAAAGTTTTGTAGCAAAAATGTTACACAACTTGAGAGTTTAGATGTCATCAAAACAATCTGCATCTCTCATGTGCTTCTAATTTAAGGATGTAAACTTAGTAATTTTGGTTGTTAGGTGTTGATGGGACATCCCTGGCCAAGCTGTTAAGGTATATGACTTACGGTCACTTGTCCTTCAACCTGTGGGTTTCAGTGTTCTTTTATTTTTCTGATCCTTCAGGATTATTGAGTGTTGAAAATTGAGTATCGCTCAAGCTGGTGCTATGGGGCATAATGGATGTTGCACTTTTCATTACCTCTAATGTACAGACTCAATCAAACTGAGTCTGCAATTTTCATGTAATTTTGTTGTGAGTAATGCTTCCGAGGAATCACCCTTTTTCAAAATTTAAATACCACCAGGATTTTTTCATATGTACCCAGTATTTTTATGCATTTTTACCATAGCTGGGCAAAATCCACTCTACTGGTTGGAGAGATAACTCTGACACTAAATCACTATTTTTTTTAAATATCTTTTTTATTTTTGTGTATATTTTAAATTTTTACCCACCTAGACAAAGTTAGGTTCAAACATTTATAATCATGTGTAAATTCCTTTCTTGAAATGGAAACTGGTACTTCTTTAAGGTCCTGAATAAGGTATCGGAAACATGGTCTTTTTAACCGTGGACAGTAGATAAAGTCAACACTTTAATTTTAAAGTAAATACTAGCTTGAAAGTTAGAACTAATCATTTATTTTTACATTTTATACGCTTTATCTATGCCTTATTGATAATTTAACAAATTTTTAAAGAAATTTTCCCAAGTCAGTAGCCTGTGTTCAAGACAATTCTAACTACCGCCTGGCAGTTAAGTAAATAGAATGTTTTGTGGCCGTTTTTGTAACAAAAAATTGTGGTCAACATAAACACATTTAAAAGTTTACCAAATCTAAAAATCTCATCACAGTCTGTCCTTCTCCTTTATTACTAGGTGACCATGTGCTTGTTTGTTTACAAGAAAAGATAAATAGAAAAATTAAAAAAGTGTCGGGTTTATCTATGTGTTGGAGTTATCTCTTCAACCAGTAATCAGATACAAATTTCTGATTGAAATACTTTTTTAACCAGGTTTTCAACGAAAACCGGGTTATTGTAATGCCGAAGTCGGCGGGCGGGCGGGCGTCAACTTTTGGTTTCCGCTCAATAACTTTAGTTTGCTTTGGCCTATTGACACCAAACTTGGTGTGTAGGTAGCTTATATCAAGAGGCAGCTTGGGATTGCTACCCAGGTGTCTGTGATCAAGGTCAAGGTCACTGTTACTAAAAATAGAAATTCAGTTTCCGCTCAATAACTTGAGTTTGCTTTGGCCTATTCACACCAAACTTGGTGTATGGATAGCTTATATCAAGAGGCAGCTTAGGATTGCTACCCAGGTGTCTGTGATGAAAGTCAAGGTCACTGTTACTAAAAATAGAAATTCAGTTTCCGCTCAATAACTTGAGTTTGCTTTAGCCTATTGACACCAAACTTGGTGTATGGATAGGTAATATCAAGAGGCAGCTTGGGATTGCTACCCAGGTGTCTGTGATCAAGGTCAAGGTCACTGTTACTAAAAATAGAAATTCAGTTTCCGCTCAATAACTTGAGTTTGCTTTGGCCTATTGACACCAAACTTGGTGTATGGATAGGTAATATCAAGATGCAGCTTGGGATTGCTACCCAGGTGTCTGTGATCAAGGTCAAGGTCACTGTTACTAAAAATAGAAATTCAGTTTCTGCTCAATAACTTGAGTTTGCTTTAGCCTATTCACACCAAACTTGGTGTATGGATAGCTTATATCAAGAGGCAGCTTTGGATTGCTACCCAAGTGTCTGTGATCAAGGTCAAGGTCACTGTTACTAAAAATAGAAATTCAGTTTCCGCTCAATAACTTGAGTTTGCTTTGGCCTATTGACACAAAACTTGGTGTATGGATAGCTTATATCAAGATGCAGCTTGGGATTGCTTCCCAGGTGTCTGTGATCTAGGTCAAGGTCACTGTTACTAAAAATAGAAATTCAGTTTCCGCTCAATAACTTGAGTTTGCTTTGGCCTATTGACACAAAACTTGGTGTATGGATAGCTTATATCAAGAGGCAGCTTGGGATTGCTACCCAGGTGTCTGTGATCTAGGTCAAGGTCACTGTTACTAAAAATAGAAATTCAGTTTCTGCTCAATAACTTGAGTTTGCTTTGGCCTATTGACGCCAAACTTGATGAATGGGTAGCTTATATCAAGATGCAGCTTGGGATTGCTACCCAGGTGTCTGTGATCAAGGTTAATGCATTTAGTTTTCATGTTATAACTTGAGTTTGCTTTGACCTTTTGTCACCGAACTTGCTGAGTGGCAGCTTTGGATTGCCACTTAGATATCTGGGAGCAAGGTCAAGGTAATTTGCTTACAATAGAATATTCAATATCTACTCAATAACTTCAGTGCACTTTGACCTATTGATTGCTGTCACATCAAAACTTGGTCGTTGAAAACCTGGTTTTCGTCGCATTGCGGCGCTTCTTGTTTTTTAATTAAAACCCTATACCACAATTGTGTTCTGTTTTATTTAATCTAAATAATACAATGAAAATACAATGATCAGCTGTAGAAATAAGATCTGCCAATATATAAAATAATATCTGACATGTGGGTTATATCTGATGTAAGACTTTGTTATATCTGACATGTCTGCATTATACCTGATGCCGTCAGTATGTTGTACCTGACATAGGACTTTGTTAATCTGACATAAGTCTGTGTTATACCTGACACTGTGTGTTATACCTGACATAGGACTGTTATATCTGACATAAATTTTGACATAGGCCTATGTTATATCTGACATGAGTCAACTTAATGACTAACAATTTCGCTATTTCTCACACTCATACCTTAAGTCATCATCATCTCCTAATTAACACTTTCCCTCATTTGCATATTGTGAAAAATGGCCGTTTTTATTGAAAAGCCTCCTGTTACAAGTTCAAACTGCTATGAAAAATGGTTCAATACTAATCAAACTTGGCACAAATGTTGACTGGACCATTGCCTTTGTAGCGACATGCTAAGTCTTAATTTTCCTGTCACCATGGCAACTAGGGGTCATCTCAAAATTGCCAGAAATCACTATTTTGCGTAGATTTTTTCCATCAAAATTGATTTCAAAGTGCTGCAACTTCTAAATGGATTGAGATAGAGTCAAAGGCTTTTCAGCGTTGGTTACACATTACATTACGGTCGACCTGGGAAGCATTTTTAGCCTCTCACATGTCCAAAATTTTCTTGGCTATGAGGAGGACTATCGCCCCCCCCCCCCCTTCAAACCCCCCAAAGAGAAGGGGGCAAATCCCCCTTCTGGCAACCCCCTGATGTACCTTTTTGATAGGGGGCGGTGCGGAAAAGTTTTAAGTTTTTTAAAGCAACATTTCCCAAATGAAAAACAGTGTTTGGGGCCTAAATAGGGTTATTTTTCCACAGTTTGAGGCCTCAAAAGGTGGGGTGTGGCGAAAAGCCGTCAAAACACGTCTATATGAAGTAAAGGGTTAATTAACAGAAATGAACCAAATGATTTATAAATGGAGATGTATGATTCTGTTATCATGATGATAGACATTTACATTTTTTTTTGTAAATCTTATCAATAGAGGAAAAAATGTTTATATATAATTATATAGATAGGTGTTCTGTACAAACATGGGGGCTTAGTAAATTGATATTAGATGTCCTCTTCTATACACATTCCAAAATTTGAAATAATTCCATAGATATGAACATTATAAGGCACATTTAAACTGCCACTATTTGAAATATACAAGTTTAGTAATGATTTAATGCAACTGACAGTTCCTCCCCAGTACACTTCATGTATAAATATGATACCTGGTTCAAATATGTTATTGCGTTTGTATAAGGAATTCATCCTGTTTAAACGTATAATTCATAACCTGCCATTGACCATTTGCCATATTCTTTTCATATCTTATTAACCCATGTTTATAATTTTCTACATAAGATTTATTTGGTATGTTTACATTTTTTTTAAATTTTTTTTTTTTTAGCTCACCTGTCACAGAGTGACAGGGTGAGCTTTTGTGATCGCTTTTTGTCCGGCGTCCGCCCGTCTGTCGTCCGGCGTTCGTAAACTTTTACTTTAAATGACATCTCCTCGTAAACCACTAAGCCAATTTCATCCAAACTTCACAGGAATGTTCCTTTGGTGGTCACCTTTTAAAATTGTTCAAAGAATTTAATTCCATGCAGAACTCTGGTTGCCATGGCAAACAAAAGAAAAATCTTAAATTTTTTTTTTTATCTTCTTCTAAAAAACCCAAAGAGCTAGAGCTTAGATATTTGGCATGAAACATCTTCTAGTGAGTTTCTACCAAGTTTGTTCAAATAAAAGTCCTGGGGTCAAAATTGGCCCCACCCCAGGGGGTCATTGATTTTCCCTATATGTATATAGTAAAAACTTAAAAAATCTTCTTTTAAAGAACCAAAAGAGCTAGAGCTAAGATATTTAGCATGAAACATCTTCTAATGGGTGTCTACCAAGTTTGTTCAAATAAAAGCCCTGGGGTCAAAATTGGCCCCGCCCCAGGGGGTCATTGATTTTCCCTATATGCATATAGTAAAAACTAAAAAATCTTCTTTTAAAGAACCCAAAGAGCTAGAGCTAAGATATTTAGCATGAAACATGTTCTAATGGATGTCTACCAAGTTTGTTCAAATAAGAGCCCTGGAGTCAAAATTGGCATGCTTATATGCGTATAGCAAAAACTTAAAAAATCTTCTTTGAAAAAAAACCAAATAGCTAGAGTTTAGATACTAAGCATGAAACATTTCCTAGTGAGTGTCTACCAAGGTTGTTCAAATAAAAGCCCTGGGGTCAAAATTGGCCCGCCCTGGGGGTAATTCATTTTCCTTATATGTGTATAACAAAAACTTAAAAAATCTTCTTTGAAAAAACTCAAATAGCTAGAGTTTAGATATTAAGCACGAAGCATCTTCTAGTGAGTGTCTACAAAGTTTGTTCAAAAAAAAGCCCTGGGGTCAAAATTGGCCCCCACCCCACTGGCCCTGCCCCAGGTGTGTCATTGTTTTTAACTATATGTGTAAAGAAAAAACTTGACCAGCTAGACCTTAGATGTTTAGCATGAAACATCTTCTAATGGGTGTCTACCAAGTTTGTTCAAATAAAAGCCCTGGGGTTTAAACTGGCCCCGCTCCGGGGGCCTATATACAGGTGAGCCACTTCAGGGCCATCATGGCCCTCTTGTTTTTTTTTGGTAGGAAAACTTAGTGGTAATACAGTATATTTATTATTTAATACAGTATATTTTCTTAATTATTTACCAGATACTCATGTTGGAATGAAGGGATGTTTCTATATTTGTACATGTGTTGATAAGCTAAAAGCAGCACGCCTCCAGATTTCATGAAAATTTTGAAAAAGTATTTAAAAGTAAAATATTGTGAAGTGAACAAAGAAAATATTTTTTTACAATTTGCAAACAGCACTTGCACATAAATAACCAAAAAATAGGTCAAAATAAGCAAAAATAGCTCTAACTGTATTAGTAAAGCAGCAGAAATATGGTGATCAATTCTAAAAAGCACATAGCATGTAAATTGTTACTAAAATCATAAAATCTTTTTACTTTTCCTTAAATCTTTGTACTTTTTAGTCCCCTACCGGTTTACCGGAGGGGACTTTAGGTTTACCCTCCGTCCGTCTGTCCGTCAGTCCGTCCGTCTGTCAGTCCGTCAGTCCGTCCGTCCACAAAACTGGATCCCGCGATAACGCAAAAAGTACTGAAAATATTTTAATGAAACTTGATATATGGATAGATGGCAGTATGGAGATTATGCACGTCTTTTTCTTTTTCTTCCTATGTTGAAAAATTCTGGTTGCTATGGCAACAAATAGACTGAAAATATGGCAAAATTTTACACATAACCTGGACCCGCGCGATACCGCAAAAAAGTACTGAAAATATTTTTATGAAACTTAATATATGGATAGATGGCAGTATGGAGATTATGCACGTCTTTTTCTTTTTTTTCCTATGCTGAAAAATTCTGGTTGCTATGGCAACAAATAGACTGAAAATATGGCAAATTTTACACATAACCTGGATCCAGTGATAGCGCAAAAATACTGAAAATATTTTTATGAAACTTGACATAGTGGTAGATGGCAGTATGGAAATTATGCACATTCTTTTTCTTATCTTCCTGTATTGAAAACTCTGGTTGCTATGGCAACAAATAGACTGAATTTCAAGATTTCTGATTCTAGTTTTTCAGTTTTTTCACTATAAGTCTCTTATTTCTTAAGGTATTTTCTTCAAACTTAAAATATAAGTTGGCTAGTCATCAACCACATCATATGTGACAAAAGTTTACAACTGTAGCACAAAAATTTATCAGAATTACCTCCCTGGAACTTAAAATTTTCATGAAAAAAATATTGTTTTTTTTTAATAACTTCTTTTTTTCTGAACTACTTCAAACTTCATATAAATGTTTCTTATTATCACTCAACATTTGTGAAAAAGTTCAATACTCTAGCAAGACTATTTCCAGAATTATGCCCCTTTTGAACTTGACTTTTTTTGAGAAATTGGTAATTTTCTTCAATTATGATAGGATTTTCTTCAAACTCACACATCATAATAATATGACAATAATATGAACAAGGTTTATAAATTCTAGCATCCATATTTCCAGAATTATCTCCTCCTTAAACTTTGTATTTTTTCCTATTCGTTCTTTTAACATTCATTTACTTCAAATTCAAAATAAACATTCAATATTCATACCTTCATTACTAATTGTTCTTTGTTACACTCACATCATTTATGACATCGTTATCTCCTTTTTTAAAAATTTTGCTTTAAAAATGTTATATTTTGATAACAGGGATGTTTAAAAAATAACTTTAGAGTGTCCTTCAGTCTGTCTGTCTGTCTGTACATAAAAACTGTTCACTGTGAACACTTAAAATAGAAACATAAGTGAATGGCCAATGGCCCTTCAGAATGTTGCTTGGGCTCTTACCGGTAGGGGACTTATGGATTGCTTGCAATACTATGATAATTGCTTGTTTCTCATGTTTTTCTTGAAATATTTAGGCTCATCTGGAGGCATGCAGCTTCTATTAGATGTATTTTATGTACTTGTATTTATTTTATGGTTCAATCATCAGATATTGTCCATTGTTTCATGTATTTCATGACATGTAACACGATTTTTCAAATTATATTTGTGTGTTCCTGTAAAAAATGATTACCTGATGATGTACACATATGAAATATTTTTTATGTATCACTGTACCCACAGTTGGGTTCCTTACATTATGATTGAAAAAAATAAAATTAACGTGGAAATAATTATTGAAAGTCATTTTTATTTTCAACCAATTTAAATGCATTTTACAGTACAACGGCATCTTTATTATTTAAAAGACTTCCAGAACGTGTTACGTCACATTCTGGAATAGTCAGTAACCACGGAGCAAATCTACGCACCATATACAGCACTAAATACTCCGCGTTAATTGTATCGATATTCACAAGTAAAAAATCACCCTTTGCTTTTCCAGTATCGTCAATAGAAACAGTCCTGCCTGCTAATGTCTTTTCAGTTAGATGAGATATGTCTGTTCCCCCTTGTACAAAACTGTAGTGAAGATTTTTTCGAATGCGTGCAACCACTTTTTCGTTGGTATTATTTCCTGTGAGAATATATTGTAAAGTTTGATCAAATTGACCAAATAGTCTCCTTACAAAAACTAACTTGTTTCTAAGTTGATTGTATTGCACGCCATCTGTTGCCTGCATTGAACCTTCGCTGTCATAATACAAGCCAACATGAAAAGTTGAAAATAACGACTTCATATTAATAAAACTTCCAAATTTGAAAACTTCATAGCGCAAGAATATAGTCAGTTGCAGACGATCTTTTGGTGAAAAATTGTGTAGAAGGTTAATAGCTTTAATTGAATTCAAGCTTGCAGACGGCGAATATAAAAAGAGCGCGAACTTTTCGTCATCTTCCTTTTGTTGACATAAAGTTATACGTTTCCCAGGCACAGGGATGTGATTGGGGTTCAGCAGAAAGAAGTCTGAATACGTCTCCATATCATTGTCCCATTTAAAGGCTTTTAATTTCATCTGCCGCATTGTTTCCATCAACGGTTTCAATTCTTGCTTGGATCCATTAATTCCACGTGCTGTGTAGTATTTATCAATAAATTTCATACTATTACGTTTGACTACATGTTCCAAAATCTTAATTTCGTCTTCTGAATCTACTCTTAATACAACAAAATCTTCTTCATTTGTATTCGCCTTCAGCCACGCGGCAAGATCTTTTTCTTGTATAGTTTGAGTAGTCTCGGCGTCCGCGCCAAATGCTTTCACGTCGACATTCTTTGAACTATTTTTAAAAGAGGCTTCAAATGGAATGACTGTATGGTTTGGAAGATACGAGTACATAACTGCGTAGGAATTTTCCGGTAGGAAAGTGTATGTCGAATACGATGGAGATTTAGGATACGTATCTAAAAATAGTTCAAGTGTCTTTGGAAATGTTCCACCACAGTTGACAAAAATGTTTTTGGGCTCTTTCTTTGTTTCTCTTTTATTGTTATTTTTTGCAGAGTTGTGTCCGTTGGATTGCTTTACGTTAGATTGAATTGTTGGTTGTTTTAGTTTTAATGTCGGGGGTGAAGACATTTCTTGGTCTATTTCATCTTTGAACGTATTGTTTTTATTCTTCGGCTTGAATCTTGCATCTTTCATGATGCCGTCACAATCGTATAAGTCATTACTGAAATACACGCTTCCGTTCGGACATTTCGTTTGTTTTGTGTCATTTGTGTCGTCTGCTACCAATAAGCCGCCGGTATTTGGATTATCAGTGGAATGCTCGGCAGGATTAAAATCATTTTTATTGTTTTTCACAACACCGGGAATACCAAAATCCGGGCCATTCGCCTTTTCACCATCTAAGGTGTTGTATTTAAACATACTGTTTCGATCACCTCGCTTAGCAAATGCTCTCCATGACTGGGCAACTCCTTTCAAGTCTTGCCACTTTGTGTGTTCAGTAAACAGGAAGTAAGAAACTGACATCGTCATGAGAAGCAAGGAAAGGAATAAAATGTGTCTATAACCACTTATAACTTTTAAAGACATGTTAACGTATCATGTGCTCAAAGATTATAATGCAGTTTTGCGTCGGAAATTTCTTTTTTAAAAATGTTTTAATAATGTCAAGGACGCCACTGTTTATCTCCTATGCGAAACAAATATCAGACCGGAAAGATACTGCCTGAAAGTACAATGTTTGTTTTGTTTGTAACGACTTTGCTCAATTTTGTCCGATTATCCAAACCGGTATGCCTGTCTTTGGTTTAGCTTCTCTTGCCTGTTGAAAAATGAAATATTGCAGAACCATAAATAATCTTTGTTGTGAAAATGGCCCTTGAAATGATATGTCCTATTGCCGATTACGTGAGTATTACTTTGACTCCTTATATCTGTTCCAAATAAAAACCATTACTAAATTTAGTTTTTAAATATGTCAAAACTCTATTAAAACCGATATGTTGGTTGCAAATAGTGATGTTTGTCGAATGTTTCCGAGCACATTGCAGATGCATTACATTGGGTAGATTTTTCAAATTTCCAGAGGTTTTTACAGTCTCCCAAAAGAATATATCAATTCCTCCAAATGATGAACAAATTTCTTAAAGAACTTCAAATTTCTCCCTTCCCAAAGATATAATTTTTTCTTCCAAAGATAAATAATTTTCCCAAGAATTTGCAATCTCTCCAAAGATTTTACAATCTTTCCAAGGTTTAACAATCTTTCAAAATATATATCAATATCCCCAAAGATAAATTAACCTTCCTTAAACCCAGCAAACAACCGACGTTGACACAACGTTGGATCAACGTTGAATTTTGGTCGCGACGTCGGTGACCTTCATACAACGTTAAACCGACGTTGAATCTCCGACGTCTAACAGACGTTTCATTTTGACGTCGACTCGACGTCGGGTTTTGGTCGGTAATCTGACAATAGGTGAATTTAATTTATGAAACCAATATATATATAAATGAAAGCATAAACAGCTAGAATTTTAAATTTAAGTTTAGAAAGGGAAAATGATATATTTATTTTCTCCATCAAAACAATAACAGTATCACGTGGGTGGCTACGTACGATATTCGATAGGTGGCGCTCGGTAAACGGATAGTCGCAGATCAGTATGAAATATATTTGCTCTATTTTCGTTTAAATAATATCTTACCTCCTCGAATTAGTCTAAGAAGTGTTTATATAATTAACAATGAAGTTGTTATCATTTTTGAGGGCTTTATTTTATAGTGGTAAATAATTTTGTAAATTCGAATTGGCGACATATATCGGATTTGAAATTCAATTGTATTGGCGGACAAAAAACAACGAGTTGACAGACAAAGTTGAATATTCCAAACAAAATGAAAAGGTAGGCAAACATTATATATTGTTTTTCAATGCTAATTTACCGCATGTTTGCATGGATTCGATGGCTATTTGATCATTGTAATGTTTGACTGGTAAAACCTAATGTCACGTGATTTCGCGAGATAAACATTTTTGTTTCCTCGTAAGAGCACTGAATTATTTGCTATAGAACAGTCTGTATCATCGGATCATTTTTCCCACACTATATCGCCAAGCCAAATAAATGCACAATCAATGGTAGGAAATATCCTGGCAATTGAAATCAATAAAAAGTTAAATGCAGTACGTTAGACTCTTATTATTCAAATGCTGGTCAATAAAATTCCCTCTTATTTCTTATGAACATGAATTTCCCTTACATAAGGGGCCGTATCAGATGCACAGTTTGATTTTGATATCTGTGTAGTTGTTCAACTACTCGTTGTTAATTGCAGTACTTTACCAATACTGTAAGCATACCATGTGTTTCTTATATAATGATAATGATTCATGGCATTTGATACATGTAAATGATACGACTTTGGTAAGATATATCTGAAAGCACATTGTTTTTGACTAGCTATCTTTTTATTAATGTAATCAAACAACATCATTGAACATATTATAAATCAGAAAACACATTATCATAGTTATAAATCAATAAAAGTAATAGTTTGTTAATTAGCCTGCTTATCAACAAGTTATATGTTCGTATCATAAAACGTTTGTACACTAAGCCAGTCTGTCCTATATACACTTAGCAGATCGGATCATGCTGGGCAGAGATGATATCTATAAAAATGACAGTAACATGTGAATTTCTTTGATGTTGTATGAAAATTTGTATAAATTACATTGAATATAAAAAATAACAATACATGTATCAATTTTTTGCGGGAGTAGAATTAATTTGGTATTTGTTATGTTAGTTTTTCATGCCCTTATGAGTTAACTAAGATTAATAGTATTTGGATTTTGCCTATTGTATTAGACAAACATCCTTCCACCACATGGTTTAATTCTAAAATGATTATATTTCGTCTTTCAGATTGTGGAAATTATGATAATTCAACATCTGGCAAAAGTTCAGGAGGAAGATGAAAGTATTGAGAGGAAAAGAAAAATGAAAACCTACCAAGATTTTGTGACAGGTATATTTCAAAATATTATAGAAAATACAGTGATCTTATTACCCTTGATTTTATAATGAAATTCACGAAGCCATTTTTATCAAAATCAATAGATATATAGGTACACTTAAGTACATATGGTTTAAACTAGATAGAAAATAATAAATATCTTTTTTAAGTAGTTGGAGAGTTTGTCAGAATTTCGTTTAATTATAATATGTAAACGTGATTCATTTCTTGCACTTGTAACTGATTATTTTATTTTTTTAATTTCAGAAAGTGTGATGAGATCTCAGGTTGGAGACGGCAATGATACGCTTAAAGTATGCCCCAGATCGACACAGTGGAGGAGGATGAAAGAAGATACATTAACATTGCTATTTATAGTGATAACAAAACATTCAGAATATTGTTCCATTTAACATTCATATCTAGATTCAGTTATAAAATACAAAGACAAACATACAATCAGTGAACTGGATAGATGATTGGAAAATCCCAAAATCAGGGTGATCAGTTCATGATCAGTGGTGATATAAAAAACACATGCATGGATGTTTACTATACAAAATGTCAGTGGTAATATTCAAGAAGGATTTTGTGTATCTAATTTCTAAAACATGCTTATTTAATACATAAAGCGTTATTAAAGTACATACTTTCAAGTTTAATAGTTTCAAAACATATTATGTAAATCTTGCATTTGTTATCGTACCAAATTTCTTGTTTGGAACTTGTGATTCCGAGTATACAAATAAATTGCTAAAATTATAAAAATGCTTATTTGTTTACCCTATTATGAAAAAAAAAATCGTATTCCAAAAGTTTTGAATGAGGTTAGAGTCTAAATCATGGTCAGAAAATTTGGTCAGATAAGGTTGAATTATGGTCAGATAATGGTCAGAAAAGGTTGGATTATGGTCAGAAAAGGTCGGATTATGTCCAAATAATGGTCAGGGAAAGGTTGGATTATGGTCAGATAATGGTCAGAAAAGGTTGGATAAAGGTCATTATATGACGTTGTATAGACGTCGGTTTTCTGACGTCTAAACAACTTTCAAATCCAACCTTCTGCCAACGTTTACCCAACGTCAGGGTCTAACGTCAGTACAACGTTGGTACAACGTCTTTTGTTTGCTGGGAAGATTAAAATCTTTCCAAAAGAATACCAATCTTCCCTTTTACCAAATTACATTCAACAAAATGGGAAAATAACATAGTGAGATACATGTATGTACTTACATTATTTTTGCCAAGAAGATGTAGAATTTTCATTAAAAGATTATTAGCACACTGTAACCCCAAGTTACGATTTCCAAGTGCTTCCAGTTTTGCACCGACAGATTATGTTAGTAGAACTTTATATAGCAGATGTGTCGACTTGCAGTCTTTATTTTATCATCTGTTGACCTGAAGATAATTGTTTAACATCTTACACTGCATTGTCTGTTGTGTCCCTTATCAGTTGTTAGTGTAAATAAATAAGTAGAGGATATTGAATAAGTGTAGGTTCAATTCATTGTATTCATTGAACTCGTTGAATAAAATTATATTTTGCGAGCGTCTGATGAGCAAAATATTATTTTATTCAACGAGAACAATAAATTTAGTAATGAATAAATAATGTAAATTTAGTAAATTTTGTTCACGAATATAACATTTTATTTACCACATACCTCCAAAAAAAAAAGACTGTTTAAATGGCAAAAGAATTATTTTTCATTCACGTGCCTATGGTGTACGACCATGCAATGCCATTTTTACGGAAAATCGGCACGGGTATGTGATAAAAAAATACGTGGACATTTCGACGTCTTTAAACCATTCTCTGAAGATGGTGTGTGTTACACTAACATAACTTCATTTAAAATAACATTTAAAGTCATGAGCGGTATAAATTCACGCTGATCTATAATTTATCTTTTATTTCTTCTCATAGACATTTACACATTTAAAAAACCTTGTCTTTAACTGCAATTAAAGCCGTGCTTTCACGAACGCTTCCAAAAACAGCATGGAACAAAGGTTACATAACATGTTTGTAAAAGCGGCCTGTATTGTACTTAATCGTGGAAAAGGTCATTTTAGAATTTGATAAGTACATGTTCATGTATTTGGTCCTTGACCTACTTTTTCGTCCACTGAGAAAAAGAATTTGAGTTCTACTGAGGTTCAATAGCTTAAATCATACAATTTGAAATTGTTTCATAAATTAGTTGAATCACTTAAAAAAGAAAAAAATATGTCGGGGATAATATAAAGATATTCTCGGCTAAAAAATAGCTAAGTGCTTTTATGCGATTGTTTAGCGAATTTAAGTGAAAAGCCCCGCAACGCCTTTAATTTTGGGGTCAATTTAAACAATAAAATTGAATATCTTTTGGACACGAAGTAAAGCCACATGTACACTCTCCCGGTAAAGACACGGTAACGCTACGGTGTCTTAAACCGGTGAACCGTGGTGTTCCGTGGTGATTTTCTGAAAATTTACATTGCGTTTACACATCCCCGACAGAGCCCAGGTGTATACCAGGTGTATTCCAGGTTCAGTACCCGATATAGCACCAGATATATACGTTAAGTGCCGATGCTAACCCGGTGTATTCCCGGTGGAGACCCGACTAGACACGGTTTCATCACGGTTCATCCCGAACATCGCCGATTTCGCCACGGTTAAGCTACGTGTGATGCCGGTACAGTCCCGGTGACGCTCTGGTAATGCGCCGATGCTTCCCGGTTCAAAGTTTATGAGAATAAACTGCTTGACTGCTAGTTTTATATACACGGATGAAGAAATCTTACTTTTCCCTCAAAAAAAATGATGCTTGCTGTATTATAAATTCGTTTTAAAGATTGTTGACAGGTTATATGGCCTATATAAACTGTTGCAATATAACCCTCGCATAACGGCTCGGGTTATATTTACAAATAGCCGTTTATATAGGGCCATATAACCCGTCAACGATTTTTATAACTTATAGAATAACCGGGACTTGCCGGCAATATCCAGGACATTACCGCGTCCAACCGGAGCGTTGTCGCAAATAACCGCAATTTACCCTGGCTCTTCTCATTGTATTCACACCGGTCTCTCAAATATCAGTAAGACCGGTGTACACAATGTGGCTCTTCTGTTTTTACCGTGGCGACATTGTGTCATCACCTGCGCTCTGCCGTGTGGACATTGATTAACACGCATCCCGGTTTACTACGGTTTGTCACGGTATGGAAACGGTATAGATACGGTGGTTCCCCGGCGATTCCCGGAGCCAAGCCGATAGACACGGTTCTAGGCTTCATTCCCGGTGAGTGCCGGTGAACCCCGGTTGTATTAAACATTTTAATACAACCGTGGCGATCTCCCGGTTTGTCCCGGTTCATCAAGGTTTGTCCCGGTACTTCATAGAATCGCTACAGCCCTACGCCGGTTTATCACGGTTGATCCCGGTAGACTAAACCGTGGTAAACCGGGACGCCAAACCGGGACTGTGTAAATGAGGCTTAAGAGAATGATCTGAAATATTTTACACGAGTTTTTGGCACAGACCTACATCCATTTATACAGAAAAAAAGTGAAAAAAAAATGCGGTCCCTTAATGTAGTAAAAAAAACTCAGTGGTTCACCGTATAGGGAAATGTAAGGTTAACAGTTCAGAATTAGTAAATAGTTTTATATAAAATATAATAGTGTTAACTTACATAAAAGCGGCCTCCCTTTACCATTACAGTTTATAAATTATCAGGTCAATGATGTTTCCCATGTTATATAAAGTACAAATTGTTTAACAAAACACACCATTTATTACAACGAAAAGTTCTTTGAGCAAATTTACTTTGCGGGCGTTTTTTAGAAACTGCGTATAATACCAGTAGTTTGCACTCAAACGAATTCTCACCTATTATTTGTTTACAAAAATCCACACATTAAATATTGGATTATAAAAATGAATGTATTGATTTTACACCTTCTATCAATAACCTTATACTTTTTTAAGTGTGAATTTTTTCCATTTTATGTATGTAACTCTCAAGTACGCGTGTTTTTGAGTTACTGTGAACTTGCTTTTGCGGTACAGGTGTCTAAGGACACGTTTGTACAACTCCCTATTGGCAAACTGATTAAATAAATAGCAAAGGGTGCAAGCGGAAAACTTTTCGTTGATGATAATAACAACTTTCACACTTCGGATAAAGACGTACATTTGTACTTGGTAATCGAATTGGCAATATGTTCTTGTTTTTTTGAAGCTTGAAGTAAAGATGATCTGATTAAGAGTACTTGAAAGATTTGGCGCATTGGTCTGGTGGTAACATACTCTGCCTACAGTACAGCCCAGCAAACAAAAGACGTTGTCACAACGTTGTACTGACGTTAGACCCTGACGTTGTGTAAACGTTGGCAGAAGGTTGGATTTGAAAGTTTTTTAGACGTCAGAAACCGACGTCTATACAACGTCAGAAAATGACCTTTATCCAACCTTTTCTGACCATAATCCAACCTTTTCTGACTATTATCTGACCATAATCCAACCTTTTCTGACTATTATCTGACCATAATCCAACCTTTTCTGACTATTATCTGACCATAATCCAACCTTTTCTGACTATTATCTGACCTTAATCCAACCTTTTCTGACTATTATCTGACCATAATCCAACCTTTTCTGACTATTATCTGACCTTAATCCAACCTTTTCTGACCATTATCTGACTGTAATTCAACCTTTTCTGACTATTATCTGACCTTAATCAAACCTTTTCAGACCATGATCAGAGTTGTCCAACCATTTATAACCATGGACTAACCTCATGTTTTTTTTTTCATTTTAAAGCTCTTTATAACCATAACCAAAAACGTTTTGGTATCAATTGAATATGAATAGGTCAAAAGGGGAAACAAATAAGCATTCTTATATTTTAACAATTTATTTTCAACAGAGAATCACATGTACATCCACAAAACAATAATGGTAGAAACAATGAAAAATTAGTCAGGGAATTGAACGCAGGGCCGCCCGATTCACAGTCCAACGCTCTACCTATTGAGCTAACCAGACGACTCTGAGATTGTTACCCGTGTAATAATGTCTATATATATAATTGTGCTAATACAACAATTTTCAAACATCAAAAATGTACTTAAAATATTTGTTCACATTTAAATGATGATATATAATCATCAAATTATATGCAATCATCAAATTATATGCATTCATTCTTTATTGGAAAAGTTGACTTCGAATTTATAGAAAATAAATTTCTTTTTACCTCCCTTTATTTACATGAAATGTTAAATTCGGTAATATCTTTTATAAATAATGCTTAATGGAACTTACAATATTGATAAATCTAAATATGAGCATCATATTTTTCATGTAAAACCATAAAAAATGAGTTACAGGATCTTTAACAATATTTTAGAATCTCATAGTTCACCTTAAATAAAGCCTGTTGAAAATAAAAACTACAGGCTACTTGTTCCTCTATCATCAAACATTAATTGCAGTTTTTTATCAATTGAATATTTCATAAATTCGCTTCTGTGATTTAACTGTTTTCAATCTTGATGTCACTTACCCCTCAGTATTTCAAAACTATTACCAAAAAAATTGCACTTTACTCCTTTTTCACACAAGTTTAAATTGGTAACTCAGTCACTAAAACATTTATTTGATTACAATTTAACTGTTTTCAATCTTGATGTCACTTACCCCTCAATATTTCAAAACTATTACCAAAAAAATTGCACTTTACTCCTTTTTCACACAAGTTTAAATTGGTAACTCAGTCACTAAAACATTTATTTGATTACAATTTAACTGTTTTCAATTCAGTCACTAAAACATTTATTTGATTACAATTTAACTGTTTTCAATCTTGATGTCACTTACCCCTCAGTATTTCAAAACTATTACCAAAAAAATTGCACTTTACTCCTTTTTCACACAAGTTTAAATTGGTAACTCAGTCACTAAAACATTTATTTGATTACAATGTTTGCAAAAAATCTCCAACTTTACTACATCAGATTGAAAAACCTAACCACTGTTAGATGTAATTATTATTTTTGTCTTTGTATTTCCAGAAAACTAATGTTCATGAATCTAAATTTACATTCTTCTTGCGTCCGCCTCCACCACGGCGATCTGGTGCATACTTCAGACATACCATAATAGCATTTTCAACATCATGCTCCGTTATATTTGAAACTTGACCGTCTCCAACCTGTGATCTCATCACGCTAGCTAGAAAAAAATAAATCATGTAATCAATTACAATTGCAGGAAATAATTCACTTTTACATATTATAATTATATAAAATTGTACTTAAAAACAAAAAAGAGGCTATAATTACATGAACTTTTTAAATTCAGTTAAACCATGGTAGCTACATACACCTAAAATTGCTACTTTTGAAACTTAAGGAAACATTTCATCCCAAATGGTAAAGTTTTGGATATGATGGATGCCTAATGATCAAAATAATTGGTTTCATGTGACTGCAACTTAATTCTTTCTACTCATATATCATCAATTAAACAGCTACATAAAACCCAATAAATTTAAGAGAATTGACTGTAAAGTTTACCTATTGTTCCCATAGGCACATAAAGTTAACTAACGTTAGCTCAGACTGACAGAATGCAAACTTTATGCCCCTCTTTTGAACATAAAAAGATAATTATTATATATATTGTTATGTGACTTACATTTAACAAGTCCACAAACAGATGAAGCCTTAAATGACATCTTATGTTTGTTACCATTCATATTGTATTTTGACATCAATTCATTCGACATCAACCTGAAAATAAAAAATCTATTACTGTAGAAAAGTCAGCCGTCTCGTTTCAAAATCGATATAAAAAACATTTTGGTATTTATCAGTGAACAGTTCACCTAACAGGCTTTCCTAGATACCAATTTCTCGGAAAGTGACCAATAGACTTGATGACCGAGAATGATTTTTACATAGAAATCCTTGAATGAGGATCAAACCAAAAAACAATTGTTTGATGCTCTAACTGTTCACCTTAACATAGGCAAAAACCAAGTATTACTTAACCTCTCAATTTTCAATTCAGTAAACTGTGTGAAGTACTAAAAAAATGCAAACAAAAATTGCAAGATTTTTAAGTTCAGTTCCAATAGTACTCTTAAATTTCTCAAATTCTTCATAACTTGCTTATTTAAAGTTTAATGTAAACTGTTAAAGAAAATAAGTTCCAAAAAGTTCATACCTATCCATTATTTTCCTGACATTGTCTCTCATGTTCAAACCTCCGATTGTTGATAGAGTTTTCACCTGTAAAATATTAAGTTTGTCTAACCATATATCAAAGGCAGCTTAAATATAAACAAAATCTCACAATATTTCAACACCTCTTTCATTAAATATATTATTTCCTTTACCGATTCAGATAAAAAACAGGTCTACACACTACGTGTAGGTAATCACAGTACATTTACACAGTGTCATTAAAAAACTGGCAGTCTTAATAAGAAAAGACCAATGAAATTTAACAATTAATACAGAATGCAACTTCCCAAACACAGCTTATACAATCACAATTAGACATATACAGGAAAAATTGACTAGACTAATAAATTTCGGCTATAAAAAGTACTTTATCCAAAGATGAGCATGGTATATCTTTAAAAAAGTCTCACCATTTTAACCCTTTGTTCTGGAACTTTAATTTTTTCTTCCAGTTCTTTAAATTCCTCCATTGTTTCTGCTTGATGAATTTCACCGCTTCCAATGTCACTTTCACTTCTTCTTTTTTCGTGTTTAAGTGACAAAATTTCACTTTTTAAGTCACTCAACAAAAAAAGCACTCTTCTCTGGAATCCTAAAAAACAATCCAAATATTAGCGTTTTATATACATATGTATACAAAATACTTCCCAATATATAAACCTTACACTATTATTTAAATGGTATGACAAATCAAATATAATAATACACTTTTATGGACATTGGCGAGGTGGAAATTTGTTTTGCTTTTTTCACTATGAAGTTATAATTACCAAGCAGGGCCGGAAAAATCAATTGTCCGTATTGCCCAGGTTGTCCCACAGCCTGTACGGACAAGTGAAGATTTTCAAGAATTAACAATGTAAAGATCATACGGACAAGTTAAAAAATGCTTCAAATAAAAACGGACAAGCAAGTCAAAATCAGATTTTGCCTGCCCTGCCAAGAACAATGACATTAGTTTGAAGGTCTAAAAAACTTTGTATTGACAGAAACAGTAGTTACAAAAGATATACTGTAAACCACTATTTATTTTCAATAAAGATTTAAAGTGAATTTAATTCAATAATTTAAAAAAAGGATAGACGATTGTCTGCCTATTAATTGACACAGTTGATCATGCCGCAAAAAATCAATAAAAGTCAAAACAGGGATGGGAATATTTTGTTCCAGAACATTTTCTGAAAAATAACCATGTCATTATAAAACCAATGTTATATTGTTTATAAAATATGAACATTTTTATAAAATATAGCTAAATACACTAAAACTGTCATAATAATAAAAACAATTTATGATATTTTGCCTAGGTAGAAGAGTAACCTGACCTTATTCTGGCAAGCATTTAAATGAAAATTGTAATCACAATTATGAAAAACATTTTTCTCAATACGTTTAAAACCTTGTCTAGCAATCCTTATTATTTCAAAATAACTTTATATTAATACTGTTTATACTTACTTCCTTCAGGCATTGGAAATTTGCTTCCATCTTCCTTTGCAGGTCTATATAACTCAGATCTTTGTCCATCACAAACAGTTGGAGTTTTTGACCTGGGATTCATTGGACTCCTTAAAGGGGACACAGACCGTTTTCTTTGAGAGTCTGTTCGACATAGTTTTTGTGACCTTGTTGATGATTCTGCAGTTCTCTCTTTTATTGGAGAACTATGCCTTATCCTATCATAGGACCTGGACCGTGACCTTTCCAGGGGCTGTGAAAAAGAATGGTATGAATGCCTCTGTGCATATCTCTCAAAACGCTCTTGAGAGCTTGACCTGGACCTGACCAATCTCGAAGAAGGCTGAGAATATGACCTTTCAATAGAATTTGATCTTGATCTCCTACTTCTCGATGCATTTGGGTATTTAGACCGGGATCGTGTTTTGTTTTTTGACCTTGATCTTGACCTATGTCTGAGAGATTCTCTAACCGACTCTGAATTTCCACCCCCTCTGGATAGACTAAGTGGTCTTGACATTTCAGAGGATCTAGACCGGGATCTTGATTTTGAACCAAAATGCTCAACATAGGTTCTCTTTCTCAATGTATTTGGGGATCTTGACCGGGATTGATTTTTGTTTGCTGACCTTGATCGAGACCTGTGTAAGACAGGAGATTCTCTAACCGACTCTGAATTTCCACTCCGTCTAGAAAGACTAAGTGGTCTTGACATTTCAGAGGACCTTGACCTGGATCTTGATTTAGAACCAACAGACTGAGAAGTAAAACAAGTAGGTGATACAGACCGTGAACGAACAGAGTGGATCTGTAAGTCTGAATCACCTGAAGAAATTGACCGTGACCTTTTGGACGCTGACACTGTTTGTGATAGATTAAAGGAATCTGAGCTTGATCTTGCTCGTTCTCCAGTTTTAGCTGTAGATTTATCCTCAATTCTTCCAGTCACCTTCTTTGGAGGATCAGGGAGATGTACTTCATCTGAGAAATAAATCTGGTTTCATGATATGCAATATCATATTTAAGAAAATGTAAAAAAAAACTAATTTATTATATACTTATGAATGAAATATTGAGAAATATTGATGAAATAAAATGCATATTTTCATTTTCCGTATTTTCACTGTAAAAAAATATTTTTCACTGGTATTTTCACTGGTGTCTTGCCGGACTACTTTCTTCTAAATTCAACTTAAAAACAAAATTAAAAGGGAACTCTTCCTATTCATTGGCTAAATGAGGAAAAAAAGTTTAATATACAGAACATTCAAGTTACTGCCACTTGTGAAATATTTATTTTCATACCACTCGATGAAAATAAATCCTGTATTTATAGAAGAAACTTGAATATTCTCTATGTACTAGACTCATAATATCTGTAATAATTAACGGTTCAGATTGGAATGTCTGTTCTAAGGGACCACACCCAGGCCTGCCGAGTTACTGCCCATGAACCGATTACCTAGGGACAGATATTCCGATCCAAACCGCAAACGTATGTCTGATGTTTTTTCTTACATATTCTGCAATATTATTTCATATGTAAAATGGATTACCTCAATAATACATTTGTTCATGACAATTTATGTCATTTCATCTATATTTATTTTCTTACAAAAGCATATGAATTTTCAACTTTAATAACAACGGCGAAATGCAAGGTAATATAACAGTGTTTTTCACCCTGCTTTGGGAATGGTGCCGGTACCGGACAGATTGGGAAAAAATGCATTGGTTTGACTCAAATTTAGTACATTACTTTTGTTGTGATTTAGATGGAATTAATTATTTATCCAGAGTTAAATTTACAACTTTACAATGTAATCAAAATTTTCTTACCAGGCAATGCCTTCTGCTTTTTTCCAGGCCTCTCACCATGACATTCCTCAGATAAATGAGATGATTCGTGTCCTACATGTTCAAAAATCAGAAGAGAAATGCAGTGATAATAGGGTTATTCTTGAATTAAAATAACTTTTTCAGCCAATCCAATGTTACAAAAAACAGAAGTCTTAAAACATCATGTTTTCCTTATCACAGAGTATTTCAACAGATGTATTGAAATATTTTATGAGTATTTGTTATATAAAGGGAATAGATGTCACATCTGAGTGTATTTGTAGAGTAAAGCACAGTTAAAAGTTCAAATGGGTAGGAATATAATCACAAATGCCTATAGTTATTTATAACATAGCATTTAAATGAAATGGAACTATGTTTGGTGGTTTAATTTGTTTTCGCCACAGAGTTTTCAAGAGAAACATGCTTAAAAGTCGAATGAAAAAACAACAACAAAACAACTGTTAATAAGTCTACCGTATGTAGAAACATTTTAGAATATTGTTAAGAATTTTGAAAACGATAAAAAAGTTTTGTGTTTATTTTATTTCACTTCATATTTTTAAGTAAAATACAGAGTATCATGCAAATCTAACTGGTTGGCGACATTGAAATAGCTTTCTTGTGTTGACAGATTTTGCAAGCGCTGTTTGGCTTTACATTATGACGTCATGAAAAACAACACTTTTAAAATCTGTACATTATTAAAGATATTGGTGTTCGGATTTATTTTCTTAGATCATTTTCTATTATTCTAGAAAGTTTTCAGAAAAAGTTTAATTAAGTTGTTTTTTTATTTATCACATTTTTTTCAAACAAAATGGCATCACCAATGTGTTGTTTTGCAAATGCAGAGGGAGAAAATAAAAACGGTGATTGCATTTGTTGTAAAATATATCCCACTTCCGGCCTTCCTAGTTTATATAAGTGAAATCTCCCTCAGTGTTAGAATTTGATATATACCTGTCACAAAATCTTCATATGTCTTCTTTTTTCTTTTTCTTTTAATAATATCATCATCTTCTTCTTCTGAACTTTCCACAGTTGTGGTTTGGTCGTAGTTCTCACACTCTTTCATATTTGCTGAAAGATAGAGCAATATTAAAAATTCGAAAGTAATCTGATTTAAAGTTCAATTTATTATTTTCAATTAGTTTAAAAATAATTGTTTCCAGAAATTTTGCATTTGAACATTTTCCTTGCTAATTACAGCATTTTCAAGCTCAGGAAGTAAAAAACATCCTCTTGGAAAGTTAGATATAACAAAAACGTTAAGACAGTGCACATGGCGATGGAGTTTATTAATTCTTTTAGACCTTTGCAAACAATGCATGAAAAATATGATTTATATCATTGTAAATAGTTCACCGTTATAGTGTGCAGACCAACTAAGTTAATTGTATTTCAAGGGAAAGTGACTACAGTCAAGAACTTACATTCACAAATTTCAAATACAATAAATATATATTTCTTTGAATTAACTTGTATTATTGTCTTGCTTACCAGATTTGCACTTAATTTTTATAAGTTCAAATTTTCTCCATGTGCTCTGTGGTGAAATCTTCTTTTCACGAGCTTTCCGTGCATCAACTCCAGGTGGCCAGAAAAGGTAACCACCTTTAATCCATGTTTCCGGTACAACACCCTCTTCTTCCCTGTCACCCTCCATCCACACTGCTCTTACCCACATTCTTAAAAAGATGGTTTGATCAATAATTTAATAACACAAATTTGAAATGGAAGTCTTTACTTACATGTATTAAAGCAATGTTCCTATTTGTTACAAAATTAAATGATTCTTTGTACTATTTTTCATAACATGTTCATTATTTATCAAGAGATTTTTCTTAATTTTATTTTACTACAACAATGTCAATCAGTATATAGAATATTTTCATAAAATTATATTAACTTGCAACATAACACGCAAAAACTGTACTAAAATAAGTGCGATTAGTATGCAGACCAACAAAACAATGCATATCAACTTAATTACCATTGCTGCATGGTGTGCAACATAGGTATAAGGACATTCCCATGCTCAGTAGGCAAACATACTAGTTTTCTGTACAGCTGCAAAATATGTATGTTTTTCCTTTTCATTCGTTGATGACGTCTGACAATAGCAATGTTCAAGAGTTTGGAATCACACGGCTTTCTGAAAAAACTTTCTGACTGTTCTTGCTTTAAAACTTGGCACACTAAATTATGTTTGTCTTTCTTTTCTTTCACAAAAGCATACGATCCATCATTGAGTAGAAAACATCTATTTCTTTCTTTGATTGAAATAACATTAAATGTTGACTTAAGTCTAACACCCTGTACATCTGCAGTATTTCTTTCCTGTATTCTTTTCGCAACCTGAACTATTGGATTTCTAGCATTTTTCACTAATTTTTTAACTGATTGTAGATGATTTTCAAATGGAAATCCTGATATTTCATTCAATGAACACATAAAATGCCTACAGTCATCAGCCAGGTGAGTAAGACAATGGACATTATAGACAATGAATTTCTCTGAATATATGTCCTGACAGCTTCCATTTAAGAACGTAAAAGTTCTGTCAAATTTCCGTCAATTTTATGAAATGTGATTTTTTGGGGTTAAATTAGCTCACCTGAAAAGTACATGCATTTATTTGAATAAAGTACATCAATTAAATCAATAAAAATCAATTTCCCGATCTAATTTTATATTGAAATGAACAAAATAACTAAAAATTAAATTGGAAATCATCATCTTTTTGACGGACGGAACTCCCAGCTTCTTCACCAGGTCGGATATATACTCGCATTTTCGAATAATATTGGAAGTTTTATTTCAACAAAGACAATTTATTGTTGGGGTATGTATTGCCTTACATTCTATTTGATTAGTTTATGTGTTTTTCAATTATTTTGCAAAATAAAGGAATTAGAATAATGTAGATGATGAACAATGAACGTCTGTCAAAAAAGCAACGTTCGCAAAAAACTGTCCATCGACTCGGTTATTGTGTGATTATGTATTGGGTGGGGATTCAAAGTTAGTGTTAAACTTGGTACTTTCTGGTTTTACAGGTGGTTTCTTAAGTTTTGAAGCCATAACCAGAAATTTTATTGAAAAAAGGTTGCTAACGTAATTTCTGTCAATTTTAGTGAATGACGTTCGCACATTTGTTCCTCAGTTTATAGCTGTCACTTCCCTTTTTTGCGTAAAGACAAGAAACTACGATTAAATCTGTAAGTATCCGAATGCAAAAACATGGCCGAATTGAGACGCTTGATTACATGATCCAAATTATTTTGAGTAAGTTTGTGTCTGTCAAGTGTTTTAAATGTTGACGATAGCAACAATAAGTACATATAGATATTTTTATATATTTTAAAGAAGAGAAAACATATTAAAGTCGAGTTGTATGCAGGAAATAGACAAATACACGGACGTCTACTGCTTCCAATGACTGATTACGCTTAAAGCTGTTGCGAATGTCATTTTTTGACGGACATTCTTGTTGCATACGTCATTTATCGACATACACAATTGGTGCTATCGTCATTCTTTGACGGCTGTTAATGATGCGATCGTCATATTTTGACAACCGTCAATGTTTTGACATAATAAATCTACATGTAAACATTGTAGTGTCAGTAATACTAGGGAGTGAGAGATGGATTGAGTTGAATTACAGTCAAATCGGCCCCAAGTCAGATCGGCCCCAAAATAGTCAAATCGGCCCCAAGAAAAATCGGCCTCAAGTCAGATCGGCCCCATTTTTTTTCTTTGTTCATTTTCTTATTTAAATGTTATTATAAAAAATGTGTGGATTGGAATATCAAATGACTAACAATGGATTACATAGAAAACCAGAACAAAACATAATAATCAATATAATTTATTGTCTGAGTATAACATTTATCTTCACTGTACTAAACTATTTATTGTCTATAAACATATGAACAGTATGTAAATGTCACTTTTCATGTAATTGTCACTTCTCAAGCAAAGGTATAGTGGAACCCCATTGTATCGTGCTATTCATTGTATCGATCTATTCACAAATCTTTAGATTTTTTGCAAAATACGTCACCTACTGATTGTTAACATTAACAACAGTGTCACGAAAATCTTTCGCATTTATTTTTTGTACAGTAAAATGATCAAAAACATGTTTCCAGTACCGTAAGACGCTGTAGATAATAAATAGACTTATAAATAATATGTTCTTATTAAAAGTACATTTACTGTCTGTTAAAAGTTCCTAAATTTATGCTGACATTTTAAAACAGACATCTATGTTATTAATTGACTAATTTATCTAACATAAAAGATGGTTAATGTTTCCCAAACTTTGGCTAACTGAGCAATTCTCACAATGCATCGATATAATGGCGTGACCTAATTCTTCAACCTGTTTGACATGTCTGTAAATATCCGTTTATTCCAAAGCTAAAAACTATATATCAGTGATGTTGCCAAGTAAATATTATGGCAAATTAGGATCAAAATAAATGATACAAATTAAATATTCAGTGAGATTTGATTTTTTTAAATTCAGTTGTGATTTATGGGTAAATAGATCGATACAACGGGGTTCCAGGCTAAACTATGAATAACTTGCCTTATTACAAATTAATGCTTTCTGTTTTCTCATTTATATGTCTTTAAAAGTTATGTTTCTACAAGTTTGCAGAAAGGTATACCTAAAAATTCCGAGTAATGATATATGTATGAATACTTAATATTAACTTTATAATGTAAAATCTTGTTTGTTTGCAGTGACTCGAAGCATTTGAAGACTTGTGGCGATGATTTGGCGGACAGTTTGATTGAAGACATTGGTATACCTGCCTCCAAGCAAAGGTAAATTATGAATAACTTGCCTCATTACAAATTAATGCTTTCTATTTTCTCATTTATGCTTTTAAAAGTTATGTTTCTACAAGTTTGCAGAAAGGTATACCTAAAAATTCCCAGTAATGATATATGTAGGAATACTTAATATTTACTTTATATGTAAAAATCTTTTTTGTTTGCAGTGACTCGAAGCAATTGAAGACTTGTGGCGATGATTTGGCGGACAGTTTGATTGAAGACATTGGTATACCTGCTACCAAGCAAAGGTAAACTATGAATAGTAAATGAAACAATTTCTCTTTGTATACCCACCCTATAAAATGCCGGGCATGATGGCGCGGTGGTTAGTGCACTTGTTTTTCATTTTGAGAGTTGTAGCTTTGATTCTCGGTCAGGCCATTTCTCTCTGACCAATTGATAAAAGTCCTTGTGTCTTAAGTCTTTCGTCTCGCACCTCTGTTTCAAGTGAGGCAGAAAAAGAGGTAATATGTCTAAAATGATATGGAGAGTGTGTGCACAAGTTAATTTTTGAATCAGTTTTTAAAGGCATGGTTATCAGTTTTTAAAGGTCTACATTTCAACAACTTTTCATGCAGGTACCCTGTAGGAACTAACCTTCTCATCAGAAATGGATCAGAAAGTTTTAAAGCTGTTGTAAGTAGTAATGTTTTAACAGTTTGGTTAAATTCAGTACACAAAAAAAGGCAATGCAAACTAGCAAATTTGTCAGCTGTTTGTCAAAAGGTGCAATCAGTATTTTTTTTCAATTTTTCTGGAAATGGACAAAGATTTATCAGCGTTTATAAGAAGCTAAACAATTAGTACTGACTTTGTTCTTCAATGCATTACTTTTGTTTGGCCTGTATTGTGCTGTTCCATTTTTGTTACTTTGGAAGTTATGTTTTTAAAAAAAATTGTTACTTGTGAGTTAAAAAGTTTTTTTTTTTTGTCTTCATCACATTTAATATATGTTAAAACCCAATATAAGGCACTCTTGCTGACAAGATTTGCAGTCAGATATCAATCTCCGGAGTTCATGAGTTTAAGCCTTAGCCATACAACATGAGTTGAATTCCCAGCCATATAACAGTATTTCAAGCCCCAGCCATATAGCATTTATTTAATAAAGATTAATTATTAAATAATTTTTTATAATACTGCATGTTTGTAACGTCGCTTTTCATTGGATAATCTTGACGTTTATATAGTGTTTTATACACGTGACACAGCTATTGTTGATTAATAAAGAAATCTTGCTTTATTCCTCTAAAAATGATCCTTGCTAGCGATTTGGGTTATATTTTACAAACAGCCATTTATATAGGGCCATATAACCTGTCAAAAATCTTTATAACTAATAATATAGCCTTACTATTCAGGTAAAGCAGTTGTCTGTTCATGTGCAAATATTATTTGTTTATACATGTAGTGTATATGCATTTTTAAGTCTTTTCTTCCGGTTAATATTGTGATGATATGAAGCAACATTTGAATGTCAATCAGCTTGACTTCATTACCAGTTGTGGATACTTGGTAAATACATTTGATTGGTTCATTGAGTCCAGTTTGACCTCTTTGATAGATACTGGTAATTGATTAAATGTTATTGGTGCAACAAGTCATTGATTGTACATCATTTTGCAGGTTGTTCAAACCCATGAGCTGCACAGAGAGGAGAAAGTCTATGGATTGTGGGTCCAGTTCTATAAGAAAGGAAAGCGACAATTATGGACATTGGAGGAGAAATCTTTCTTTGTTTGTTGGGAGGATATCATTAAACAAGTTGCTGAAACCTTTACTGTCTATGCATGGATCTAGATAATACTACAAATTTTGAGTGTTTGGTGTACAGTTACACTTAATAGCCCATCAGAAAGGCCGACATGGTGACTGGTGCTTTTACATCCAATTTGGTGTAGACTGTTTTCATACTTTCTTACAAAAACTGTTAGAAATATAATATATCTTTTGAAAAGTTTCAATAGCCATTGTCAATTTATTTTGTAAAATACGTTCTTAAGTGCCTAGAACAGTTGATGGCCAGTGTTTTGACAGTTAATTTCGGATAATGTCCAAATAAATTTACATAATTTACTTGTTTGCTCTTAGAAAACTTTTACTTGTTGTCATTTGTTTTCTTGTATCCATTGCGAAAAAGTACTTTAGAAATTGGGAAAGAACATTTGTTCCGTCCAAAAATGATGGTAGCAACAATTTGTTCCGTCCAAAAATGATGCTAGCAACAATTTGTTCCGTCAAAAAATGACGTTTAGCAACATCATCAAAAATGAATAAATCTGTATCTGGCCTGTTCCCTGCAGAGATAGTACTTCCTTTACATACAGTTTTCAATCTTTTATTACTTAGAATAAAATGCTGCTAATTATAATAAAGAGAATGCTTAATTTTTCCAATTTCTGAATGGTGTGAACGTAAAAATATCCGTCAAATATTCTGTCAAATAATGACGTTAGCAACATGAAATTTAAAACATGATTAAAACTCAAAATACATCTGCTATAATTTTTATTTTCATGTTTTTGACCTAATATAATAGCAATCTTATCATATATATTAAAAAAACTGCAATTATTTTATATGTACAAAAAAATATCCTTGGGAGCTATTTTGACGGAAATTTTATGTTCTTAAATGGAAGCTGTCTCTTTACTTTTTTTGACAAAATAACTTAAGAGATTTTGTGCATAACTCAAATATGATGTTCTCGTAACTGAATCATTATCAAGAAGTATTGCTATGGCTACAGTTAAGCTTAAAAAATGTTCATACATTTCTTTGGTTAAAAAACTTTTTAAGAACAACTGGACCTGTATATAGGAGGAATTGTCTAAATTCTGTAGCTTTCCAGCGCTCTATATCATACAATGATCTTGGCTGACGTGCAAACTCTGACGGCAATTTACCAGAAAGTGAAATCAAGGCATTTGATATTTCTGACACTTGTAATGCTGAAAGTTTACATACTGTTGGTCCTTGCCTTAAAAACCATAAAAACTCGCTTAACAAACACCAAGGCATACCAAGTGGCATGTAGTCAAGACTAAAACTTGTAACACATGGTATGCCTGATGCTGCAAGTGGAGATATTCCATTTTGGTGAGATGGGTACTTGAAAGCAGCAAAGTCCTCATTTGTCCTTGGAGTGCATACTTCATCGGAGTGAAGAATAACACGATTATCTTTATAGTATCCATGAACAGCACATCTCTCACAAGCATTATAACCAGAATGGCCTTTTACATTTTTTAGAAAAGCTCGTGCTGGAGCATCACAAATGAAAGCATTGATTCTAATATGGAAGTTTTGTATTGTCTAACTGTATGCCTTCAGATATAAGTTCATTTAATTCCTCAATGAAATCAATTAAAAATTCTTCTAAAGAATTAGGCTTGTGTGAACTGTAGAAAATGGCCACCATAAAAGGTGTATAGCTTTTGAAGTTACAGAGAATTGGCCAAAACTGTGTTCCAGTTGACTTAAATAAAGGAATTCCATCAATATTGAAATTCAGCTTTATTGTATTCTGTTCTGAAGCATCAAGTGAAAATGACTTCAAAGATAAAATTTTCAATAACCCAATCCTTATACCAAAGTAAATAAATTTTCCACCACACTTTTCAACATAATCTACCATTTTAGGGGTTTTAAGTAGTGTTCTACTATCTTTTGGGAGGTAAGTATTACATCTTGAAGTTAGAAGTTTCAATAGATCATCTACACATTTTTTGCTTAAATTATTAGATGTAGCCCATGTTGCTAATTGTTCCCTTAATGTTGATTCATCATTTTCTTCATCTGACAAATTGTCCGTCTCAGAATCGGTCTCAGATGATACAATTGTCTCAGAAAAGCCATAATCCGACAAGTTATCATCACTGTCATCATTATAAGAAACATTATTTTCATCAAAAAATTCAGATGAGGATGTGATATCATATCCTCCTACATTAACTACTGTCATATTTGTAGCAACATCATCTTCATCACTGCTCTCAGCCAAAGCTTGTGCAGCAGCCTCATTTTGACGCCAGCGCCTTAAGTATGACATGCTTTTAATTACCTCTCACTGAAAAATGCAAGGTATTCAATTGTTTGGTTTTTTTTAATACTACATAAACCTGTTATCACATAATTCAAAACAAAGGAGTGTAATAAGTGCCATTTAAAGCAGCGCGCCTCCAGATCATGCTAATTTTCATGAAAATTGGAAAATGTATAAAACGGTATATAAATAAGTTACCAAAAGAATACAATTTACACATTTTCAATGGCACTTACAACCTATGTAAATTACCATAAAAGAGGTCAAAATATGCACAAAAAACACTTATTGGGTTGGCAACGCAGTAAAAATATAGTTATAAACACTGAAAAATCGGTCATTAATTGCACATAACATGTACAAAATTATTAGAATTTTGAATCTTTATACTTTTCCTAAAGTTTTAGTACATTTTCAGGTTTGATTTTAATTTTTATCGAAATATTTTTGCTCATCTGGAGGCGAGACGATATTAGACTAGATAACAATATGATGGGTTGTAAAGACATGCTATTATGGTAACATTAAACTAAAGGGGCATCGTTGAAAAAATGCTTGGTTTTTCTTACTGTAACCAGGTTTTTTTTTTACTAACAAATTGATAGCCTCGTTGTACCATCTCTCGAACAATAATTTCACTTAACTGTAATTATTTTTTAAGATGTTAAGTGTTTTTAAACTTAGTAAAGTTCTTGATTGTAGAGGCATGTATTGTGTCCGTTTTGACCTACTTAAAATTTGTCAACATGACCTTTAAAAATGGCTGCCGTGAACTCATTGGGGTGCTTGATTAGTAGAACAAAGCTGACCCCCTTGCTACCAATTATCGAACCAAGTTATTTATAGTGAACGAATAACCTGTAGAAAGAGGAGACCATTTATATTGAATCTATAAGCATTAATTAAATTTTCTACTGTAACATAGAACAAAAAAAAACACATTTTCATTTATTTTCATGTCATGTAACATTCCTGGAGTATTCATCTGACTTTTTAAATACAACAGCTTCTCAAATCACAAGCAGCTTTACTTATATCAACCAAAATTTGATTATTCCTTTTCAACATTGATAATGGTATTAATTGCATATTGAGAACATCAGAAGAAATATATTTAGTGGTGTTCAACTTGATTTATCTTGTTCGATTAAATATTTGATTGAACAAAACAATAAATCAAGAAACTAGGTCAACGTTGACAGTTAATAAAACAAATCAAAAATACAGTAAAATTACGCTATATTTTCTTAAAAAAAGGGTTCATAAAGTATTCTTATTGTTCTGACTTATTCCACAAATCTACATTAGTAAAGTGGAAACTTTACAAAAATACACAATTTCAAAAATGAAAGTAGGCTGCCATTATCTTAAAATTGAACTTTCGTCTACTATTAGAATGGTCAAAATGAAGCTGTAAATATGGAACTTTGCCAAAACAAAGCAAATGTAAGTGGTTGTCACTTTATTAAACTATCTCTTGCTGCAAAACATAAATTTGATTTGTCAAATATAAAATTTATCACTTTGGTCGAGAGATGGTACCGTTCGAGAGATGGTATCAAAAGGCCACCGATAGTCTGCGTCTTCCCCTTGGTAAATAGCCAAGTTTCCCCCCTAAAAATCTATTTTTCATTTAAACTGGATCAGATTTAAGTATTTATATGGTTTAAAATATTAATTTTCTCCATTTTATCCAGGAACCTACTAATTGTTGTCTAAAATAACCAAAAACGTTGCAGGAAACTGCAAGTACTGTCTGAACATGGAGGCGGCCATTTTTTTTCTTGGCTATATCACATACTGAACCGTACTATTTCTGGAAATCAGTTCTGTTGCTATCAAAATATTGTTATTTTCTTGGTTATTTTTAGTTAAGTAATATATTTTGTATTTCTTATTATGAAAATTACTTGTATGGAGCTAATTATAAAGTGTGTCACAGATACACTATTTTACCTATACTGTATTAAAATTCAGACAAAATTTGATGTATAAAAACCATTCACCACATGATACATACATGTATTAAAATGTTATACTGCAAAGAATATTTTGCATGATGATTAAGTTTTTAAGGGGAAAAAGATATAGTTGTGATTCTCTACTATGTAGTTCAGCATATAGTAATAAGTATGAATATCGTCATAGTTATCCCCAAATTGACTTTCTCTTATATTTTTCCCCCTCCCTACCAATGTCTTCCCATTTTCCTAAAAAAAACCTGCAGTAGACGGTTCTAATTTTAGGTATGAGATAAAATGGTATATAAATTTCCCTTAAGTTCACAACTAATAAATCAACTAAGAACTGTTAATAAAAAAATCACTGTTTAGGTAAAAGTTAAAATGGAATATCAATTGCCCATAAGTTCACAACTAGTAAATCGACTGTTAATAGAAATAATTTAAAACACTGACTTACATATAGCTTGGTCAAGTTTATTGGTACGTATTAACCAAATTAAATTGGTTGCTGGGCTGTGCCGCGCCAGACCAATTTAATTTTGTAAATATATATACTAATAAACTTTAATCTATACCAAACTAAATGAAAGACATTAACAAAATGAAAGACAGACTTTTAGAATACAAAATTAGTTCGACTGATGCAATATCATTTCCTTATATTCATCATAATTTATACAAATGATCACACAACACCAAAAAAATTCACATGGTTCTGTCATTTTGTAGATATCAACTTTGCCCAGCATGATCCTATCTGCTTTCTAGTACATACCATATGCTAAGGGCAGGCTGGCTTAATTAGGGTATTAACTTTTTATGATAATTAGCTGACGGACCTGCATGAGCTGTGCATATCACTTATTGAACCATATTGGATAGGCAGGCTTTATATTAACCAATTATTACTTTTATTGATTTTTAACACAGGTCATATGTTTTCTATGTTGTCTGATTACATTATGAAAAGATAAATAGTAAAAAAACGGTGTGCTTATAAGAGAAACACATGGTAAATAGTTATGGATAAAGTACTTCAATCAAACAACCAGTTACTTAACAACTGCACAGCTATCAAAATCAAACTGTGATCAAGACCCTATAATTACCTGATGATTGTGTGAATGACTGGCCTCTCTGATAAGGAAAACTTGTGCTAACAACATGTTAAGAAATGAAATTTAAAAAAAAAACCTATACCTCTATACAACTTTAAATTAAAATGTTATTTTCCTAAATAATTAAATCAATTATAATTTATACAGCATTTCATTGTTTTTTCCTTAAACATGTACCAAAAAACGGACCCATTAATTTAGAATCACAAGGGTTCTTTCATAATTGTAATAAAATTTTGAAAAAACTTCCAATCGCCAGAAGCTCACATAATATGATTTTATTCAACTTGTTCAATAAAATTAGTATTAAGCCTAAACTCATTCAATATCCTCTGTAAGTTGTTTTGACAAAAAGAATCATAATAACAATTTAAATGAAGTTGTACGAAAGTTAAATTTTGTATTTGACATGCAATTAAGTTATAAAAGCCTTGCTTTGGTGAATGGTAGTTATAGAATGCAAAATGGACTTTAACCTACAAATGGACATTTGTTTTAAGCGTATAAATTAATATAACTGTTATAATGAACAAGTGATATATGACATAAAATTACCATTAAAACAGTTTGGCATACTTTTTTCATTACTGATACTTGTATATACATTTGAAAATAATGCCCATTCAGTAAGTGAAATCTCCTTTTTATGACCAGAAACTTCGTTTAGTAAAAGCTAGATTATAAAAAGAATTACGACTATAAATAGGAAAATACTATAAATAGATAAAAGTGAATGAAATCGCTGTTAGACATGGGCAACATGCAGATAATTTTTAAATGATGTTGCTTTAAGAATAAACAAAAATATATCAAAGCAAAATCATATTTTTGGGACTTGATCAGTCAGTGTTGATGTCTCGGACAAGCCTAATTGAAATGATTAATACTGACAGAAGCGAAACAGGTCAGTTTGGCCCTAAACTGAAATTAGCCCCAGTGCTAAATCAGTCCCTGGACTTTGCTGCCATTTTCCACGAGACGGTTCGGCCCTACTATGGTTTATTGCTTGATTGTTAACACAAACAATTATTCTTTAATAATTATTAATCTTTTGATCTCTTGTACTATTTAGATATATGTTAATGTTTTTAAAGGTGTACCAAACATTTAAAGCACTTTTATCCTTAATTTATAAAACAAACTGCTAAAACTTCTGGATTAAGAAATTTAATTACAGTTACAGATGTATTTTTTCTGAAAACGGATTTTCATGTACTTGTATATTTTTCCATATGCAGATTATGTTTTGTTCTGTTTGTATTGAATAGATCTAATTGATTACTTTTCCCTACTATTATAAAGCTTTACTCTTCTCGGCCCACTTTACAAAAATATATATAACGTATTAACTTTGCTTTGCATGTTGTTAAGGTAAATGAATGATAAGAAATATCTTATTATTTTATAATATTGTACTTCTGCTGAAATAAAATATATTTAGAAAAAAAATTGTTATTTATTTGTCTTGCAGATAAAATTTATATAGATCTAATAAAAATGTGTTTCCTTAGATGCATTTTGTTTTTAAAGTAACATTATTATCGCTAGTTTGGGACGATTAAATGTCCTATTTTAAAATTTATTACATCAATTAAAAAGCTGGTAATCTAAGCTTTCTCTCGGTATATATTCTTTGACACTGAAGGTATTTAAATTTACGGTTAAACCTACCACGAGTCAGAAATACAGTGAGATAGTTCAGAAACTGTCAATCCGTGTATTATAAATAATTACCATAATTACAATAAATAGTGATAACACACTAAATATTAATAATTGAAAAGTGGGCCGAGTTGACCCGTGCCGAGTTGGAATAGGGCCGAGCTGACTCGGGGGCTGAGTTCGTTTTAGGGCCGAGCTGACCCCGATTCAATTGATTTGTTTATTTATTTCAATGGTATCTATAATTATAAATGCTATATTGGGCCAATTTTGTAAAGGGCCAAAAGTCCAGGGTCGAAATGTCTTGGGTAATACGGGGCTTAAAGTTAAACTCCTTCGGGCCGAAACGACTCAAAATCAACAGAAATATAAACCGCACAAGTTTAACAGATGATTGCCACAGTAGATCTATTAATTTCTATCAAATTCATGAAAACTTTAGTATTATAGATCTATTCAGAAATAAACTATAATTTTGCTAATTGTAAAAACATCATGCTACATGACAATATTGCTTCAATAACTTGAGACAATGATTTTTATAGAGGGCCAAGTGACAAAATTCCTTCGAATTAATATAATTTAGATCTATTTCTTAGACATTTGTTACAACAAATATTCTTCGTGTAAAATTAAAGAAAATCAACATTTTTGATAAGAATTCTGACCTGCCTGGCCTTATGTTTCGATGCTATATAAATATACGAGAAAAACGAATATATTTATCTCGCGAATTCGTGTTACATTTACAGTATTTTTAGTATTTGGATCAATTAACGGTCAAATCCATGCAAACATGCGGCAAATTATCATAAATAACAACAATATCTAACGTTTGCTTACCTGCTTTCTTTTTTTTCCAATATAGAAGTCTAGATCTGCAACTCTTTGTCTGTCGATTCTCCGCGTGTACACTTGTCCGCCAAAAAATTGAATTTCAAATCCGAAAATTCGAATGCACTTAATTATTTACCACGAATAAAATAAGCCCACAAATATGGAACAACCGAATCGTTAATTAGTAAAAACGCTTTTTAAACTTCCTCACAGAAATATTTTATCATGTACAAAGAAGACAGAGCACATATCTTTTATACTGATCTGCGGCTATCCGTTTACAGAGCGCCACCTTGCGAATATCGCATGGGAACGCCACCCACGTGACCATGTTCTTGTTTTGACGGGGAGATAAATGTATAATTTTTTCCTTTCAAAACAGAACACAATTTCTCGCTGTTAATGATTTGATTTAAATATATTGGGTTTCATCAATTATTTATAATTAAAGTCACATATTGTCAGATTACCGACCAATTCCGACGTCGATACGACGTCAAAATGAAACGTTTGTTAGACGTCGGGGTTTCAACGTTGGTTCAACGTTATATGAAGGTCGCCGACGTCGCGACCAAATTTCAACGTTGATCCAACGTTGTGTCAACGTCGGGTGTTTGCTGGGAGGGGCCGCGAGGTCGATACCCTGTACAAACACGTCTTTTAAAAATCGGAGTCCAGGCGATGGTGCTTAATAGTACACCTTTCACGTGTAAGAACCAGTTGTTTCTTTTGTATCTATGGCTTTAAAAATCATCTTCTGGAGTGAAACGCTCATATGGGTTTCCGGTGACGACTTCTAGAATAAATAAACGTGTATCACACGTTCGAACAATGGAGCAACCATGGGAATGGTTGTTATGTAACTTTAAGTACAAATGTTATATTGGGAACAGTCCAAATTTTATGTCTATGTTTGCATTGTTATTAGTCCTGATTGCACTATATACACTTAATAATTGTAAAGAAGGCTTGGTCGTTTCTGCCTTTCTGCAAATCAAGTTCAATGCGTATTTTCAAACTTAAATTTCGTAGTAATTGGACGGTAAATATTCATTAATGCAACCATAATTGCACGTGATCAAAATTGATGCTGAGTCTCCATAGTAATACAGATACATGTACTTGATCTGTTTTATTCACTCAAAAATTTATAGACGGTACTGAGCACTTAGTGACAATAACTAAAAGATCAAGTGAATTCTCTTTTTTTGCTACAATTACGAAAAAAAAATCTCTTCGTAGACTATTAAAACAACACATCCGAATGCTTTACTTTACCCTATGAGTGCCCGTAGAAATAATTATGATAAATATATGAGGTTTGATGGCATGTTGCTTAAGGTGCCTGCCTCTCAAACCCGGACCCTTCTCCGGTCACGATCATGTCTCCTTTTATGACACCAATACTGGTTGATTCATACTTAGTAAGTAGGCTAAGCTGGACAAGATCACCCTGCCGTCTCTGTATTTCTCACGTATACAGAATTGCTACATAACTTCTCGCTCCGTTCTAAAATATAATATATCTTCAAAGGACAATTTAAACTGTACTAAACATATAGATGAAATTCTTTTTAAAATATTAGCGATTCTAAATGATTAAAATAAAAAAAATAAGTTACTTCTCAAGGACATGAACTCCTTTTATCTTCAAATTTAAAGTGAATTGATCCATTATGGAAGGTCTGTAATCCGACAAATATGTATGTCAATAGTGTTTATTATCATTAGTGATAACAAACCATGAAAGAATTATTCATTTATGTTGTTTATAAGTGTGAGTATTACATCGGACTTTAATTATTCGATGGGCGGTTCCGCGCATGCGCTCATGCGATTGTAAGCTTAACCCTTCTAAGTTACAGATACAGCAAATAATTAATTGTTCTAGAAAAAATATCCTGTATTATTATTCATCATGTAAATACTATATACTTTAGAACTTCATCATCATTTAATTTATGAAATACTTTATAAGAATATTGAACCGATACATTTATTAATAGTTATGGAAAATGTACCGATTGTAGACCAAGCCACATTAAAGGTATATTAAGCTTTAGACATAGAAAAACATGTCTTTAATGATGATGTTATGGATTTTGAACATTAAAGATGATTATCTCCTGAAGAAAATAGCCTTGAATGTGAAACAATTTGTGATAAAGGAAGCAAAATGTAAATGAAGTGAAATCTTGACTTCCATATAAAACACTAAATCGCTATAAGCGTACTTACTGTTCTAATTGACAAAACGCAAGATGGCTAAGGTATATGGCCAATGAGTAACAAAACACCAAAAATAAACTTTTTAAATAGAAAAAATGATATCATTTTGAATATAAATGGGCCTTTAATGTTCAGAGCTTTAATTTTGTAATTCGGGGTCACAAAGAACACCCCCTCAAATACATTTTTGTTTTATCGGGAAAAAAGTATAAAAAATTTGGTTTCTACGCAAGTTGAACATTTGAAAATATGCACGACAGTTTCGATAAACTGCCCAAAACTTTCACAAGCTGTTATTAATTGTCCAAAATTTTCTTTATTAGTTTCAAAAAATAGGGTTTAAAAAACTTTTTTTTATAGGAAAAACTACATTTTTTTACAAAAGATAAAAAAAATTTACAAAAACGGGCCCCAAAAAAAGTGGGACATTCATGTTAAATGTTAAAAAAAGAACGAGAATAAAAAAAAAACAATCTTAGTTATCCTAAAAACTTAAATTTTTAAAGGGGGCAAAAACTTTCCAAAAAAAAATTGTAAATTCTAATTCTGCAATGGAAAAAAAATGTTTGAGTTAAAAAAATAATTACTTATTATCTAGGTTCGTGATCGGTTAATATTTGAGTTAGTACTCGGGCACTTTTTTATAACGCTCTATTTTGAATAAATTAGAGTGTTTTCAAATTCTATATACGTTGATGTAGCTTTTAATAGTACAGTTATTATAATTAGGTATCTGAAATTATACGTTTAATAGTTTAACCTGTACATGTTCAATAAATCTGTTCTGACTTGTTGTGTTCATATGTACAGGCTGGTAGTAGCGACATAGTTCGTCAATTTGCTTAGATTTAAACCCACATAATTGAAAACCTCAACAACAACAAAATAATTATTTTAAAAAAGAAAAAAAGAACACAAAACAAAATAACAAGAACAAAAACACGCACACACAAAAGACGAGAGGCAGAAAATCCTAAGGTTATGACATGTGTACACCGTTTCTTGAACTTGACCGAATCTCTTTAATTCATAGTAAAAATCAGAGACATAGATAACATCTACATCTCTGGTAAAAATATATATAAAAACCTGGTTAACAAGTAGTTATTATAGATGCATGATGATTTCTTTTGCCACCATTTAAAGCTTTTTTTTTTGCGATTTTTTTTGCGATAATGAGAGTAGTTGACCTGGTTATCTCATGTTCCATCTAATAAAAAACTGGCAATTATCAGTTTAGTTTTTTCATCGGAATGTTTGCCTTTTTACAATCTCCAGTCAATGAAACTAGATCTCATTTTGAATAGTCGACGTTTTCCATTGCTGTATTAAATAATAAACTTATATCAAATACACTTACGACCCGCTCCAATGGTTTCAAAAAGAACTCTTTAGAAGCAATACGTAGTTGATGTTTGAATTGTGGGCAGAGTCTAATAACCGGTGTCAACAATGACACGGTTAAACTAGCACTACCAAATTTACCAGTTATCTTCTGCAGACCACTAGCAGCAGACGATAAAAACCATCTGGCATATCTTTAGGATTTTTTCTTCTTAAATTGGTGCTAAAATAACAATTTTCGTTGCTGCTTGAGGATTCTTACACCAGAACCCTTCCGTTATGGAAGGAATACAGTTTATCGCGTTCGTCATTTTTCTTATAGGAATATCGTCTGCTTTTGCCCAGAACGAAGGTAAAATTTTATTTTCCTATATTTGACTTCTATTTGAATTTCTCAGATATATTTGTGAAAGTATACATTACCGAGTTACCCAAATATAAAGCGTTCAATATAATGTATATAATATTGCAGCTCAATAAACATCGACCATACAATCCAAATATTTTCATTAGTGTTTATATCAGTGTAAAATGTGATTTTTTATTACAATCAAAACATTTTTCATGCATTAATACTTTTCAAAACATACGCATTCAAAAGTTAATACATGTGAATATTATATTTTAGAATTAAAATTAAAATAGTAGAGTACATCACAGTGATGATGCTTTTAAATTTATCTATTCCACAAAGTACATTATTCTACATAATCATTTTTTAATTATCTTTTCTGTGCATTGTTGATCAATTTTTAGGTCGAATTCCGATTTTCGTTCATGCAAAAGAAAATTGAAAACTTCAATAATCTAACAATAATGACTTAAAGCGAAATTTATAATTTTAAGCAAAAGAGCAACGTGTTTTAGTACGCATTCAAAAAGCCACTGAACAATCTTCAGTGATGACCATGAATTTTCGGGTTTCTGCATCACGGTTGGTTGAATTTTCCACATCCTCAAGCTTGCGTGTAATTGTGTAATATGTACTTTAGCAGAGTAACAACACTCATTTTTTTTTTATAAAAGTTGTCAATTTGACATCAGTATGTGGGCATGCCATGTTCCGATTTTTCGCTGATGCGAAAATGAGAAAAGGGATGTAATGTATGGATACGACAGAGCCCAACTTTGTAGTAACTTTGCGTTTTCGCAGTTTTGCATAAAATTTGAAAGCGAAAAAGCGAACGAACGGAAAAAGAAAAATAAGTAAAATACGACACATCAAATGTCTCAGCTTCGCTTTTTCGCATCGAAAATAAGACAATACAACATGGCGTAAATATGCCACCATACATAACCCAGTTACAAGTAGCTATACTTTTGGTTTTTAAGTACGTATACGCAGAATATGCGTTATTTATTGTTAAATGACAAATCAAATATGCTAAGATTTTTCCAGACTGTAAATATTCTAAGATTTTGATTTTGTTGATATTTTTCCGGATGATTTGGTTTAAAAGTTTGAATTATTTTGACTGCAAATAATTCACGCAAGAAATTTGTTTACAATTTACTGTATTAAATATTTACGAATCATAAATTTTACATGCATAAAATTGCCGATCGTTTTTTTTATTGCAACAGATTTGTAAATTGTCAGTGACACCCAAACGCTTAAAGAAAACAATGATTTAAGGTTAGCACGTGTAAAATTTTCGACCACAAATATAACATACTGTTTGCAAAAATGTTTACTAGTAAAATAGCCAGAAAGAGGATAAGCGCGATGAATACATTTGTATATGAAATATTAAAACATTGTCCATTTCTAAACCTAACATATGACAGTAAAGCTAAGTAAATGGAAATTAAATGAAACATTTCATTTCTATAAAAACTGGTTTCGCTTGATTTGTTTCGCATACAGTTTTAACTTCTTGTTCCATATTTTGACAGAAAAGCTTGTTACTTTAAATACTTGAAATAGAAGGTAAGCGTGGGGTATCATTTACATCTGCTCAGATAGCATTGTACCATTAAAAGCCTGAATGTCTGATAACTTAAGGGCCCATTCTACCCCAGAAATGCTATAATTTACATTTCTCGAAAACTTTCTATCCTTGGTATCTGGTCACAGTTTCTGAAGTACAAACTCATTTGCCATATACATAAACTATCTTTACTTAGTTTGCTCCGTTTGCAAATTATATATTTAGTGAGTTAGTATTTTCTATGGCTGTCAAAATACTACATTACCTTTAAGCCATATAACTGCATGTGCAGCGCTACGTTTTTCATTTGATCTTACATGATCTAAATCTATTATTAAAACATTATCAAACATATGTTTGGCATTTCTGAAGAATTACAAAAATATGGATACATGAGGCATAAAGCGCCTTTAAAAGAACCTGACCTAAAGTGCCTAGTTTTTCTGAATAATATTGTAAATAATGTCAAGTGTAAAGAAATAAAAATAAACAAAATAAAATATAATTTATTGAAGCATTTAGATACATAGGCTTTAGACCTCAGGCAATGATCGCCAAACGCCTATCTAACTCAAAAATATTTTTGCTTTGTCTTAATTTTTCACCTAGATAAAGCTTCAAAATAAGAAAAAAAATTTTCAATTCATTCTAGTCATTTGCAGATAGTAATAACTAACCATTAGCTTTTTAAAATGGAGTAACACAAAATATATCTCATTCACAATTCGTGAAAACTGCGGGATAAACTCACAACAAATAAGATCCGCAACTTGAAGACCTTACTTGTGAGTCAGCTATTCGTATAGTGTTAAATATTAGTGCAATCGTAGCATGTAAAACTTGGCTGCCAGCTTCATATCTGGTAATTTTAAAAACACAAATCTGGTCATTCAAATATCATAAAAAGACTTGCTTATCTAAGTTCGAAACAAATAAATTATTACCTCTTTAGACAGGGCAAACATTTTATAATGTTTAAATAATGGATTGAGAGAATTTTTAGATGCTTGTTACCTGAAGAAAGAAGTGATAAATGAAATAATTTGTCATAAAAGTAGCAAAATGTGAACAAAATAATATTTTGACTTCAATACAAAATTCCAATTCACTATAACTGTACTTATTGTCAAAAAGCAACAGATGAAAAAGATGATTCAGGTTATGGGCCTTGAGTAAATTTTTGCATTTATTAGACACAATGGGCCTTTAACCCTTAACCTTCCTAACTTCTAATCTAAAATGGAGTTATCAAGGTTTCATTTTGGGACTTGTCCATTATCTTCTTAGTGGGATATTAATTAAGCCAATAGTGTAGAGCCTGGTCAGACTGTACGGACACCGAGGTGCACGATGGCCTGGCTCTTAAACTTGTCACTTTCTGTTTTAGAATATTTTGGGTATTAATATTGTGACGATTTTCATTTCTTTTTTTTTTTCGTTTGAGAAAATTAAATAAAAGTTTCTTCAAAATTAATTTATATTGATAAAATTATAAATAGGCCTATGTATTTATATACATTGTATTGAATGCCATAAAAATGTTCAAATTTTTACTTGAAAGTGTACAGCAGTCAGGTACAGAATATATATAATTGATATGTTTTGTTTCAATGAGATATATTTTATACATTTTATGCAGGACAGTGCTATCAGGGTCATCTTGTTTGATGAAAATAATTCTAAAAAATGTAATTGATACTGTTTTCGTACTGAAGTGCGCACACACACGCACGCACGCACCACCAACAACAACAACCACAGAAGCCACCGTTTATTTCAACTTCAAAGGAATATAAAATTTACGTTATGTATATTTTATTCATGTAGCACCGACTGAATCAAGATGTCCTGATTTGACAGATCAGGGGTGTACTGACGATGATGCAGCTGATTATGAATGTGAATTAGATACTGAATGTGCTAATGAATTTCCCGACAGACCATTTTGTTGCGAATGTCCACAAGGCGTAGGACCAACAAAAATTTGCTGGGTTCACGAGGACGTACCCGTTGAAGAAGGTTGGATATATGTTCGTCCAACTGTCTATTTGTCTGTTGTTGTACTGTGATGTGCTGTAATATATTGTGCAGATCGTTTCGTCACACTCTTTTTTGTGTTGTCTTTGTTTTCCACATAAGGTTTTTGTTGGTATTGTTGTTGTTTATTAGTTGCTACTTGTATCATAGTCATATGTTGTGTTGTCGTTTGTGCACTGTTGTGTGTTGTGTTCTCTATATTGCACTGTTGTGATGCCGCTGGTACACACTTTAACCCTTATCACACTATATATATTAAATTGTTGCTCTACATGTATTGTTGCTCTTTTACATGTATTGTAGCTCTTTTACATGTATTGTTGCTCTTTTACATGTATTGTTGCTCTTTTACATGTATTGTAGCTCTTTTACATGTAATGTAACTATTTTACATGCATTGTGCTCTTTTACATGTATTGTAGCTCTTTTACATGTATTGTAGCTCTTTTACATGTATTGTAGCTCTTTTACATGTATTGTAGCTCTGTTACATGTATTATTGCTCTTTTACATGTATTGTTGCTCTTTTACATGTATTGTAGCTCTTTTACATGTAATGTAACTATTTTACATGCATTGTAGCTCTTTTACATGTATTGTTGCTCTTTTACATGTATTGTAGCTCTGTTACATGTATTATTGCTCTTTTACATGTATTGTTGCTCTTTTACATGTATTGTAGCTCTTTTACATGTATTGTTGCTCTTTAAATGTATCGTTGCTCTGTTACATGCATGTAGCTCTTTTACATGTATTGTTGCTCTTTTACATGTATTGTAGCTCTTTTACATGTATTGTTGCTCTTTAACATGTATTGTTGCTCTGTTACATGCATTGTAGCCCTTTTACATGTATTGTTGCTCTTTTACATGTATTGTTGCTCTTTTACATGTATTGTAGCTCTGTTACATGTATTGTTGCTCTTTTACATGTATTGTAGCTCTTTTACATGTATTGTTGCTCTTTAACATGTATTGTTGCTCTGTTACATGTATTGTAGCTCTTTTACATGTTGCTCAACATTGTTGTTCTGTCCTTGTTGTGCTACTAATAATTATTGTCATTCAATCTCTGTTTTTCTTTCAATGCTTTTCTGGTAATATTGTTGTTTTGTCATTCTTGTTCTACTAATTTTATTGTTCTGTTATTGGTTTTCATTTAATATTGTTGTTCTGATATTGTTGTTCTATTAATAATGGGACAACTCTTTTAGAATCAATCATAAGATTACTAAAACAATATAAATGTACTATAGTGTAACTTCCGAATTCCGGAACTTCTGAAATCCGAACAATTTATGATTTATAAACTCCATAAAAACTTCATTACATACACTTATATATCCTTTAATTTAAGGTAGCTCGCTACTTTCCGACCTAAATTTGACAATATCTCACATCTTGATGATTTCTGGTATACAGACATGTAGATATGTATGCTTTACTTCTGCAGCATTATTTTATAAGTAAACAGCGTTACTATGACGTCAAAGCGCCATCTATCGGTGGCGGCGAAATTGCGTCTTTTTTATCAATAAACCGGTCTGTTATTATCAATTTTCATCCGATTGCCTTCATTTTAATTTTATAATGTTCAGTAAATGTATGTCTTTGTAATGATGTCTTTCTTTAACATTTGCTTAATACTCTGCGATTCTACGTTATTTTCCCTCGCGTTCTGACGTCCATATTTGATGCAAATATCGCGCGATATCGCAATAAAGATTGTGAAATAATAAAAAATCTACACGGTGAATTTTGCTTTAATTTTTTTAACATGTAGTGAAGTCATAAAAGAAAATATTTATGCAATAAAAATATAGGGTCAACGCGTAAGATATTTTGCTATTACTATTTGAATATAAAATAAAGGGTGAGTAAAACGTAATGATTTTGGTGACGTCAAATATTTTTATCAAGGAAATTTTCACGACTTTTTCGATAAATAACATACTGACAGGAATAAAAATGTATGAACACCATCAACAACAATAGTTTGTAGACATGTTCCGTAAAAATGTTCTTTTAAAAGTCCTGTCAGATGCCTGCATTTCGATGAATATCTTCAATTATATACATGTACAACAAATCAGGGTATAACTGTCTGCAAAAGTTGGTATCAATCGCTGAAAAACTGCAACGAATGGATATAAATACCTCGAGGACTGAAATACAATTCAGAATATTGAAAGATATAATTAAAAGGCCACCTAAGTGGAAATTATAAAAACATAAATTTTGCAAAGAATGTCAGAAAAAAAAGTATGAAAAGGCTGGTGCAGTCGCAATGTCATCATGTTATGTGTATCTCGGTACAACATAAACTTCCATGTTATCATATGTACCAATTTTGAATTGTATATATCAGTTAGTAGGAACAGAGACATAGATAACATCTATGTCTGTGATAGGAAATGAATTTCAAAAATATATGATCAACTGGAAGTAGCAACGATTTGTACGTAAGCCATGATTCACTGGTAGTCTTAATTATATTATAAATCTAGCAGACATTTAATTCAAAATAATTCTACACGTATGAAAATTTATTTATTAACAGCCATCAGTTATTCTATTTTCTCTCGCAGCTAAATACCCTGCATTAAGCGTGAGACTCAGATTTAAAGCAGGAATCACGCTTTCATGCTATGGCTTTAATTTCTCACGTATTTCACATAATTACAGATATTCTTATTTATTTTAAACTAACTGACTCGCGGTATGCGTTTACTAGCGCATCTTTGAGGCGACCTGAAGCCGCGATCATTTCTCGATTAGAGGCGATTGATTTTGTATGTTCAGAAGCGGAGAATTTTGCATATTAAATACAGATTCCCTTGTATTGAAGACCATGTAGGATCCTCAATTTGTGGGATTATGCTTGTGGGAGAAGCTCGTTTTTTTTGTCTGCACATAATGCAGTGCTATGTAAAGCCTATGAAAATAATGAACTATGCATTTTATGTTTTATATCTTCTTATTTTTTTAATATTTGGTTTAACGCCGCTTTCAACAGTATTTTAATTAAAGCGGAGGGAATTTAACGAAACCAGTGTTTCTCACAGTATCAACTTCTCTTTGGAAATGAATGACAGCAGTCCGAGGTGGACCTTGAAACATTTCATACACAGTAAACAATTCTAAAGGATAATCTATTAGTACATCTCGAATCCATGCCTTCCGAATTCAGCGTAAGACCACTTTACCGATTACAACGTGGCAACAGAAGAATATTCAAAGTAAAAAAAACCCTGATTATCATCTCCCTTAATAAGGGAGAAGTCCATTTTTGCTAACATCATAAACACGTGTTGTTGGTGTGTGTTTTTGAGGTTGTTTTTTCTTGTTTTTTTATATTTTTGTTTTAAAGCAAACTGTATTGTATTAAAAAATGAACAAGATAACGTCAACATAATACATTATTCGTATTCAGTGGTAACAAAAGTTGCACAAGTTATTTAATAATCATATTTTGTATTTAATTAAAATATACAGTATAACCTTTACAGAGACATGCCCTTTGTTGCCTAGAGTGGTTGCTCTACAGAGGTAAAATGTAGTGGAACTCTTTAGAAATAAATAATACTTTGAGGGCCGCTATGTTATACTGTACAGTAATGAAAAAACGGTAATGAATCCGAGTTGAGTAATGGTTATATTGGGTGTTTCACATTCGAGTCTGCAGTTGCGAGTATGCTTATATATTTTTTATTCAGTATGATTTTGCTTCCAAAATAGTTTATAGTTTGTCACATAAGTGCTCATTTTCTAATTATCATGAAATTTTAATTAGATTATAATTATATAATCTATGTATTGCACAGACTTAAAAATGGTAAGCAAAAATAAAAATAAAATAAAAGTCTTTGTTTCTTGTACAGTTTGTTTTTAAATATTCTTAGAGGGACTCCACTGAGGTTGAAAAGCCAAACACATAACATTTGAATTTCTTACATAAATGAGTTGGGCACTTTAAACAGAATTTTATGCGAAGATACTTAAGAAATAATACTATGAAATAAATTGAAAATCGTATTTTTATACTTTTGTTAGCCCGATTTGGGTGAAAAGCGTTTAAACGCTTTTCATTTTGAATAATTATTCTGGAAAAACGAAGTGCGCGAATGCTCTGAAATTTTGCACAAAGATTCGTGGTCTAAACCTACATCAAATGGTACACTTATCTGGAAAAAATATTTTCAGTTCCATCATGTCAAAATACATCAGTGGAGTCCCTTTAACATATTTGAATATGATTTCTGAATTTTATTTATCACTTATTTCGGCACATTTGTATGCATATCTATTTGAATTGTATTTTTACGATGTGTTTTGACACCGAGCCTCGTCTGCCTGTATGTGATTTTATGCTGAATGTAACGTAAAATAAATATTCTACGGGTATAGGCTAAGCGACCTAATATTCTTACTTCATTCATACAGCAATATGTGAATCTTATTTTTTGCGCTAAAAGTAGTTAATTCATATAATAATATAACACTTTAACAACATCACATTATAAAATTAGAATTAAAAGATGTATGAGACTGTGTCCTGCAAATTAGAAAAGTATTTAAAAAGGGATTGTCGGATTAAACATTGTAAATGTGCTCATCTAGCGCATGCTTTCAATGAGAAAATAATCAACAATTTAAAAAATATACATTTCATCAAGTCCCTGTGTTGTTTATACTTACTATCGTAATGTTTGACGTAAGAAAATTGTTATTTGGTATTATTCTTTGAACTCCAACAACTATTAACGTCACCAAAATCATAACGTTTCACTCACCCTTTATTTTATTTTAAAACAGTAATAGCAAAATATCTTACGCGTTGACCCTATATTTTTATTGCATAAATATTTTCCTTCACTATCTCACTACACGCTCGGAAAATTATAGCAAAATTCACCGTGTTGAATTTTTTTTATTACACAATCTTTATTGCGATATCGCGCGATATTTGCATCAAATATGGACGTCAGAACGTAGAGAAAAATGACGTAAAATCGCAGACTATTAAGTAAATGTTTAAAAAAGACATCATTACAAAGACATACATTTACTGAACATTATGATATTAAAATGAAGGAAATCGGATGAAAATTGATAATAACAGACCGGTTTATTGATAAAAAAGACGCAATTTCACCGCCACCGATAGATGGCGCTTTGACGTCATAGTAACGCTGTTTATTTATAAAAATAATACTGCAGAAGTAAAGCTCACATATTTATATGTTTGCATACCAAAAATCATCAAGATCTGAGATGTTGTCATATTTCGGTCGGAAAGTAGCGAGCTACCTTAAAACAAAGTAAAGAAACGTGCATAATATTTAATTTGTAAGGTTGTACACGTGATGGGGAAACATTTACTGAAGGTCAAAGTGATATACCAACAATAAGTGGCGACTGTAACACGTGCACATGTACCAGTGGCAAACTAGAATGCACGAGCGATACGTGTCCCGGTAAAAGTAAGAATGTCTTAAAACCTTTCTTGATTCATTTACTGACCATTTGTTCTAGGTCTTATTGTACTTTGATTAACATGGGCTTATCTTTGATTGATGTACCTTTGTCTTTTTATTCATTTCAAATCTATTGTCATATATATGTTTGTTATAAATGCATTTGATTGCTATTATTGTTGCTACTATTTTAAGATAGAAGTACATTTACAAGATTCAGTCGTATACTGATACGATTAAATCAGTTTATTTAAATTATTATTCGTACTTATCAAAATGATTAGAAAGTTTGACTAGTTGTTTGTTATGCATTAAACTTAACAGATATCCATAATTTAAACTGTTTAGTGTCATCACTGTTGAGAAAATGTAATTAAAAGCCCTAGTATCCTGCAATCATTGTTCATAACTTTGATGAAAAACCGTACTCATTTCTTTCATGTACTATTCCTAGGTTGATTCAATAATATAGGACTACTTTTTCAGGATTACAATCAAAATCATGAATTATTTAAACACATTTTTCTTTAAAAACAACAACAAAATAAACAGTTTTGGTTTTGAATACATGAAATAGTTAGATAGCATGTAGACTTTTGTCATTCATCGAATATTCGTAGTTTAGCTGCAAGCTCATTTATTTGTACAAATATGAATTTTCTGAAAATATCCAGGTAACCACTTAAATTATATGTATATTTTTTTTTTAATAATGATACTTTACACTACGTTTGTAAGGTTGTACTCGTGGTGAGGAAACATTTACTGATGGACAAACTGGTATCCCAACAATAAGTGGCGATTGTAACACGTGCACATGTACCGATGGCAATCTAGAATGTTCAAGCAAAACATGTCCAGGAAAAAGTAAGGGTGACTTATAACAGCACTCTATGTATCTTGCTTTATTCATTCACTGACCGTGTGTTCTTGATGTTATTGTACGCTGATAACAAAAGCTTTTTGTTTATTGTTGTACCTTTGTCTTTTTTGTTTTGATATCACATATTTTCATGTGTACGTTTGCTAGTGAAGTTGATTTATCAATGTTCAGTACTAGTAATGCAGACTGAACTGAATATACTTTTGAAAATTTGATATTCAAAATGGTTTTGAGTTTCTGGCACTGTTTGTGTGATATTTATTTATTTAAAATCAGATTTTTGTTCATGTGTTACACTTCCATCAATCTTTTGCTCAAATATGAAATATCATTCAAGTTAAGATATTATGTACGACTGTTAAGTGACATGTTATGTTTTTCTTTTTTTAATTTGAATTTCATATTTTAATAGACAGCATGCCATAATCACACACCATTCGTATCAAAAATTCTGATGCAATCTATTTAAATACATTGTATTCTGAAACCATTGTTCGTATTATTTCATTCCTCTTTTTTACTGTAAAACACTGTTTATTGCGAGACACTGTGCTCTGCTCGTGTTTAATTCCATCACAAATTTCCTTTGTTGTCTTGACTTTTGTATTTAGACACGGAGTAACATTTTAACTCATTTAAAATGAGATTTTGGGGTGCAGTTTAGGATTGACTCACGAAGGCTTTGGATGTGACAAAAGCATTTCAGGCGACAAACCTTTTTCTTTATGTATTATTCCTCTATCTATTCCATCACTGTCTATTACAATTTATATGTCTAATATACTCTTTTACTGCTTCTTTTTCAAACGTCTAATAAAAAGATTCGATGTTTTCTCTTGTTTTTTTTAAATAATTTTATATCAATTCATTATTTATATTATGTTTTTTTATTGTGAGCACATAACATTTTGTACATAAGTATATATGAAATAAGACTAATTTTTTTAAATACCTGGTCTTTATTCATTACGTTGGTTGACGATACAGTTATAACGATTCGACACCTTCACATTTTGCTTGATTTCCAACATTTTAACAAATAAAATTTCTTTTTTTATTTAAGTGTAGCTTGTCTTACATTTGTAAGGTTGTGTTCGTGACGAAATAGTCATACTGGTATCCCAGCAACAAATTGCGATTGTAACACGTTGTTAATTTCACTACATGGAAGTTATTTGCTTGTTGTATATTTCTTGTTGTTGTTCTTCCGATATTAAATGTGTAGTTAAAACAAAAGTAAAGCTGTCTCGTCTGTTGTTTTTAATGTCATATGTATTTTATTTAACAAAACAGAATACGTGTACATAGATGTGTATCGGCAGGTTTTTTTCCGTCTATTGAATATTCACAGAAAGCTCCTCCTTAAGATACTGTTAAATTCAAAACAAATTACGACTCACAAAGATATGCGGCTTTCACAATCTATTTATTTTAAAGAAATCATATGTTTAATGATACAATAACGTTATTTCATTCTAAATCTGTAAGGTTGTACTCGTGGCGAGGAAAAATTTACTGATGGACAAACTGGTATCCCAACAATAAGTGGCGATTGTAACACGTGTACATGTACCGATGGCAATCTAGAATGTTCAAGCAAAACATGTCCTGGAGAAAGTAAGGGTGACTTATAACAGCACTCTATGTATCTTGCTTTATTCATTCACTGACCGTGTGTTCTTGATGTTATTGTACGCTGATAACAAAAGCTTTTTGTTTATTGTTGTACCTTTGTCTTTTTGTTTTGATATCACATATTATTATGTGTACATTTGCTAGTGAAGTTGATTTATCAATGTTCAGTAATACATACTGAACTGAATTTACTTTTGAAAATTTGAAATTCAAAATGGTCTTGAGTTTCTGGCACTGTTTGTGTGATATTTAGTTATTCAAAATCAGATTTTTTCCATGTGTTGCACTTCCATCAATCTTTTGGTCAAATATGAAATATCATTCAAGTTAAGATATTATGTACGACTGTTAAGTGACATGTTATGTTTTTCTTTTTTTTATTTGAATTTCATATTTTAATAGACAGCATGCCATAATCACACACCATTCGTATCAAAAATTCTGATGCAATCTATTTAAATACATTGTATTCTGTAACCATTGTTCGTAATATTCATTCCTCTTTTTTACTGTAAAACACTGTTTATTGCGAGACACTGTGCTATGTTCGTGTTTAATTCCATCACAAATTTCCTTTGTTGTCTTGACTTTTGTATTTAGACACGGAGTAACATTTTAACTCATTTAAATGAGATTTTGGGGTGCAGTTTAGGATTGACTCACGAAGACTTTGGGTGTGCCAAAAGCAATGCAGGCGACAAACCTTTTTCTTTATGTATTATTCCTCTATCTATTCCATCACTGTCTATTACAATTCATATGTCTAATATACTCTTTTACTGCTTCTTTTTCAAACGTCTAATAAAAAGATTCAATGTTTTCTTTTGTTCTTTTTTTTAATAATTTAATGTCACATTATTTGAAGTATTTTTTATTGTAAGCACATAACATTTTGTACATAAGCAGGTATGAAATAAGCCTAATTTTTTTAAACGAATATTCATAGTTCCCTGGTCTTTATTCATTACTTTGGTTGAAGATACAGTTATAACGATTCGACACCTTCACATTTTGCTTGATTTCCAACATTTTAACAAATAAAATTTCTTTTTTTATTTAAGTGTAGCTTGTCTTACATTTGTAAGGTTGTGTTCGTGACGGAGTAGTCGCAACAAATTGCGATTGTAACACGTCGTTAATTTCACTACATGGAAGTTATTTGCTTGTTGTCTATTTCTTGTTGTTATTTTGGCTAATATCGCTAACAATCCTTGTTGTTCTTCCGATATTAAATGTGTAGTTAAACCAAAAGTAAAGCTGTCACGTCTGTTGTTTTTAATGTCAAATGTATTTTATTTAACAAAACAGTATACGTGTACATACATGTGTATCTGCAGGTTTTTTCCGTCTATTGAATATTCACAGAAAGCTCCTCCTTAAGATACTGTTAAATTAAAAAAAATTACGATTCACAAAGATATGCGGCTTTCACAATCTATTTATTTTAAAGAAATCACATGTTTAATGATACAATAACGTTATTTCATTCTAAATCTGTAAGGTTGTACTCGTGGCGAGGAAACATTTACTGATGGTCAAACTGGTATCCCAACAATAAATGACGATTGTAACACGTGTACATGTACCGAGGGCAAACTTGGGTGTACAAGTGAAACATGCAATGATACAAGTAAGACTGATTTATATAAACCAGCACTCACGTATCTTGCTTTTTACTCTATGCATACAGGACATTTGTTCTTGTTGTTACGCTGATAACAAACGCTTTTCTCTGTGTTGAAAAAAACAAACTTTTGACTAGTTTCTTATCCAATATATTTCATTTGTGTATTTATCTATGTCATTGATTTTAATAGGAAACACTACTGATAAGCTGTTTTCATTTTGACTAAGTTATTATTAATGGTTTCGTTTTCAGTGTTTCGTTGTTTATTTATTAATTAATTTTCTTTTTTGCTTCAATTATTGCGTTGGACTTGTTTCTCCTAATATCTCTAAAAATCTGTTTGTTCTATGAATATTTTAGTACTGTGTTATTATATTGTTGTGTAGTGTGTTTTGTTGTTTTCTACCAATATTGTGGTATTGTTGTGTGTATGTGTCCGATGATAATGACAATGCTCAGACTGTCACTTGTGTCTTGTCACACAAATTATTTTGCATCTTTATTTTCGATAATCACATTAAAACGATTTTTCCTACAAAAATCGGTAAGGTTGTACTCGTGGCGAGGAAACATTTACTGATGGTCAAACTGGTATCCCAACAATAAATGGCGATTGTAACACGTGTACGTGTACCGAGGGCAAACTTGAGTGTACAAGTGAAACATGTAATGATACAAGTAAGACTGATTTATATAAACCAGCACTCACGTATCTTGCTCTTGCTTTTTACACAAACTGACCCTTTGAACTTGTTGTTACGCTGATAGCAAAAGCTTTTCTTTCCATTGATGAACTAACTGGTTTCGTATTAAATATATTTTCATTTGTGTATTTATCATACTTGTTTTCATCTAGAATTAGTGATGGTACAAAATTGCTTTACCTCTGTGTTCATTGTATTATATTTGTTAGAACAAAAAACAACACCTTACCAATTTTGTTACATCGACTTTTCCCTAATTACGAAATTAAGACGTGTTTCAAATAACAGGAATCAGGGAGTACTGATATGGATGCAGTTAAAGATGTGTTTCAAGTCCTTATATAAAAGTTTAATACCCTTTCTTAAAATTTATGCAATAAGTTTACCGGTTGCTGTAATTATTTGAAATGAGTTTTTGATTCAATTAGAGGATTAATTTTCGATGCCTTGAAACTGACAAAAGTTATAATGGTGTCAATTGTTTCTTCATCTCATTGTTTGATATTCAAGACACTTACTCTGCTGCTGATATAAGTGAATGATTGTCGAAAACTTTAGTAACATCTTCTTTTGAAACACTTTATACGTTTTGATTGTGAATACATTTAAATGTATATGTGTACATTTGTATGGCGATATAAATGCTATGCAGCAATGTTCAGTATCCTTCGTTGTTGTTTATGAATTTTCAGAAATTGAAAATTAACATTTTCCGAAAATATCTCTCGAATGACTGCTAAATACACATGTGTCACGGTGTTTAATTCACATATACTAAGTTTAAAAGATTTTACTTGTGGTGAGGACACATTTACTTAAAGCCAAACTGGTATACCAACAACAAATGACTGTATCACGTGCACTTGTATCAAAGGCAAGCTGGAATGCACGACTGATACATGTTTCAAGTATGGCTTACTTATAGAAACAATTGGTGTATATTGTTATGTACATTTACAAACCGTTATTCTTTGATGCTGATAACAAAAAGCTTTTATGTTTCTTGATTGTCGTTTGTTTCATCTCAAATAGATTAGTTCTTTATGATACTATTATCGTTGTGCTAATACTGGTTGTGCCGATTTCTCATTTTCACCGTTATATGATGACATGGTATAAGATTAAAGTACATTATTAGATATTTTGGAGACCAAAGTCAGCTTATTTTTTGTTATATTTTACTGTATTCTACCTTCAGCTAAAATGGTTTTCCAGGTTCATGTTTTACAGTTCACTATTTCTCAAAACCTCTGTTATTCAAATATTTACCATTAACATATTCTACTTCTTCCTCTTTCACTTTGTTACAGACAGTTGATATCATTGTTTTGTTGTTGTTGTTTTTTTTCACTTTCAGACAGAACACTACGTCTTACAAACTAATCTAAATTCGACCAGATGAAATTTGTATGCACTTTCCATTCAGTGTTTTCCTCTTAACTTACATCAAGGTCAAATTAACTTGTTATTACAATTCTGCTATATCAAAATTGCAGCACATATGACTTAGAATTATTTAATGTCTCGATACCTAATTCAGAAATTATATCACCGTAAACTGAAACTCTTAAAAGTCACGACAGAAGTGAATTATTCCGTTTCCCCAGATTAAGTTATTCCAAAATTAAATATGTTTCATTAAAATATGTAGCGCTTTTTTGAAACTGATCAACGCAAACTTCTTTCTAATTTTACTGTAGTTATTCACCATCCGATTGATTTTTTGATCAATTAATTATTTTCAAAACGTTTTATATTTCCCATTATTGCTTATCAAAATGAACTTTTTTACTTTATTGTTTTTTTTTCACTTTAGTTAAATGTTTATAGTGAATAAGATACGTTTGTCTATTTTGTATACTAACTTAAAGTATCACCATTTTGTCATCGAATGTCTGTGTTTATTTTGTAAATGTCAATACGAATATTGTCACTGTGTCTATGTTACACTTTAATCTTAGATTTTAAGCGTGATTTTTGCCGTTTGATGTTTTATTTTTGATTAAGAATTAAATTTGAATTTATGTGTAGTAGTAGAACCAAAGTTGACATATGTATAGGTGAATTGCCTGATGTTATTCAAAACACGTGTAAAGTAAGTACTATAAAGTCACGTATGTGCAGTTTGACTGTGACTGTGAGTGGCCCTACTGTTATATTTTAACATTAAAGTAATCGCAAATTCGAATGGGCTGTTTTAAAATTCGAAGCAGGACAAATCATTACACAAAGTCAGTAGATTTATGATAAATAACACGTTGTCAGTAATTTCTGCCTAATAATTCTTCTTTTCCTTAATTTGCTGGATTTCCGTTTACCAGAATGTGCTGAAGCTTTTGCTTCTATTGTATGTAAAACAAGCGGAATTGTTAAGTAAAAGTCTAACTTTGATAATTTATGTTCTTCATGTGCCCAGCAGAAGTTGCGTTGCTTACAATACAGGATGATTAGTTTAGTTAATTTAAATGGTCATAAAACAAAACAAGCTCTTTACATTATATTACTTTTTCTCCGAAATAATGTTTGCTAAAAAAGGACTACTATGCGCATGATGTTGATTGCATGTCCTTTTGCCGCAAAGCTGCCTCAATGCATACTCTAATCAAATTATGATTTATTATAATAGCTTCTAAAATTTACCACAAATAGTGTTATACATAGCTAAACCCTAAACAGTTCTCAAGTAAATAACGTTTATCATGTTTAACCCGAAACATCACCACTGATATAAAATCAAGTGTTATGTTGAAATATATATAATTATATAAATATTTTTTCTTACAGCATGTGAGTATGCAAACGAAACACGAGAAAATGGAGCAACCTTCAAATCGGAAGATGGGTGCAATGATTGTACGTGCAACAATGGCGAAGTTAGTTGCACAGAAAAAGCTTGCGTTGGTAAGTTTGTATTTATTAAAAATAATACTGCATATGTTTAGTTTAATTTCAAGAGAACAGACTGAACCAAACCGAGCCTGCAACATTTTCAAATTTGCTGTTTTGTGCGTTCTTCGGGAATTGTACTGTACTTTCCTATTTTGATATTTACAAATTTATATGAATTACCTATTATACACATACTATCTTATTGTTGTCAAATTCATTAACATACCCTAGATTATGCATTTTTAAATGTTATCAGAAAAGAATTTTGCTGATAAGTATCTTGGGAAAATACGTAGGTGTGTGCACATTTGTTTGTTCTGTTTTGTATAAGAAAACCATTTTGCTGATAAGCATCTTGGGAAAAATTCAGCCTGCACATTTCTTTTGTGCTCATTTTTCTTATTTGATGTAAATATAATATATTTTTAATCGAGATAGGTATTGCAAAATATAATATTTAGGACATGTGACAAAGTTGCCTTTTTTGGGAGGGAGCGGGCTTTCCTTTCAATAAACTCCTTAATTAAATAAGTGAAATATCTACAGAGTAATTGTTCATTTATGATGTTTTTCAAAGCAAAGTTAAAATAGAGAAAAAAATACTAAAGAAAGCCCAAAACGACAAAATTGAAAATGTAGCAGGCTTGGTTTGATTGAGCCTGTTCGTGAACGGTACTGGAAAGTGCAAGTTACCGTCCACACCCCCTAGCACCGGCTTAAGCAGAATTCAACATTTAAACGAAGCCATCATTATGCAAATTATTCACAAACTTTGAATTGCGTTGCTTTATTTCCATGAAAATTTTGAAGAAACACAAAGCAGGGAAAATCTTCTTTTTTGAAATTTACATGACTACTTTACTTTTTTTCAAACATTGTATTTTATATTTGTTCTCTTTCAGAGCCATGCATAATCGGAGGCAAGACAATACAAAGCGGTGAGTCTTTCGAAGCGGAAGACGGGTGCAATACTTGCACATGCTACAATGGTGATATATCTTGCACCGAAAAGAAATGTGAAGGTAGGTTCACCTTTATTTGAACTAATTCGCCCTTCCCCTGCTCTGCCTTTAGTGCCCCCACCATTTACCCCGTTCGTTGCCAAGTTAATGTCCTGCGTCCCAAATGCGTGTTTTTCTAGTGGTCCTGTGTGGATGGATATGTAAGAGGGGATGGGGAACGAGGGCTGCGTTATGTGAACGTTGTTGTCATTTTGATATCAATCAACTATCAATCTATTTTACCTCTGATCTTTACACTCAATTGAAAATTTCGTTGACTCCTGAGTTGCAATAAAATAATTAAAACATCTGACTGTAAGAAAGTATCAATAACCTTAATATGTTGACGATAATTGTTTTACTTGTTTTACCATATCGTTTTCCATATCGTTTGACCTTAAAGCAAAGCAAGATAAATGTGATTAACGTTAATTAAAACATTAGTGTGAAATCATGATTTTTTCTATGTCTTATACTTGAGTAAACAAATTACATATTTTCTTTACATTTTCATTCTTGAATAATTTTGAACACAAAAATTTAAGTTACAATATTGACACTTCAAATACACCCATTTAAAAACAACAGCATAAACACTTTTGAACTTTACCCTTTCTTTCTATTTTTGTCTAACCGAGGGGCAAAACAAAAGGCCAATGCCAAAGTTTCAAAATTTAACGATAAAATTAGCATGTTCTTTCGCTTTACATTAAGTAGTTTAAAATTGATGAAAGTACTCAAAATAGTGAAAGATTCCGAAAAAATCTAATATGCAAAGCGCAACCACGCTCGTGTCCTGTTTTTTCCCCTCAACTCATCCACTACTCGGTGGATCTCCTTATTTATGATATAGTCACGATATCAGTTTTTCATAAATATGTGATTAAATTAATATTTAGGCGTATCTTGAATCTCTATTCGAATTTTTAATATTCAGTCTTATGCAAAACATATGTATGAAGATAAATGAGCGTTTATGTTAATTAGTCAGTAGACACCACAAAAACTAAAATGAAAAAAGAACTCTTCCTTGATAGCTATATTTTCATTTAGCTTTTATTATTTTTAATGATACTATGCACATTTTTCCATTGTCAAGTTGAAGTGGATTAGATATATATTTCAAAAGGTTGACTATTTTAATGAAACAAAATTGACTCATGTTGTTTAACCCGTGATAATGAAAGTCTAATAATACCTATAGGTAAAAAAAGCATTAGTTTAGTATTTAGTATACATGTGCATGTAGCAAATATAATATATTATTTTCACCTACATATTTTAAACAAACAGTTCTTCATGACAAAAGAGATTGCTATTATAATTATTATAAATGTATATGTTACCATAAGAAATCATTTCGGACATTGAATTAGCATCGGAGAGCGAAATGTATGTCTATAAAAGTAAGACTATTGTAAAGTTATAACATTATCAATCAAAAGCGGATTTCTAATTTCAAATATCGCCATTTTTATGATTAGTTGTTAAATTCTACTTAAACCGGTGCAAGGGGGCGTGGACGGTAACTTTCCATTACGTTCATGAACAGGCTCAACCAAACCAAGCCTGCAACATTTTAAATTTCGCAGTTTTGGGAGTTCTTTAGTGATTATGTTATAAAATATTGAACTTAATAGGTCTGCATATATATTTAAAGGGCTTTTTAAATGTATTTAAATGTATCAACAACTATAGAGTCGGAAATATACTTGATTTTCAAATATATCCTGAATGAAAAGTTAAGGGAGCGCGAATAAATTAAAATGATATTCATGTATTCAGTAACTTATTTACCACGTTAACAATACAAATAGAACACTGTGTGCATTTGATTTCAAATAGCCTGGTCAATATTAATAATTTGTCGTTGTTTACAATTTAAACACAAGCTACATCGAATACTTTAACAACTCTATATATATATATAATATATTCAAACGACTTTTAGAATTGGTTACGTCTATTTTCAACTAATCATAGTACATGTAAACATTTATTTTGCATTGGAACACGTGAACACTAAGATACATGTATACATTTTATTTTCAGTAATATTTTCATATTCACATTTAATAGTCAAAATGAATAAAAAATATTTTTAAGTCTTTTAAAAAATGAATTACAATAAGTTACAATTACATTTTTTAAAGAAAACTTTAAGTCTTCAAAATAATTAGGTTTTTTGTGTTGCATAAGTTTAATGTCAATTCCTGGATCAGATTTTCATAACTTTTATGAAATAATAAATAATTTAACAATGTCTAAAACAACACACAGCATATATGTGTCCAAACTACAAACAAGTGTTTATATGTATTTGGGTTTAGAGGAGGCCTGATGTTCTTATCATGAATACAAAGTCAAGCGTTACTAAGGAAATATTTTAACAAAAGCATTTATATGCAAACTAGTTGAAATTCCTCCCAAAAATACTTAAAGATGCCTAATTATACAAGATATGATATCCAATATTTAAGAATAAATGTTTAACGCGTTTTTTTTTCTCTCAAAAATGTTATTAAGGCAATTTATCAAATGCTGGGTTCTTATGACATACTTTCAATTGTTATGGTAATCATATATATACGTTTACATTAATTTTGGACTTCTTATCTGGTTATCTATGTATCAGACGGCTCTAAATAAAGTTGATATTGACTATAAGGTGGGCGAATAGACTATAAAATGACTAAAAATTGATCTAAAAGCTTGTAATAAAATTCAAAGGGTAATAAAATAGAACAGAAGAGAGCAACAACTTTTTTTCATATATATAAATAATTCACTTTATCAAATATGATACAACAGCGAGTTTCAGTATGTTCTTATACAAATTGTATAATTTTTCTTTGAAAAGCATAAACTGCAATTAGATATAAGTAACTGTATTTCATATTCAATACACACTGTAAAAATATTCATATTATTTTGTTTGATGAATGATATAGATTTTAAAAAAGATGATGATGTTCAATACAACTTCAATTTGCATTGGGAAAAAAAACTTGACCTAAATAATTAATGAAAATGATTGATTTGTAAATTTAACAATTGTAAATCGGTGAAAAATGATAAACTGCAAATGCTTAAAAAACTTGTGTATAAAGCTATTTATCAACTGTATGTTTTTTGCAAAATACAATCAAGAAAATTGTGTATATTTTGATTAGAATGGTGTTTAAATTGCCTTTAATATTAAGAAGAGAAAAAAGATTGTCTTATTGGCCCTTTACCTTTATCACTTACATCTTTTTCTCATTTGTCTCAGCCGGATATATCCAAAATATCAGTTGTATTAGACATTTGAGCCGCGTCACGACAAAACCAACATAATGGGCTTGCGACCAGCATGGATCCAGACCAGCCTGCGCATCCGCGCAGTCTGATCAGGATCCATGCTGTTCGCTATCAGTTTCTGTACTTGTAATAGGGTTGGTAAGCGAACAGCATGGATCCTGATCAGACTGCGCGGACGCGCAGGCTGGTCTGGATTCATGCTGGTCGCAGACGCACTATGTTGGATTTGTCATGGCGCGGCTCATTTATTTATTATATTCTTATAAAGTATGCCTTAAGTGAATTGGTTTATCATGAAAGGTCTGTTATCCCACAATTAATTGTGTTCATTTGATTTGATTATATGTGATAACAAACCACAAACTATTTATGCATGGATTTTGTTGGTAAGTGTAAGATATATAATCTTATACGACATATATTAATAAAGCAGATAATGTATTCATCTAGAACAAAATATTATCATTCATCAGGTAAATGTTCATATACAAAACCTTTTAAAACTGTAACAAAATTTTGTTCAAGAACTATTATATAAAAATATCCAAATTACACATTTCTATTGTTTTATTGAATATTTGAAATACTAATTGAAAGAAAAATGTGCTCATTGTAGATCAATTAACTTTAAAAGGATCAAACAATGTCATTCGATATGAATGATGATAGGTTATATATCAAATAAACCTATATCAGTCTATCAAAAGTGTAGCCATACAATTACAGATCAACTGAATGCTTTTCATCGAGTGTGATATATTACAAGCAAAACTTTTTTTGTTCGTAAATAGTTGATAACTACGGAAGCTTATCAGTGCCTCCACTTATCTAAAAGTTTCACGTCATGTCAACTTGTTTCTTCTCGTTTTGACCAAAAACATTCCATGAAGACGTTATGATTAATACGTAATACATAAAACATTCCATGAAGACGTTATGATAAAATACGTAATAAGTACAAGTTTTTAATCATTGCAAAAAAACTTTGTTGAATTACGTGAGCTATTTGTCAATGCGAGTAACGTCTTTGCGTCTTACTAAATATTTCAGCAAAGTCGTGAAATCAAGAAGTTTCGACAGTTTTTTTGTCGAAGAGACAAAAGCTTCAAGCATATTGAGAAAAAATCAGTTGCAATGCCTAAAAGCTTCTCATCTTTGTCAGTAAATTTTATTGAGAAATGCAAAAACGTCTTATCAATGCGAATAAAAATTAGTCGACTTAGCGCAAAACATCTCACCAACTGTAGGCCCTGATACGCTTCCGTATATCTGTATCCCATTTGTTTTATAATATTGTCTTAATCATATTAAATACATGTTTTAATTGATTTTTGGTAACAAATACATTTGTATGTAGTAGACAAAATAAACATAGTCGATGAATTTGCTATTCTTTTTTTCATATAAGATTGGATTTTAGAAATATCTGAAAAGGGTAAATGGTCAATATAGGGTTACATATCTAATATTAGTATATTTTCTCCTTACTCTTAACTATGTATGATTTATGTTGGCAAAAGGAGTCATTCTATTCTTTGGTTATCATACATGTTTTATATTACAGTGTCTAATTTTGTAACGTGAAAAAACCTGATGTAACAGGATAGCTCTATATTCTAAATATATTAAATTTCTTTTGTAAGACAAAATTGATATAATCTAAATCCGGGTACTTTTTTAACAGTTCATCACGATCAGACACAGATTCATGTTACCTTAAA